GCCAATGCGGGTTTATAAGTGTGCATGTTTCAGGTTGGATAAATTAACTACACAGTAAAGAATGCATCTAAAATAGTGAGAAAATATATTACTTCCTCCGTTTCATATTATTTATCATTTTTTAAAATGTCTCTGAAATGTATTTAGATGTATTTAACTCAAAATTCATCTAAATACATTAGAGATACATTTTGTCAAAACAACAATCTTATATATAATAGGAGAGTTGCTCTCTCCTCCTAGGCTATCCACATCAGCAAAAAAATCATTAATTGTATTTAAGATATTTAATATATGTGTATTAATATTTCTTTATATATATTTCCTATTTTACACATAAACAAAACTAAGAAAAATACACAAACAATTTAATTGATTAATATAAAGTATGTGATATCTTGATGTTAAAAGTTAAAAGAAAGTTGTAATATAAAATGGAGATGAAATAAAGAAATATTTAACTTGAAATAGTATATAGTTAGGTTTTAACTCAAAGGATTTATCCTATTTAAAAATGTTATAATGTGCTTACAAGTAAAAAAGGTAATATAAATTATTTAACATAGTAAAAAGCTAATAAAAAATTAGAGTTAGAGTTTGTTTTATTAAAAAATAGAAGTCGAGTTATTATTTAAATTTCATTGCAACGAAAAGTATGAAAATTTTAAGAATGGTGACATGTTTGTTTCAAAAATACAATTTATATTTACAAAACTAACATAATAGAAAATAATCAATTGTCATATGCTACCACAACAAAGCATATATGTAAGAAGTTATACATGTTTTTGTTTTTCATCATATTTTGAGTGCAATTGCGATTCTACACCATGTTTACAAATTTTAACGTTGAGTCAAATGCATATTAAATTTTAGAAATAGAAAACTCGAGATGAAGTAAGGTGTTAATATCTTAATAAAAAAAATGATCATATTGTTAGTGTTAGTTGTTGGGTTAACTCAAAATATAACCAAAACATGAAATTTGACATATAACCATCATAATTCAAAATTTCGAATCTATGAATATAAATAAAATCAAACATAAAAATTATCGCAAACAATCCGCGCTTGTGCGGGGCTTTAATCCCTAGTTAATATAAAACGAAGGGAGTACTTGTTCCGTTTTTTATATTTTATTTAAAGTAACCGAAGTCAAGGTTTGATATTAGCTAGATCAGTTTAGTAATCAACTAAGTTTCAGTATGGAGTTGAGTCCAAATTCAGTTTAGTCCAAACTTCTAGTTTAACCAAATTAGTCCCACATTGAGAAAATTGTTTATCCAAATTGAACATCTATGATAGTCTTTTTTCAAATCATTTTCTAATGTATAATTAAGTTTAAACTAGAAGTTCTATCTAGTTCGCTTCAACATTATCTTAGTTCTTCTTCATTTTTTTTTTTTTGGGTGTGTCTGTGTATAAAGCTCATGACTCATTTATTATGTCTAGATATGTTTTGTTCGGCTGGGACTTTGATTTACTTCAATTTTTCTTTAGTTTAAGATAAACGAAATAACCTGAAGCAGAATATTGTGGTTTCATTTTCAAAGTTTTCCAGTTTGGTTTGTTTTGGTTCATGTCGGTTAAATTGTCCACCTAGAAAATTATTCACATATAAAGAAAAACATTCCATCAAGGACGGTATTAGTTTAAATCGAACTTCCCTTTCAGGTGATGCATGTTGGAATAGTAAGTATTGACTTTGCAATTTAATTTTCCTGATTAACTAATAAAATTGAGACATCAACCAAACTCAAACGATAAAATACAAAAGGGCATTGTGTAATTACTCATCTTGAAACCTAGATTTGTGCACTAATCTCCTCCTGATTTATTAAAAAAGTGAGAAGCATATATATATGGATTAGGTTAAATCCTCCAAATTAAGAAGCTTATCTCTCTTTGTAACTCTACTATGCATACAACACCGGTCCTTTATTTACGTCACCCATCTTTTTACTTAATTGTTACTGTTGTGCTTAACAATAAATTAGGTCTAAAGTACTATTTACTGTGTGCTTAACAATAAATTAGGTCTAAAGTACTATTTACTGTCTTTCCAACTCATACTTGTGAGTAAGCACATAACAAAAAGTTAAAACAACCAATTTTCATATATATAAAACACAAATGATTCATGATGCAATAGCAATTTAATTTTAAAAAGATAGCTTTGCATCACTGTCACATTGTGTGAGCGGGTAGGTTACTGGTTAATTATATATAATGAGATTGGATTACAGAACAATCAGTAGAAAATTAATTAAAATCAACCAACAAAAGAATATTAAAACCAACGAACAAAATACCAAATAAAAAAAAAACCACAAAATAACACATACAGTGATTAAAACAAACCAAGCACACGCACACATATTTTATCTTGAATTAAGTTATGAATATATGATATATCTATATATAAAACCTTGTCAATTAGCTTAACAATCCCATTGAGAAAAATACTTAAGAATATACCCATTGTAAAACAAACTAACCAAATTTATTTTTAGACGAAATTGCCTCTAACGCTACTTGCGTCAAATTCAGTACAAAAAAAACAGTCTTATAGAGTTGATTTCCACATAAAGTAATACATTATTATGTTTATCTATTCTACACACAAAGAGAAAATATATTATAGTTTTTCGAAGTAGTTAACTACATGTTAACTTTGCAAAGTTTTTAAACTCTAAGCCCTAAACCCTGAGACAAAGTTAGCAAAGTAAAACTCCTAAACCCTAAAACCAAAACCTTGAACCCAAAAATATAAATCCAAATTTTAAATTCTAAACCCAAAAACTAAACCCCTAAACCAAAAAATCTAAACCCTAATTTAGGAAAAGAATAGTTTGTTATATTTTATACAGACAAATAAAAAATAATACAAAGTTGAGTTTCACATAAAATAAGAATAGCAAAAATGGGTAATACAATATTACATAAATTATAGATTGTACTCTTGTCCAACCTTCCTTATGCTTAGTTTCTTAATTCTTGTCTCTAAGATTATTTCTTTCACATTTTAAATAATTTGAAGTTTATTTCCAAATACAATTTAAAAAAAAAAAGAAAATCAAAATTAAGTTTGATAGGTGGTCACTATTATAGTTTGAGGCTTTTGTCAGTTAGAATACTAATTCTTTCTCACTAGAAAATAAAGAGAAATTAACTATCAATCTATATATATTTATTTTTTAAATAGCATTAAGTTCTGGAAATATTAAAACTTGGACACGAAAAAGCTCACCTACATAATACTAGGTTTTTTTCTTTTCAAAAATGTGGTAGTAAGTAGAAAAAAAGGAACGAAAAATGTCCCAATATCAAATTGATACAAACAACTTTCGGTGATGAGTTATTAATAGGGAATCATTAATGTATTTCACCAATGTTTTAGCATATATATCAAACATAGTGGAATAATTATCTATATACATCAAACATATATATATATATATATATATTAAAAAAGCAAAAACAAACAACTTTTTGATGAAAAACAAACATACATCAAACATAGTGGAATCATTATCTATATATATATATATACAGTGGCGAATCTAGAGTCATATTTTATGGGGGCATTAAGGTTGAATTTTCAGTTTTAAGGACATGATTTAAAATATGCTAAGTAATTAACATGAAAAAATCAAAATTTGACTGGTGGCAACTGCCCCCATGCTGATACATGTAGAATCGCCACTGTATATATACCTTTTTGATGAATGTGAAATGACCTTTTTTAACGTTTTAAACGTGATCAATTGGTATAGTACTGTTAATCAGATAATTATGTTATGATTTAGAAAACCGCAGTTTTAAAAATAGAGAAAGCATCTGATGAAAAAACAAAGCAGCCGTAATGAAACTAAAGATACAAATGAGCTATGTTGCATGGAAATGGAAATAGAAAAGTGGAAGCGAAACATTTTCAAAACGGGGAAAACATGTATTTTGAGTTTGAAAATGTTTGGAAACATGTATATATATAAATGAATATATTAAATTAGTTGAACTAAAGATAAATATAAATTAATATCATAATGTTCAATGTAAAAACTTGAAAATTATTTTCTGTTATTATTGTTATGAACTCCATCGTTCAAAACTATCTTCATCCATCCAGAGAAAGATTTTTAAACTTGATATATAATGTTAAGACTAATCTCATTTATGAATCAAATTAATCATTAATTTATTTTAAATAATTAAAATTTTCAGTTAATATTTTTATTTGTTTTGTAATCATTTAATCATTAAAATTTTCAATAAGTTTTCTTAACTTTGAAATCCACGTTTTCAAATTGAAGTTTTTAGAAAAAGTGGAAAAACGAGTTTTCGACAAATTTTCGGAAGTTTCCGAAACGGAAAACTGATAGAGTTTCCATGCAACATAAAAAACGAGATGTCAAATTGCAATAGTGGAGCAATATCTTTATCAACTTGAGAATTTCTAGCACAATAAAACAACTTTCTATATAAAAAAACTAAATCATCAAAGGTTCACCAATGAAGATAGTTATCAGAGTTTATTTTTTATAAAGAAAACAAAAAAGGAACAGAATTTGACGAGATTCATTAATATTTTGGAAGAAAAACAGTATATAATAATTGTGAGAGATAAGACCAAAGAAGGACAGAAAGATATTTTCCCATATTTTAAATTTTCAAAAAGGAATAATCAAAGAAGAAAATTCCAAGGAAAGGAGGGTTCCTTGAACCCAACGCATCTTAGGCTCGGATCTAGGTTCGGTGTAAAGCCCAAACGCATCTTTAGGCTCGGATTTTTTTAGGGTCGGTTTGTCGACATTGGGAGGATAAGAAGGACTCTTTCTCTTTGCTTTTCGCTTCTTCTTCTCTGTAAACCCACTCTGCAAGAAACCCATCTCTCTCTCTCTCCCTCTCTCGCTTTCTTAAACCCTTTTTGCTATTTCCACAAAACTAAAAACTTTTGCGGCTGACTCAGAAAAGTCGAGTCTTTTACTGCATTTCCGAAAATGGCGATTGAAGATTACGAGAACCCAAATCGAGAAATCAAGCCTAAGCACAGAAGAATCATGGTATTTACAAAACCCCCTTTTTCTAGATTGCCACATTGTTGATTCTGTTTTCCATTGTTAAGCCATTGCATTGTTGATTTGGGTTTTGTTTTCATTGAATTGAATTTGCCACTGGAAACATGAAAAGTCGTGTACGTTTCTTCTCTAATCTTTTTAAGATTTTCAAATTCAAATCGAAAAATGCTCTGTTTTTGTGTAAAAAGAAGGGACAATGCTTTGAATCTTTCGAAAATTTCAATCTCTTGCCGTCATTATTAATCCCCTAGATACTTTATTTTCTGTTTGCGGCGAACCAAACTTGAAGCTTCTGATAATGTGGTTGGTGAGATTAGGGTTTTCCATTAAGGAAAATGGAGAATCTGGAATATATTTCTGGATTCACGGCTTTATATTCGATTCCGTACTTATCGCCGTTCAAAATGCTTTTGTTTTTTTTTTCCATTTATTATGATAAACTTGACAGAATCATATTCTGCTTAACCAATTTGGGGATTCCTTTTTATCTTCTGATTGCAAGAACTAGTCAAGAGTGTATAAAAGAGAAGACTTTTCATTTGTACAAGTCAATGGTGTTTCTGGTAGATAAGCTTAATTGTTAATGGCTAAATGAGTTATGTTTGTTGATGGTTTTCAGGGAGTTGGTGGACCGGAGGAAGAAGAGAACCGGTGGCCTCAATGGCTGAAACCTTTACTGAAAGAAGTCTTCTTTAGTCAATGCAGCTTCCATGGACACTCACCTAAAAGCGAATGCAACATGTATTGCTTAGACTGCACCAATGGCTCGCTTTGCTCTCTCTGTCTTGCGCATCACAAGGACCATCGCACCATTCAGGTTCGCTGCATTTCAAAGATATAAGATTTCGCATACATTTTGGCAAAAAGTTGTGATTTTTAAAATGTTACTGCCTCTTCTTGATTTGCAGATAAGGAGATCTTCATACCATGATGTGATAAGGGTCAATGAGATTCAGAAGCATGTAGATATCTCCAGCATTCAGACTTATGTGATCAATAGCGCAAAGGTTGTGTTTTTGAATGAGAGACCTCAGCCTAAGCCTGGTAAAGGTGTTACTAATACCTGCACTGTCTGTTTTCGTGGCCTTGTCGATGATTTCTTCAGCTTCTGCTCTCTTGGCTGCAAGGTACATTCCCAAATTAGCCATTCATTCTTGTTTAGTTGTCTGATATAAAAAAAAGGAAGAACCTTTTGTCTGTGGGTCTTTTACAGGGGAAAAAAGTTTGAAACTTTTGATTTGGGTCTTCTTTTTTCTTAGTGTCACTTGAGCTCTGAGCAAGAGCTGATAAACTTTTTGTGAACTGAAAGGTTGCAGGAACATCAAGAAACTTTGAGAAGAGAGTGAAGGGTACATCAATGGAACAAGAGAATTCAAGCAACAGTTCAGGAGTAGACAATGACATTTCAAATCTGCAGAGCTCTATCCCATCAACACCTGAATTTCCTCCTGGTTCTTTTCGGAAAAGAAGAAGAAAGGGAATCCCTTACCGATCTCCACTGCAATGAGATAAGAAGAAGAAGAAGAAGAAGAAGCTTGTGTGTTACATCTTAATATATACATTCAAACCTCCAAAAAGGTTATATAGCTGAATACGAGACGCAGACATGGTTTTAACTCTTTTTAGTGCTACTGAGATAGTCAAGTAACTACTAGTAAGTGTATATATACTGTCTTCTTCTTGTATAGGTTTTGATATATGATGCGATTTTCAGTGATTGTATGTGGGAATAAGACGAATATACCAAGGGGTTTGATTTGAAGTAATAGAAAGTTGGTTTCTAGCTATGTCCTTACTTGTAAATTTGGTTTTGATGGATAATATAACAATAACTGATAACAAATATTTGTATTCATCTTTCTTTTAGAAACAGCAAACCCATTCGGCAATGTAGCGCAATAACATATAACATATTCGCATATAGTACATTTTAGATGAGACGACCTACAACTTTTCTTGCAACCCTTGCTTAACATCTTTTCGCAAAGGTGATCTAACATGGAAGGAGCTTCGAATATGGGGATGTATAAGGGATGTTGATGACTTTTATGGGTGAAACAATGAGGAAGAAGAACGCATCGAACATCTATATGAAGTTGTTGATTAGAAAGAACACACGCTTGACATTTCTTGTCAAGATCTCGACCAGTTTTGTAGTGCTTCTCGAGTCTTAGATGATGATCATGACAAAAGTGTTTTATCAAACCAACATCTATCTTCTTGAATGGTGCAATATCTTCACTATCATCTGACTCTTCAGGCTCCCAGTCAAGTTCTCTCCCATCCCACACATGCTCATGAGTAGCACATTTCTAATCTTGATATACATAAGAACAACTTTCATGGCTGCAAAAATATTGACCATACTTGATATCAACATTCTTGTAGCAAACTGATGAGATCGTGTGTTTTCCTATTTTTGTGGGACTGTTTCTCACTCATTCACGTTTCAATAGCGGTTATTTTGTTCATCTTTTGTGTATTTAAGAGACGATTGTCTCAAAGAATGATAGGAATAAAATATTCAAGTAACTTGTGTCTTAAGAACCAAAGTGTTCTTGTTCTTTGTTGTTCTTGATCATCATTGGTTTTGTCCTAATTTGGGACCTAACACAAACCCGACATGACCAACTAGCAGGAGGAAGGTAAGGAGTATGTGTTTTGTGTTTTGTGTTTTGTATTTTGTGTTTTGTGTTTTGTGTTTTGTGTTTGTGTTTGAGTGTCTTAAGTTCCACTCTTTCACTGAGCCATGAGTTCCGAAAATCCCATCAATGAATCGATTCTAATTGTGGTATGTGTGCGATTACGTATTTAATTTTTGAATCTATGTTAACACATTATGAGTATGTCTCTATTACTTTTTATTCTTATCAATGATAGATTTCTGATGTCATATGTTTAGTGAAATCTAAGCTTTATATGGTAACTATCTGAGCTTTGTTTAAGATAGATATTATGTACGTAGGATATTTTGTGTCTTCATGTTAGTTTTCTTATGATATTTTTAAAATCATGTCATGCATACTACAGTTATGGAGCACAAGTGCATGACTCTCTTTCGACACACAACAATGCAAGATAAATAATTTAAAATAAAATAAAAATCCAAGGGAGAATTCGAAAAAAATTCTGATATGCCATAATCAGTGAACCGGTTGCCAAAATGCCATAACTTAGAAATTAATTTCTTTTCCATTTTCTTTTAAATCAAAAGACAAGTAAAAGACATTAAAACCGGATGAAAGTTAAAGTATTTACGAATCCAACCAGGGTATTACCCGAAAACCATAAACCCGACCCAGTTTAATCGGAATTTTAACCCCAAATCCCTAAATTAACTGTATCGCCGTTTTGCAAGTAAAAAATTTAAATCACAATTTTCTTCGAAATCACACAATTCGAAATCGACTGAAGAATCTCGTAACGGGAAGAGCAAGTGAAGAACTATCGTGAATCTTGCAATGGTGTTGTTGAGAAGCAACAAAGTGACGATGGAACCGGCGCCGAAGTCGACAGAAGCAGCGGAACCAACGAACCCGGAGGCGGAACCGTCGACCTCGACAGAAGGATCTGTTCCTTTCGTTCCGGAACCGATGAAGTCAACAGAACAGTGACGGAACCGGCGCCGAAGTCGACAGAAGCGGCGGAACCAACGAACCCGGCGGCGGAACCGTCGATCTCGACAGAAGGATCTGTTCCTTTCGTTCCGGAACCGACGAAGTCGACAGAACCGGCGACGGAACCGTCGAACTCGACAGAAGAGGCGGTTCCGACAAAAGAACAGTCGAATCCGACAAAAGCGGGGGAAGTGCCAAACAGCGGAACCGACCGACGAATCTCCGCCGACAGAGGAGACGATGGTGACAGGAGAGGCGGAAACCGGAGAAGCAATGCCCAAAGAAAAAGAAGCCCAAACTGAGGAGAAGATGAGCTCAGAAGGAGTTGAATCGGAAAAAGAAGATGAATCGGAAAAAGAAGAAGAGCACGAAGAAGAGAAAGATGAAGAGGACGAGGAATTGCGTGGTGACGAAGAGAACAAGGTATTATCTTGTTTATTATGATTAATTGGATTAAGAGTTTGATAATGGAGACTGATTGATTATGTAGTATCTATGGGTGATGTTTGATGACTAAGTTCAACTAAGTTCAACTATGTAGTATCTATGGGATTTGATGTTCGACTAAGTTCAACTAAGTTCAACTATGTAGTATCTTTGTGATTAATGTTATTGCGAAGTAAAATCACATTGGTTTGTTTTAAATTTTTTTGAACCAGCAGATGAGGAGGATGAGGAGTATAATGATGACAATGATGGCGAGGAAAATCGACAATCTCCACAACAGCAGGAAGAAATTCCTCAACCGGATCAAACCCCACCGGAAGAACCACTTCAACCGGAACAAACAGAAGACGCTGAAGCAATGCCTTCAGATGCACATGTCTCTTCTTTTGCACCGGTCATGGTAATGTTATTTTGAGAATTCAATTCAATGCAAGTTCGAGTAAGTTCGAGTAGGTTCGGGTAAAAGTATAATTAGTAACACTACATTGTTTGACTTGGCGGCAGGTTGATGATGAATATATACCACTGCCACCAGAGAAGTTTTACTTTCGTCCAGATCAGTATAGAAAGAGTTGTAGGATATCATCGAGGTGTTATGTGAATGATACGGTCAAGGACATCAAGAAATTCCTCAGGCGTTGGAATGGTTTTCTAGTCATCCTCAGTTTAAGCATATCTTTCATATGCCTCTGGTGGAAAACCGTAAATCAAAAGGATTTTGGATGCTTCTTCTGCACCTAGCTTGTACTGATAGTGACAGAGAATTATGGTTTGTGGTTAATGGAGTACCTATTAGGTACTCCATTAAGGAGCATGCGCTGCTGAGTGGATTGGATTGTCATGACTACCCTAGCAACTATGGGGAGCTGAAGGACAAGGATGCTGGCGATTTCAAGTTTGTTGAAAAGTGGTTCAAGAGAAGGACCAATATTACCATAGAAGATGTGAAGAAGAAGCTACCGAAAGTGAAGAGCGCTGTTAACAAGAAGAAGATGGCTGCGCTATATTTCTTAACCAATGTCTTGAAAGCGAAGTCCAAATATAAAGGAAACATAGAGCCATTCTTTCTCAAAGTCGTGGATGATTTGGACTTGTGCGAAAAATTCCCTTGGGGCCGTTTGACCTTTGATGATTTGGTAGATGAAGTTAAGAAAGTAGCGAAGAAGTTCAAGGGAGGCGTCGTCAACGAGAAGGATTCATGGACCTTTTCTGGATACATTCTTCCTATTGAGGTAATTCTTTTAATTATTTTCCTTAAATTTACGTGGATATGGTCGTGATATTGTAGTACTCTCTATGTACAGGCTTTTGCGTATGAGTGCATTCCTGCGCTTGCTCGAACCTTTCGAGAACCTGTTCATGCAGAGAGCGACTGTCCAAGGTTGTGCAAGCACAATTTCAAAGCGACTTACATGAAAGGTTATCCACTGTCCGAGATAAACGAAGCAATTGGGAGCAATAGGGTGAGTATTTGTCATCATATAGTGTACTTTATTTTATCTTAATTGAGCAAGCTTATCATGAGTGTATTTAATGTGTTCATAATCGCAGGATATCATAAGCATCTTGGAACCAACCTCAGAGGAGGAAACCCTTATGGAGCGCATCATAGACCCTGGTTGTGATGATGGGATTGGCTACGTGGATCATTTAGTCGACCTTTGGAGAAACCATCTAATCGTCCAAAAGAAGAAGATATGGTGGGAGTCTCTGTACAAGATTGACTTGGCCGGCAGAGGTATCACCGAGTTTGCAAATGAAGTACCAATGCAGGCACCTGACAACGGTGGATCAGTTCAGGGAATGATGGAAACGATGAAAGCTTTGATCGAGGAAGCAACAAAGAAGTTGGAGGATAAGATGGATGATGTTACCTCAGAGATTAAGGCAATGGTTGGGGACTTAGATGAGAGACTTGATATGGTTGAATGTTATGTCAATGAGCAACGAACCAAGAAGGCTCATGATAGAAGCGGAGCAAGTAGTTTTCCTCTAGGTTCTGCTTTTCGGACTCCGGCCGAGAAGGTGGTAGCAGGGGATATAAGTGAAGAAGAGGAGGAGGCGGAGGAGGAGGCGGAGGAGGAGGAGGAGGAGGAGGAGGAGCAAGTAGTAGAACCGCCAAAGAAGAGAAGAAAAGAAACTCCAGCAGAGAAAGAGAAGAGGACAATCAGACCTTCAGCTATTCTCTCATCTCCATATGTGGCTGGTCAGGCAAATAGAAAAAGAAAAGGCAAGACAAGTGGAAAAGGGAAAGGAGGTGCAAAGAGGCCGTACAACACACGTAGGAAACAAGGCTGACGATGGCTTTGTGTTTAGGAAGTTATGTATTGTGTACCATCTCTATGTTTTATGACTTTGGATTGTGTACTATTTCTGTTTTTGAGTTTGGTACAACTGTGTTTGCATAGGTTCGACTGTGTTTTTGGATGGTTCAAGTGTGGAACAATTTGGTTTGGTACAACTGTGTTTGCATAGGTTCGACTGTGTTTTTGGATGGTTCAAGTGTGTTTGCATAGGTACAACTACGTGTGATGGTAAAGATGATATAAGTTTTAACTTGACTTCTTGTTTGACTTGTAATGATTTGTTTTTTGTTGACATGAGTTGCAAAGACATAATGAAAGGACATAATTAGAAAACACATAGTTAAAACATAACTAAAAGACATAATTAAAACATAATTAAAAGACATAGTTTGCAAACAAAGTTTACACAAATCTTAAACACAACTTAAGAAGACCTCTTAAGTAGTTTGAAAAACAGAGGTCTTCATCCGCAGCAACTAAATTGAAAAGAAGGTTGTTGTTACTTGAACCAAACTAAGAACCAAGCAAGGAGAAGTAAAACTGCAGCAATCGCAAACGTGCTCTCCACAGCTTTGTACTTCTTGTTGAAATCACCAATCACCAACTCCAACCTTGTAATCTCCGCTTTGCTCTGTTCATGTTCTTCCTTCAGGTCAGAAATACGTTTCTCCGCAATACGCATGTCCATGATGATGAATGTTAGCTCGCCGTCCTTCAGCTCCGAGATTAACTCCTCCATTCCGGCACGGTGGTGAGTTTGAAGACTCTCAATTTCCCCAGAAACCCGCTTGATGTCAGAGTGAAGTATTTCTAACTCCTCTTCAATCACACGATCCCACCACTTCCGAATATGATAACCGGGTTTCTACAATCAAAAATAACAAAGTTCACCATGAATCTAACATTACCCTAAACCCTAGAAAGAACTACATTAAAAGAACCCAAAACAAAAAGAATTTGGAGACTCAACTAACCGCTCGGAATTCGCAGGAGAAGTATAGTTTTCCAGGGTCTTGTTCGGTGCGAGACGTTTCCCTAATGACCCTTCCACCGCAGTAACAGTAGCTCGGCATACCGTACTCACCATCTCTGATGGTATTTTCGTCGAGTGAGTATGAAGATGAAGACGAGGTTGCAACCCAACTGTGAGGTCCCATCTCAGAAAATGAGAGAGAGAGAGGAATCGAAGAGAGGAATTGAAGAGACAAAGGGAAAACCTAAGCGAGAGAGAGAGAGAGAGGAGAGAGAGTGAGATCGAGAATAAGAACCCTAGAAATCAATTTGGGGAAACTCCTTTGTTTTTTCCTTTTTCTTCTCGTTCTTTTAAAGTATTACCAAATAATGAAAATTGCGGCGGAAATATAAAATAAAACAATTTAAAAAAATAATAAGATTCCCGCTTACTTTTCCCGCCGGCGGAAAGTTAAAAATTTGCAAAATTCGGGGAAAAATGGTCATAGTTGTACTCATGCCATTCGTCGAACCAAAATTAGACATAGTTGAACATCTGCGAGTTTTGGGTTTTTGTAGTAGAACCACATTTCAATGTGTAATGGTCAAGTTGAACCAATGATAGTTCATCTTATTTTATCATTACAAACATTATCATGTCAAAATTTTAGACAAAACTCGTTTTCTTCTTAATTTGAATCACATCATTGACACATTACCTACATATTCCATATATTGTATAGGGTGCTTGATGACTAACATGCTTATCCAGTAGGATAATTTTTTTTTTATCAATTTTTGTTCTTTCTATCAAATAAGTAGACATAAATATGTTTTTTTCTTAATTAACTCCTCTATATTGCATATCATAAATATATTCACTAAACATTTGCCGTTCGTATATAATTCGAGCCGCATAGTCGAACCTATGGGAGCTAGTTGTACCAAATGTACTTGAAACCAAAACACGTCCACATTCACAGACGCAATGAACATTCTCTATACATGCGGGAACCTGGCAGAACCATATCAGAACCTAGTTCTGAACAAGTCGTTTATCAGCTAATTCCATAACCTTTAGCATAATTCAGTAATTCCATAACCTTTACCATATTAGAATACAAACCCACATTATTTACATACTTGAACCTACTTGAACCTTGTAGAACCTTGTTCCGAAATTTTGATAATAAAAACACTGAATATTAGTACATACTTGAACCTGTTAGAACCCATCAGTACAACTTCAAGTAACACACTGCAGACAACATGACTGCAACATTGTTCACACAAACTTCATACAACATAATTAAAAACAAATTCAAGCGGTTAAAGCAAGCCAATTCAAATCCAAACAACATAAATACCAAATCCAAACAACAGAATTGCAATTGTTACTCGTTTGGAGGTTTAAAAAAAAACACCCAAATCCTGATGAGGCTTACACTTGTTACTCGTTTTCTTCTTCTTCTTTTTACGACTTTCTCCTTCTGATGGATGTCGTTCTTCTTGGTTTCTTCCTCTTTTTGCTGTGTAATCAGGAGGATAAGCGAACAATTTCAGAACATCCTCCGGGATTGCCCAAGTTGAGATATGGGGCACTGTATAGATCGTTTTCACATATGCTCGTGCCCATGTCTCAACCAAATAGTATCTGGAGCACAAATCATATACAGAAAGAGTCGACATTCTTCCATCCTTCTTTATCTTTGCCATGAGTGCGGCAATTGCATGGACACACGGGTACTTGTCAATGTCAAACATTCTACACACGCAAGTTTTGCTCGCCAAATCCACAAGACATACCACACCATCTGAACCAAATACGTCGAACAGAAATTCCTGACCATTTACCTCCCTGACCGTTAAACGCTTAGCTATTGGACATCTTTCGTGAAGAACATTCTCCACAAAAGGCACAACGACCTTTGTACTTGGCATTGAAGCGCATTCGTTCCTATACTTGTTGGACCAAAAAGCGAATTTCTCTATTATCTTATCAAGCATTGGTAAGAGAGACAACTTTCTGTCTTTCCTAAACACACTGTTCATAGATTCGCAAGAATTGCTGGTGTCTAAGTTATACTTTTCTCCTTCAAAAATGCACCTTGCCCACCTTTCCACATCTATCTTGTCAACCAAAAACTTAGCACACGCAGGATACAGCTTCCTGAACTCATCAAACTCCTTTTTAAACTCAGACCCAGTATAAGCATGAGCGCATTTGATGAACTTATCAACAACATCGTCTTTCTTAACACCTTGCTGAGCATGCCCTTTTACGTTCTGAGCCAGATGCCAAATACAGTGTACATGGCGAGCCAATGGATAGACCTTCGAGACTCCATATATGATGCTTTTATGTCTGTCACTAACAAAAACGAGTTCAGGATCATCTGGTACAACAGCTTTCAGGTTTTCCAGGAACCATGGCCAACTACTATGATTTTCGCTATCAATTATCCCAAAGGCAATAGGGTAATGGTGATGATTAGGATCTTGAGCAGTGGCAAACACAAGCTGTCCACCATATACAGTCTTCAGAAACGTTGCATCCACAACTATCACTTTCTCATCCATTGAAACCCTTCAATGCTCGCTCCCAAAGCAACAAACAGATACTCAAACCTGTGCAAAGCATCTAGTTGCACATTCGTTTTGCTTCCAGGATTTTCCTGCTCCAGCATGTACAGATAAGAAAATAACATCTTGTAGCCTTCTTCAGGAGTGCCTCGAACATCACTAACGTGTAGTTTTTTTCCTCTCAAGCCGTTGAGTATGACACATTCACACCAAGTCTACGGTGAACAACATCGACAATTGTTTTTGGAACTGGTGTGTCAAACTGACCTGGATAGTCTTCATGCAAAACCGATGCCACTAATCGTGGGTTGCCTCTCCTTCGAGAGCTGTTACTACTTTCAACAGCCCGTGAGCAGTTGTGCTTGTTCCAGTATTTTCGGACACTGAAAAAATCTGATCCACCTTTCCTCGCAGCATATATATACCAATTACAGCCTCCGCTCTTCTGAGTGCACCTTAGGATAAGTCGGCCAGTGTCAGACTTGTAAGTGCGGACACCAAAACAATGCTTGTGTGAAGCTCTGTCAACCAAATCTTGCAATGCCTCCTTTGATGGAAATTCTTGTTTTATTTCAAGACCAATACCATCTTCCCATTCTTCAGCCAACTTAATTTCTTCTACAGGACGTGAAAGCTCAAAATCCTCATCAAAGAAGTTTAACCCATCTTCCTTACTATCTGGTTCTGGACGCTTCTCGTTGCCATCCTCTTCTTTACCATCAGACTCAACCTCTTCGATATGTGGCTCTTCAATATGTGGCTCTGGCTCCTCAACATGTGGCTCTCTGAATATGGTAACGACACCATCACCTCTGTCATTTGGAACCGACTCCTCCTCGTAATTCAAACCAAATGAACTTTCTGCATCCGTTCTAGACAGGTGGTCGCTCCTATGATTTGCTCTGTTCGTGTTCTTGGTTACCTCCACATGCAAAATCCTCCTAAATCCCAGATTATCAATTGTCGTTAGATAAGCAAATAGGTCTTCATCATCAAAAATGTACATCTCTCTCGCAGGATTATTTGACATTGGAATGTAACTCAATTTCAGCAGCGGCTTAGCTCCATCTCTTGCAATCTTCCTGCATATCTTATCCACAACCGCCGAGTACGTAATCTCCTCCAAAGATGAGATCTTGAATGTTATAGCGCAAGTGGGATTCTTTGAAACCCATTTCAGTTCCTCTTCTGCATAATGACCTCCGTGGTCGAAAAATATGTTTGTGATGATCATGCTCATTGTTACCCTGCAAATATAATGAAAATAATCAATTCCCAATTACAAAACATCTCACAGTTGTACTACGTGTACCAGTTGAACTTTTACTACCATTACTTTTTAAAATGCAGTTGTACCTATATGAACCAGTTGAACCACTTAATCAACTAAGTCCCATTTGTACCACTCGTACCAGTTGTACCATCTCTGCAGGTTCCGATCTAGTTCAAATACAGTTCACTCGCTGCGATTCACAAGCTACATTACTCAAAAAGCTTAATCTACCGCCTATTCTATCAATGCATGTATACCATTGGAATGCCTATATCCAATGAACCACCCAATGAACCAATTTACGGATCCATGCACCAAACAAATTAGAAACTCACTTTCAATGGACTTGAAGCTTCAGCAATGGTCAAACAAACGAAAGGGAACATCCACTGTCTACGGAGGTGAAAGAGGAGGCGGAATAGGTATAGATGAGCTCAGGTCGAAGAAGATTTCGAGTTCAGTGAAGATTTTGAGTGAGAGAAGCGAGCTGAGCTCGAGAATTCCGACCACGATTTCCGATTTCCGAAATCCAATCAATTCGATTGTTTTATTTTATTTTCTTTTTCAATTCTTTTCGATTTTTATTTATTTATTTTAAGTTATTGTTTTCATTAAATTTTAGAAAGGTGAAAAGGAAGAAGGAGGGAGAAAAGAGTAATTGCACATCATCTTGTGGCATTAGATCATTCTTTGGCACACGAGATTAACTTTCGCCAAATTGTGGCAAATCAGCCGCGCGCTTCTCCCTAAGCGAAGGCGATGGCAAGAGTGAAGGTGGTGGCAACGAAGCACAAGTTTACTTGGATCGCAAATGAAAAGGCAAGAAAAGCCGCTTACAAGAAGAGAATGCAAGGATTGATGAAAAAAGCTCATGAACTAACCATTTTGTGTGACATGAGTGCATACTAACCATTTACAGAGAAGAAGATAACGAGATTGAGGAAAGAGCAAAACATCCTTATATAGAAGATGTCAACGAGCCATTTCTGGAGGATGAGACCCCGAGGGCTATGGATTTTGCGTCTGAATGGGGGAAAAAATGGTTTTAAGCCAATGGAAAGGGGAAGTGTTTATATTACATGTATAAATGGATTTTATTCGATGATGATCCAAAAGTCCTAAACCATTGCGATGAGATGAGACTCATTTACCCACATTGGTATCTTGATTCAACCTAAACGTGGTGCCATCTGATGATGAAGAGGACATGGATAACATCTATCTAGGAGAGAGCAGCAAATCTGGTGGTGCTGACGATGCCTAATGAAGTAGGTGATGTGAGTCAGGTTTTACCAAACTCTTTAGACCTCTGCAAGTGCAAATATCGTAGAAGTATGGGTATCGAACACAAGGACTGGCTATTGAGTACACTTTGAAGATATAGATTCCAGGTCAAGCTAAAACCATAATATTGGTTTTGGGGTTGGGGTTGTAATTGTAACTAGAACTAAACAAGTAAATGAGATTGTGAATTCAATGGGAAGAAAGCGCTAGGCCAACAGTGGCTAATCGCAGAGAAGCAAACAATGATCAAGATTCAATGATAGATAATATGGTTTAGGGATATTGGGATGATAAAACCGTTTAGGATACAGAACACGAATATAAAACCTTTCCACTGTCGTGGCTCAGACTCCTATGACAACCTATCTAATCGCTATACTTTTGGTATGTCCTTAGTGGTTATTCAAGCATTAGATTAAGAAAGTTCCGATTCAGTTCACTAGGTTAAGTAAATCAACTGTTGCAATCTAAGAAACCTAGCTTGTCAAAGAATATGTCCGACGAATGATACATCATTGTCGTAGCTCAAATCAACCTAAGATCGGGTTACTAGATGCACGGTAAAGTAATCAGCAATATTTAATAACCCTCCTGTGTCATTCCCAAGTGGTGGCCGCCTTGTTTCGTGTGATGGCCTTTGTATCTCCTTTTAACCTCCCTTTGGCCGCCATATGCATGTTGGTTTTAGGTGGTTGATAGGTTTGCTCTATTTCTCCTTCCTGTCAAATGGTTAACACCTTGCAAAACACTTGAAATCATGATTAGATGGTTTCTCAGATTGTGATCCTCAAGTGACCAGCTTGAAGTTCACAATCCAAGAGATTAAAGCACAAACTATAAATTCTTATTTGGTCTTGGTTAATGATCCAAATTTCAAACTATAGTTCAATCTCTTGTAATTTCAGTGAGCAAAATGAGTTTTGACAAGTGATTATGTATTCTTTCCAATCATCAAATGTAAATCAAGTTAAACCATGAAATATATTTGTAAAGTGCAATGGTTTAAACGATTTTTCAAGTGAAGATCAAGAGTGATTAGAAATGAATACTAGGTGAGAGTTTACTTACCTTTTGGAAGAGAAACGCCTTGTACAAGGGTGGGCTCATTGGGTGGGACACTTCCATTGTTTGGTCTCCTTTGGGTCTTCATCCTAAGAAAATATTTTTGTATTTTTGTTTGATTTTTGAAAAACTCCTGCAAAATAGAAATAGATAGTTAAAAACCATATGGGTTGCCTCCCATAAAGCGCTTTTGTTTTAAGTCATTTAGCTTGACTCCTTTTCTTTCTTTCAATCGTGGTGAAGAGTGGCTGAAGGGCAAAGGATCCCTTTAGCTTCTCCATTCTCCGGTGTAGTGGATTCTTGTGGTGGTGTTGTCGCGCCATAGTCATCTCTCACATCATCTTTGAAAACCAATGCCTTGGGGAAAAGCTTCATAGTTCTCTCAAGCTTCTCTTCAATGGATTGGTCACCTTTAAGCTCCGAATCTTTTGGTGTAAAGATTCTTATCTTGTGAAAGAGATTAGGTGCACCATTAGTCTCCTCTTCAGCTCCATACTCGTCAAAGGTTGGAAGTGAGATGGAGTTGATTTCCTTAAAGACATTTTCATGCCTCGGCTCCAATGTTTTCTTCTTCTCCTTTGGTTTTGGGTAGCGCTCACTCTCTCTTCTTTCTCCATGCAGCATAGCTTCTTTCTTAGGCGTGAGAGTGGCTTCTTCTGGTGGTAGCTTGGTCGCACTTGGCACTGACCTGAAATTTACACTTGGGAAAAAGATATCTTGCCGGATGTGGCCAAAAGATAGATGATTCCCAAAGTAGTTTAGGACCGCTCCAGCTGTAGCAAGGAATGGGGTTCCAAGAATCAGTTGATTCCTCTTTGAGCCTTCCCAAATCATGACTTGAAAGTCAGTTGGGACCGATCGACCTCCTATTTCCATCATGACATCTTCAAGCATTCCATAGGGTTCCATGCACGATAGATCCGCGAACTCGACTCTTATCTTGGGGCTCTTGAATTCCTTGAATCCCAAATCTTTTGCAAGTGCAAGAGACATTAGATTAACATTAGCACCAGTATCACATAGGCAATCATGGAGTTGAATGCCATTGATACTTGAAGTTATCACAAACTTCCCCGGATCTTCTTGTTTTTGTAGTGGCTTGCCTTCAAGTCTTCTCTTGTAAGCTCTTCTTGATTCCCAACTGTATCTCTCCGGTTTGTGCCTCTCCTTAGGCTCATTTTCTTCTTCTTCCCCTTGAGATAGTGTAGGAACAATTGTGCCATCTATAGATGAGACAACACTACAAAATTTTTGAGTGTTTACCTCATTTTGTTTCTTGGCCGCCTCGGCTGTTTGAGCGATTTGCACCTCAAGCTTTTGAACGTGAGTAGAGAGAGACCCAAACTTGCTGCTTAGATCACCAAACATGTGATCAAGCTTCTCATATAGGTTCTTGGTGATCAATCTCTGCTCCTCCATGTATTTCTTCAACGCCACGTCAACCTTCTCTCCGGTTTGGGTTGGATTTGTTTCTTGAGAAAAAGTGAATGGTTGCTTCACTTGGTACATCCCTCTTGGATAGACTTGTTGTGGCTTGGATTGGTATTGGCCTCCTTGATACGCTCCTTGATTGGGGTAGACTTGGTCATTTGGATTCTCCACATTGTTGCTCCGGTATGATAGGTTTGGATGCGCGCGAAATGGTGGATTGAATCCTCTATTCCCATAGTTTCCTCCAATGTAGTTGACTTCCTCTAGATTCTCTTCAGTGGCCATCTCTCATGAAATCCATAAGAGTGTCTTCATTTGTGGCTAGGGCATCTTCAATGGCGTGAACTCCTTGCCGGCTTTTAAGTAGTTGTGAGACCATGTTCCTTAGCTCCGAGATTTGAGCTGATTCTGATGAGCTCGTGGTCTTCACGCTTCTATTGTAGTCAGGGCATGCATTGGCATCACTAGCAGCGAGATTCTCAATCAAAAGCTTTGCCTCCGGCACCGACTTGGTCATGAAAGTTACCATTGCTCGCGGTATCGAGAGAAAGCTTGTATTTATGATCAATCCCATTGTAAAAGATGTTCCAAAGGTTACCTTCTGAAAAGCCATGGTTAGGGCAGCTTCTTGTGTACTCCTTGAATCTCTCCAAAGCTTCATAGAATGACTCCATTGAATCTTGCTTGAAACCAGAAATCTTGCTCCTTATAGAGTTGGATCTTTGCTTAGTGTAGAATTGGTTCAAGAAAGCTCCCTTGTATTCATTCCATGTTGTAATGGACTGAGGTGGTAAAGATTTTACCCATCTTAGCGCCTTGTCACTTAGAGAAAAAGTGAATAGCTTGCACTTGAAGTAATCCGGCGATACTCCATTAACACGAGTTGTGCTACATATCTCCTCAAAGGTGTCGACGTGATCAAGAGGATGCTCAGTGGGCAAACCATGGAATTGGTTTTGCTTCACCAAGGCAATGATCTGCGGTTTGATCTCAAAATCGTTCCTTGGAGGTAGAGGCGGTCGGATTGGATTCCGATCCATAAAGAAGGCATCGGACGAATCAAAGTCTCCCATAGTTTGGTGCCTTGGATGCTGCGCGTTTGGCACTCTCCTTGGAGGTGCGTGAGGTTGGTCTTGAGGCATCCCTTGGTTGTCACCGTGACGATGATGTCCATTTGCAAACGCCGGTGGTGGTCGCGGCGGGTTAAGAGGTGGCTGTAGCGGCTCAGCTGCATCGGGCGCGTTCGGATTGGGCGGAGGAACGTCTCTGGCCGGTGCTGGCTGGTCAGCTCTAGCTTCTGCTGGATTAGGAGGATCATTGGCTCTCCTCTCTTGGTCGGGCGGGTTGTTTGGCCTATTTGGCGCGCCTTCTCCGCCTGGATTCATTCTTTCTCTCCTTAGTCGCCTAAGAGCATCCGCATTGCACAACTCAATGTGGAGCTCTTTAGAGTATTTTAAGAGTAAATATATTATTAGTTTAAGTAAGAGATTCTTTAACATTTTTCATCCACATCCCACAAACCATATGGGGTTCTTTAGCAAAGATAATAAACATGAGTCTTGTTGATGGGAACATTTTGGTGGAAATCACTCTCGTTAAAAGAAGGTGGATTAGATCCTAAATTTAGTCATTGAAAATCATCAAGCGAGACTTCTTTTAGTGAAACCGAGGAGGAGCTGCTGCTAAACAAAGGTGTTGATCGATGCACTTCTCTATCTAACATCAACAATCTCACTCTGCAACACCATTGCCAAAAAAAACCCAAACGGATAAGGAGAATGAATCGAAGTGAAAATATTGAGTATGAGCCATACAATAAAAACAACGTATACCGAGTCAATCACTAACTATACCTTGTAGTTTTGACAACATTAAAAAAACCTCAGCTTCGTATCAGTAGCACGATTCTCGCTTGTGACAGAGAAAGCTCTATTACGGCCTGATAAGCTCACCACCTTTCACTTTTCCTTGCCAAGGAGATATCCATTTCCCTAAACATTCATTGGGGACATTCGAGGCTCCAATCAAATTCTGAGCAACATCTTTCGAAACAGAGTATCTGCACACCAAAAATTAAAGGTTCAATTTTGAAGATGATTACCCTCCTCAGCAAGAACCAATGCATATGGAGAATAACTATATCAAGTTGAAAAACATTTTCCATTTGAATTTCTCATCAACGCTTTGGCATCGACAATCATTTTTGGAAGTTACGTATCACAAATTAGCGAAAAGAAATGTAGAAAAGAAGCACCTTTGTGATCGCAGCAGTTAAAGTAGTCTTCCCGAGATCTACATGACCAATTGTTCCAACGTTTACATGAGGTTTACTGCGATAAGAGCAACAATAACACAGATTAACACACACAAATGGTTCATTTTCAACATCTGCTAACGCAAGCTCCAACCAAATTCAAATCAAGGAAAAGAAGGAAACAAAACTCACTTTCGATTAAAAGTAGCCATCGATCTCCAGAAGGAAGTCTCGAAGCTTGTGGAAGAGAGATCATCTCCTCCGATTGAGTGAGAGATCGAATAAGATGAAGGAATGGAACCACCGCAGCGCGAGTAGATCTGGGAAGAGACAATAGATACACGATTGACACAAAAGACCGTCGAACGATCCGTCACCGGAGATCGAAAAAGAACGATTTTGAGCGGCGGTGAGATCGGAGAAGAAGATGGAGAGAACGAGGAAAAACGATTTCGAAGAAGAGAGAAGAAACAAAAATTATGAGAAAGAAAAAAAATATGGCGGGACAATATGGAGGCGACACGTGGTGTGAACAAGGCAATTGGAGACGGCTCCAAAGCCCCTTCCGCGAGAGCCGATTCTCAGACTTTTCGGTGCCAGCTCGATAAATGTTCTGTTTTTTTCTTTATTTTTGGGTGTGAGAGTCGATGAAAAACTGTGCAATGCGGGTGCTCTAAGTGTGCGCTCAAGTTGGTCAATGTCAAGATCTTCTTCAATGGTTGTATTTGGATTGGACCTTCTTGTCATGCACCTTAGAAACACACAAAGAGAGAGTTAAGTAAAATTTTTATGGATTTTTAAGATTTTATGAAAAGCAAAAACAAAGAAAAGTGAAAGATGAGATGAGCTAGTCTTGAAACAAATCAAGAGGTGTGAAGGAAAAGCAACTCCTCCCCGGCAACGGCGCCAGAAAGCTTGATGGCGGGTTTAGATTGCCTCAAATTTTCACAATTTATAAACCCAACTAATGAGCTGCAAGTGCACAGCCGTGTTGTAGTCGGGGTCGAACACGAGGAGGAAGTGTTCTCACTTAACACCTTGTGAGATTGGTTTGTAGCTAGCTCGCAATATGAGGTGGTTTTGGACCTAGAATGAGAAAAAAACAAAAAGATGTGAGTGAGTTGTAAACAATTTAAAACAAGAGTTAGGCAAAGGACAATCATATGGAGCAATGATGAAAAGATAGTTGCATGGGATGTGTGTAGAGCCGTCTTGAACATGAATCACTAGTGTATGGTCTTTCCACTGTCGTGGCTCCAACCACTATGTTTAAAACAACCTAATATACTCAGCTTTCGTTGGCTATTAGAATTGCAAACATGCATTACAAGGTTCAAGATTCAATTGTTCACAATAAACCATAACTCAGCTTTCGTTGGCTATGATCTATTGCTCACCAAATACTAGTTTTGAGATCTAGATTCAGCACTGTCGTGGTTCTATTTCTCTAAGATCAGATTACTAGATGTACGGTAGAGTAATCATGCATTAAGCTCAAGTAAAGGTGAAGATCCATAAGATAAATCCCAATAAGTTGCAACACAATCAAATCATCACGGCCACCATAGATCTCCTCGGCCTAACTAAGAGATCTACTCGGCCATGATGCAAACAAGCAAGCAAAGCATGATTGTAAACATTATGCAAGTATTAAAAGAGATAAAGGGATGAAGAAAGCTTCTCTATTGATGAACAAAGTCGGATTCTCCCTTGAAAACTCTTAAGATCAAGTTTATAGAAATGGAAACAATGAAAAAGAAAGAACAAGAGTTGAGCGGCGCCTCCTTCTTCTTGGACGATCTCCTAGGGCTTCTCTTCTCTCTCTTCTCACACGTAACTCTTTGTAATTTTCGGACTGGACTCGATTCTCTTCTTCAGCGGCTAAAAACATGTATATATGGGCGAAGTCGCGTAGGGTTTTCTTCATGCCGGAAAAGGAAAGTTTCCCGCGAGCAAAGCCTTCTTCTCCACGTCGTGTATGGGCCGACATTGTACCAAGGAAAGCTCCAAACATTAGCCAGGCCTCTTCTCTATTCGATCAAGGCCTTTGGCGCTGCTGCTCGGGCCATTAGACACTCCAAATCCTCCATGGGCTTCGTTTACTCGCTTACCGGACATGTCTCGGTAGAAAATAAGTCTAGGCCTCATAGTTGATCCAAATGGCTTCATTCCACTTCGACGTGATGCATGACTCAAGTATCTATCTTTCCATATCAAGATCGTAACTTTTGGACGTCGGGAACTCCTCCGCGCGCGGCCAAACTTCCGAAGCTTCGTTCTGCGCGCAAGCGAGAACTAACACTTGGAGATAAAATGATCTTCTTGACTTGGAAACTTGCATGGATCTTGATTTAGGGCTCTTTTACTCCTTTTTGCATCCTTTTTGATTATTTCACCTACAAAGACTTCAAATCCCACAAATACAAGAAAACTACCTCTAAAGGCAAAGAATCTTGCAAAAACCGTTTGAAAACATAGGTAATTATATAGTAAAATCATGTAAAATATGGTGATATCAATAGATAAAGGTTTAGAAAACTTCTCTAAATTGAAGTAAGGAGGAGAAATCCTCTCACTGAAATCTCGAGAACAAAACTCTAAGTGTAAAAAAGTGATACAATATGCGGCTCTCTATCTTAAGAGGCTAAAAAGTTATATTTCTAGTGCTAGGTCTTTGGAGGCGGCATTAGGTTTACTCGGCCGTGAAAACATGTGAAACAGGCTTAAAAAACGGGCTTGGGTCGACCAGACCGTTCGAACGGTCGGTTGGGTCTGACATTGCGGTCGTGCGCGGTACGCGGATTCTGGGAAGCGGGCAGGTCGACCGCGGGGCGATGCTTCCCGGTTCAGACGATGCGGTCGTGCGCGTTGCTGAGTGCTGAGTGGAAGTGGGGCGACCGTGTAGATTTTCTTCCCGGTTCGGTTCGTGTGCTTGGTCGCGCGCTATGCTGGATAAGTATGGTGTGCTGCGCGGGTCGACCACGGGATGATGGTTCCTTGGTCGGCTGATGCGTGCGGCCTTGGGCGCCGAGTGATTACTTTGCGCGGTTCCGGCTGTCCATACCAGTCTTCGCTAAAACGATCATAACTCCATTTCTACTTATCCAAATGATGTGAATTCACTTGCGTTGGAGAGTTAAATCTCTCAGGGCATGCGGCAAAATGTTCTTGATGAAATCCATTGAGTAGAATGTTTTTAAGGCCTTCTCAAAGTTGATGCTTCGGCATGGAGCGAGATGAAGTCCAAATCTTGTAGTTTCGCCCCAAAATGCATCATTCTATCTGCTTAGACTCTTAGTAATATAAATCCAATAAAACTACCTTTTTAGATTGAAAAATTGCTAAAAACCAGTAAAAACCATACTAAGATAGTATAAAAAGCATGTAAAATAGAGGCATATCAGTAGGACAAGTGGGTGATTATGCAAAGCATGATCTAATTTACGAGGTCGTGGAGAGAGAACTCGCATTGTCCACAATCGTAGAAGTCTTTTGATTCGATAGGAAGAACACACGGTTGACATTTCTTGTCAAGAACTCGACCAATTGTGTAGTGGTTCTCGAGTCTTAAATGATGATCATGACAAAAGTGTTTTATCAAACCAACATCCATCTTCACTATCATCTGGTTTTTCAGGCTCCCATTCAAGTTCTCTCCCATCCCACACATGCTCATGAGTAGCACATTTCGAATGTGCTACATAAGAACAACTTTCATGAATGCAAGAATATTGACCGTACTTGACTTCAGTTTCTTGGAAACATCTGTACCAATCTTTTGGATCATTTCTCCTTCGTTAGCCCTGACAAAAAGCAAACAAAATCATGTTGGTGGGTCTAAATTTACAAAAGTTTGAACCTACTGATTAAATATACATTCTTTTATTACAAAAAACATATAAAATCTAAATCAAACAACACAAGGATTATTCTTCTTCAAGCAAAAACCAGAAGAATCAAGTAATAAGAACAGTCACTAGACCACCAACATTTGTTGACAAAGATACAAAAATTTCATACCAATAGCGAGAATCTTCTTCAACGTTTGCGACATCAGCCAAAGCTTTGCTCCTGATCCTTGAATGTTGTGATTCCCTCGCTATCAAAGTGATTTTGTAAGTGACGGAGAAATCCTCTATGGACATCTGGGCCGTGAAAGCTGGGAAAGACATGGAATCTCTTAATGTGAGCAGAAGGAGAAGAAGAAGAAGAAGCCATGATGAGAGAGGATAAAAAGAGAGGTTGAAGAAAGTAAGAAAATGGTTTTGGGTAAGCTATTGCGAGTCTCGTCTGTTAGGATATTCTCGGATGAAACATTTGGCGGTTGATTACCATTACATTCGTGGTCTTGTTCAATCTGGTTCACTCCGTGTGGTTCATGTCTCTTCCGGTGATCAGCTCGCTGATGGTCTCACCAAACCTCTTCCGCGGATCCAATTTCAACCTCTGATGAACAAGATTGGTCTCAGCTATGCACGCCCATCTTGAGGGGGTGTGTTAGGATATTATCTATACCTCTGTATATAGAATGTTTCCTTTCTAGATTCTATGTACTCTTGTATAAATACTCTTGTATACCTCTTGTGAATAATAAGAAGAATCACTTTCTATATCGTCTTCATAATATACTACAAGAAAACATGACTAAATCCTACCAGAATTCTTACGAAAATATTGGTAGGAAAAGTTTATTACCAATTTTTTACGAAACTATGACGAAAAATAAAAATGGTAGGAAAGTGGTAAATAATTTCCTACGGATTAAAGTCGTCAGAAAATGATCAAAAACATTCTAACCATTTTCTACCAAATTAATGTTCGTAGGAAATTTGGTAAAAAAGTTGTAGAAAATTGGTTGATATATTTTGATTGTTAAAAATGTAGGAAATTCGTTAAAACTTTTTAACCACTTTTCTACCAAATATATATATATCGAAGCACAACGCATAAAGATAAAAGAGAAAATTACAAAAGGAATTTGTATGTTTAAGAGGAAACAACAAGTTCAACAAGAGCATGTTTCCTCTCGACGACTCATAAAACTGAGTTAATTGGAAATCGCCAACGACTCGTAAAAGTGCAATCCGCGGGAAATTAGAGGAAGAAGACGAAACAGAGATTCACTTTAGGGATTCTATTACTAAACCAACCAATTTAGTCCCAATCCAGAAGTTAATTTGGCAACTAAAATGACTTTTAATTCGTTCGGAAACGAAGAAAAAACAAATCTCAGTTTGCCAGTGCCACGTCAAAACTGAAACTTGACTCGGTTTCGAGTCAACGAATTTCGGTTCGGTTTGCCACGTCACTGTTCTTAATCTACAAACACTCTCAATATTGGTGTATGTAGATAACACATGTTGTTTGCAATCGCATTACGAGAGCTTGCTCTTAATCTTTTCTCTCTACACTGAAAGCAACTTTCTTTGTAAGAAAACACTGAAAAGATTAAGAAGAAGAACACAAGACTCGTACTCGTACAACAACTAATTTAAGGCTTCTATAAGCCCCGAGTAGATGCACGGAAATGCTTGTTCTGAAGCCCCGTCTCTTTGGTCTCAACTGCAAATCACAAACATAAACGGTTGGTTTGGCTAAAAAACACTCAAAGATCAACAGTTTTGTAAATTTGAAAATTTGTTTAAGATTTGTTCTATATCACACTTGTTAGAAAAACAATTTCTTCTGTTTATATTCCAAACAAATTATGTTTGCTATGATAAGAGGATTCAAATCAAAGAGAGTCAACAACAACATTTGAGGATTTGAGAGCTCTTTTATTACCTTTTCTTCAGCTCGTTTACAGAAGCTGCGTATTAGTGTGTTTTTTAATCCGTAGTTATCACTGCCACACACACACAAAACAAAGAAAACAGATACTATAAATCAATAGCAAATTAGCAATGAATTATATGTATAAAACTCAAAACTATTGTATCTGATTAGCAGCCATTTCGTCATGAATTCAAATAAGATACAGACATAATACGCAATGAAAGAGCATGGCTATCACATTATCAACTCCACCAACTTGTATGGTTACTGCTTTTGACACTTTGATTTTTAAAGACCTAAAATAACTCCATCATTGTGCTCCTTGCATTTGCGGCTGCTATTACTACTAAAGATCTGTACACCGCACTCAACAATCTTGTCAATATCCCGGCAGCTGACTTCAAATTGAATCTCGCTCGTAGTCGCATCATCCAGGTATTCTTTAAACAGGCGCCCAGAAAATACAAACAGCTGTTCTGTTAGAAATTGAGGACATGGTGGCCGATAATGTTCGGAAAACCTAAGTTCATTGATAAGGAGACCTTTGCTTCTTAGACGACAATGTATTATATGTATACGGTTAACAGTCTTGATCGGTAGGGCCGGTGAAAGCAGGATGCAAGCTTTGAAACTTGAGGATGCAGAGAGAATCCCTGAAGAGATGGTTATGGAGTGTCCTTTGGCTATGTGAGTGAACTCTCCAGGTATTTCTTTACCTGGTAACACTACTTTCATGAAATCCCATCCTTGTATGAGTAATCTTCTTGCTTCTTCATCTAGCTTCGTACAGTTACGGAACAAGACTTCTCTAGTTGGATGGTTGAAAAAGGAAGATACTCTTATCGCTTCTTTCTCCGATTGCACACAGTAATTTTCATAGAAGGAGAAACTGACGCTTTTGAGTGATCCACAATCAGCTGCATTGAGTCTCCAAAGCGAAGAGGGAAGAATCTGCAGTGACACCAGCTTTCAGCTGCAGTTTTGGATGGTAAGTTCACATAGCAAAGGGAGACCTATTACACAATCTGGAATCCTCTTTATATCACTGTTGCTTAGGTTAAGCAAATGAACACATTCCAGGACATGTGTTAACCTGATGATGACAGCTACCAAGGAGCTGATATATCCTTTCATGTTTTTACCAAGGTTTTCACTATGTTTTCAATACAAATAATGTGGTTTTTAGCCCAAGAGGTAGTTTTCTTGTATATTCTGGTTTTGAGCATCATTCAGGTCAAAATAGCAAAGAAGAGTCAAAATGGAGCAAAAGGAGTCAAATCACCAAGTTCCCAAGTCTAGAGCACCAAATCTACATTTCTCGCTAAAGACCAAACCGGAGCATCCGAAGTACGACCGCATATTCATGCCTTCCCGACGTCCAAAAGTCATGATTCTTATATGGAAAGATAGATATTTGAGTCATGACCCGCGGCGAAGTGGAAAGAGGTCATTTGGATCACTCGTTGGACCGGAACTTATTTTCTACCAAGACATGTCCGACGAGCGCCTAAGTAGAGCCCATGGAGACTTTGATGGATCAAGAGGCCCGAGTACCGCGCCCAAGGCCTTGGCTCGTCTTGACACTAGCATAACTCAATCCAGAAGCTTCCATTGGCCTGAACGCGGCCCATTCAAGAACTTGGAGAGCAAGCTCAAGCGGCTAAAGAGAAATGGAAACTTTCCTCTTCTGCGCGCGCTCAACTTTGCCGACCTAGACCCGCTCTCTACCTATATATACTTGCTTTTAGCCTCTTGTAATAAGAATCACCAGCCGCATAACAAGAAACACTTATTCAATAAAGTTCGGAGCCACTTAGGTGGTCTCCTTCTTCTTTCTTTTCTTCTTTTGCATTTGTATATAGCTTGCATGTTTCAATTTATATAGTCTAGAAGTAGAGATTTCTCCCTAAGGGTGAGGCGGTTTAGTCATATTCCGCCGCCTCTCTCTCTAAGGATTCATGAGACTTCATCTACTATCTAAGACTCATTGTTGAATTATGGATCCTTCCAATGAGGACGTGATATAATGGCCATCGAAAATCGATTGTTAAAAGGGGAAACCCTATGGTTCTCCATCTTTATTTATGCTTAATGCTGTTGCTAGAGTAGCTAACTAGTGACTTGATTTTAGGTTGATATACTCTCCAAAAGCTTGTTATATCTCCGGATATAGTATTTGATGGGCAAATCGTTTTAGGCTACGAAAGTAGACCTAAAGAGTTTTGTGAACAATCATTACTTGGATGTAATGCATGTCTCACTCTACAATGACCAACGAAAGCTGAGCCCATTGGTTTAAGAGACATAGGGGATTGGAACCACGAAAGTGGAATAATCCTTCCTTAGTGTTTTGAGTTCAAAAGAATCGGATTTTAACAAACTTTTCAATCGACTTGGCTCATGTTTTCAAAAGAGTTTTCAATAGTTCAATAATGTTGCTTGTATAGAATTGCATTGTTATTTCTTTTGCGTGTTCTCAACAAACACAAACCCTTGCATCTTTTGATTTAGCTTAGTCATTTAAACTCTATGATTATGTAATGTGTGAAATCCAATCCCTTGTGGTTCGACCCCTAAATACTACAATTATATGTTGTGCACTTGCAACACTAGTTGTCTTAGGGAATTATTACTTGTACTCATCCCATAGATGCCGCATCAGGAGCACGGAACCAGGAGCCATGAAGAGGAGAGCATGAAGCTGAGGAGAGCTAAGGAGACAAGTGAGCTGAGTTCAGCTCAAATCGAGGCCAAGACCAAACATCCAAAGTCAACAAACATTTGTAGATCAGACTCAACTCATCCAGAGATAGCCACGAAGAATAATCAGCCAAAAAGAAGTTCATACGAAGTAGATGTTGAAGATACATTCTGGCAGATCTTCAATGGACCCGATGGAGACATGCAACCACTCATCGAATCATTCCAGCCCAACCAGGATGAACCAAGCTTCAAATCAAATATTTCTAGATGCTGAACTCATCATAGGAACACGGCGAATTTGATTCGTTTCAATCAGAGATCAGACAAAGGAGTTATTGATTTTACAAATCGGGCAAACCCGAGCTTTCCCGATTTGGACCCAGGCGTGCTAACTGCTAATTAGAGAGGACTCCGATCAAACCAGAAGGTTAGAGAAGATCCAAATTTCCAGGAAGCGTCTCTATCATATCCCCATACACCATCATCCACAGGATCATGCGGATCCTCTTGCTGCCACCCTTTCCTTATATGGCCATGTTCACACTTGAGTCAATATCTCTCCAACGGCTATATCTTCAAGTCTACAGCGACTTGAGAATGGATAAATTGTATCTAGACGTCCCAAGACAACACTCCTTCACGCCCAAGCTTTCAAGACTCAAGCTTCACCACAAGTTTCCTTATTTAGCCGAGCAATCAAGTCTCCAACGGCTAGATTATCAAGACCACATCTCTTTGATTATTTCTTTACTTGTTTAATGTTTTAGAACGTTAGAATAGCCTTGTTACTGAGCCTATATAAGCTCATTTCGTTTCTCATTGTAATTGACCTTTCAATCATCTAAGAAATATAAGTTTGTTATTGTTTTTATTCAAAGAGTTTCTTTGTCTAAATTGTTTATCTTTGAGTCTCATTTGAAAGATTCAATTATTATTTGAGATTAAAGGATTGGGATTGTTTGTGTGATTCAAACAAGTCTAGTTCTCCAAGGATTGAGAGAGTCAATCATCCCAACCGATTGAGAGAGTCAATCAAATGTCCTTATCACCATCATCTCTACCATCTTTCCACCTTCAAAAAAGCCTAAGCTTGAATCCGAGATCTTACAAGCACTGAGATAGCCCTTGCTTGTATCATAACCTCTTGAGGCTTCTGCTGCCTATAAAAAAAGCTTGCCAAGATAAACACATCTTTCAGCAATCGATGCAGGAATATCTTCTATCCTTGTGTTTCCTAAATTGAGAAATTTGATGTTTCTAGAAAAATCAGGAAAGGTTTTCAATCGTGAGCAACCATTCATGTCAACTCTCTTAAAGAGATGCTAAGTTCATGTTGGTGGGAATAGCTTGTAGCTTTCTGCAGTCCCTCATATCCAACTTTTTCAGTTTCTGTAGATTCCTAAAAGATGAGGGAAGCTCCACCAAACTTGTGCAAAATTAAGTGTCAATGTCTCGAGATTAGTAGCCTTGGAAAGATTTGGGATTTCTTTCAACCTACACGAATCGCTCAAATTCATCTCCTTGAGATTTGTAAGGGGCTGCATTAATGTCAAACACAACAAATGAGACAGAAAACAAAAATAAAAATCATATGGCATTTTTCGAGATGTAAATAACAAACACCAACCTGGATTCCTTCCCAGAGCTTTTTGAGATTGCTGGATTCCATATTGAGCTCAACGAGGCATTCGGGCTGAAATTTTGAAGGGAGACGTTTTCCTGGATATGAACCCCATTGTAGTAACGTTAGACAAGGTATATAGGTATGTCCCCAAGTACGTTCAGCAAGCAAGCTTTTCCATTGTGTAATCTGAAGAACCGGAGATTCCGCATTCCTTCTAATACTCGCCCTCTCATAGAAAATTCGCCAATCTTGGACATATCAAATGAATTTCCTATGACAGATCCAGTGCCCTAACATATATATTTTTCCAAAACAAGACTGGTTAAACTGTTATATAAAACAAAAAGATTTGTTGAGCAAGTTCTTTAAAAAAAAATATTTGTATGTAAAAACTTACTGTTTCATTAGCTAGTACATCACAAATCTCTTCCGCCTCCAATAAAAGTTGATGTTTCCCAGGCTCATTTGATTGTTCAAGAACTACTTGTCTACCCATTTGTTGTAGCAGACGGTGCATCATTAACGACCCTTGAGTATCCATATAATCATAGTCTATATGGACGAGAGACTTTACGGCTAGTGTATTCAACCCATTTTCCACATCCAAATTACTGTCAGCTAGCATGCTTGTCACACGATCAACACGGTTTTTGTTGAAGAAGCATGTAATGTGAAGGAATAGAGCCTGATCCTTTATCAATAGTCTGTCATATCCCACTCTTAAAACGTTTTTGATTAACCTATCCTTTATCATGGTAGATATCTTCAATCCCATCCCATGTGCCTTCAAAATCTTGTTATCTTCTGTGGTAACGATGATCCGACTTCCATTACCAAACCAACAAATCTCTTTACCCAATACCTCTAACTTCCCTAAATCATCTACATCATCAAGAATGATAAGCACTCTTTGATCATGTAGTCGTTCTTTTACCGCACCTAAATGATCTACCTTCATATCCTTTTGGTTCAGAATCTTAGACAAAAGTTGGTTTTGCAAATTCAACCGCGAGTCCTACTCATCAACACCCATTGTGCTCCCATAACTTCCCCTAAGGTTCTCCATGAAACAACTAAGCCTAAAATCGCTAGAGAGTTTTCCCTTGGCAAGTTCTCTCAAATGCTTTTCCGAACTCTCCCTTCTGTTTCCGTACATCAGACGGATCAACGTTGTAAAATATTGTCATCACCATCTCACCATGATCTTCTCTGTGTTAGAAAACTTTAACAAGACATGCTAATCTTAATGCATGTATCACATAAATCCCAAGATGTTTAAACATCTAATTAATCACATAATATAAACTGTAAAGAGGGTTAGCGGAATACCTTCTTCCATAATATGAGGTGAAGTCTTCTTGATTCCAAATTAGAACACTTGAGCTTGATATCTTGATCTTTATGTTAGGAAACTAGGTTTCTTTCCCCTTGCCTATAGCTTTTCTTTAATGTGTTGTGTTTCTTAAGATTTCTTAAGTTGTGCCTTTATGATGGGTAAAGCCACATATTTATAGATGGGGAGAGGATCTTGTTCCTCATTAGGTTTGTTCATTCTCATCCTTCCATCAAGGTAGAGATGAACACTTAAGTGACAAGTGTAGGACAAATGTTAACCTCTAATCTCTTAAACATGACAAGTATCTCTTAAGTGTCTATGTGTATTTTATGGAGATGAATCTCCTTAACACTTGTCCTTAAACCTTGATACATATCCCTTAATAGACATGTGTCCCCTTTATGGATATAAGTCACCATTCCACTTGTGTTATCTAGTTCATTAGGAACTAAACTCCTCATCATTAACATTAATTTGGCCACCAAAATGTGATAAAGAATAACAATCTCTCTAATAGAATGTTAATTACTAAAAGACCACTTAATTGGTAAGAAGATAAAGAATATTTGCGTACATTCTCCCACTTGGTCGTTAGTCATTAATGCTTTCTCATTTGAGAATCATAAGGCCGGCATAATTTGTTATATCTTTATCTTTCTTTATTTGGTCATCATAAGTGTCTTAGCTAATCCAGTAATCAATGGGAGTCATGGCGGTCGCATATCATTTCACAACACGATTTCTTCCATGTACTATTGCATTGATTACTTTCATAGTTAGACCATAAACATAAGTAGGAGTTTTCCATTATGGTCTCTTTATGTCTTTGATAAACAACTTATTCTGTTATTTTAATTCCAATCACTTTAATGTGTGTCATAAAGATGTTAAAATCATCATAAAGAGCTCTTCATTATCTGTAATTGATAGACTAAACATAATCAGACAACATAAGTAAAGCTATCCTCAAGACCCATACTTTCAGCATGCTTTATGAAGGTCTTAGGCGGTAATCTTTCGTAAATATGTCTGCTATCATAACTTCAGTGCCTATATGCTTAAGGACAAACTTTTCTCTTTTAACATCTTGCTTAAGTGACAGATATTTAAGGTCCATGTGTTTGGATCCTTTAGATATCCTGTCAAGCTTAGCGAAGAAGATTGTGGCTTGATTGTCACAGTATATCTTTAAAGGACTTTGTCAACAAAACTTAATGCCCCAAACTGTGACACGAAATTCCGCAACCAACTTCCTTGAATAGAAGCCTCATAACATGCAACATACTCAGCTTCCATAGTGGATGTGTAAATCAACTGCGAGTTTTGGCTTTTCCATGAATGGCACCTCCACAAAGGAGATACACATAGCCAAGAGTACAATGTCTGAGTCATGACATCCACCAAAATCTGAGTCCGAAAATCCAACCATTTGTGTGTTGATTTTCGATATGTCAGCATATGATTTCTTGTTCCTTTTAAGTATCTCAACACTTTCTTTGCAGCTTTCCAATGAGCGGTTCCAGGGTTACTTTGAAATCTACCCAACATACCGACTGCATGGCTAATATCAGGTCTTGTACAGACCTGAGCATACATCAAACTTCCCACAAGTGAAGATGCATAAGGGTAATTTTGCATCTCTTTATGTTCCATTTCATTCTGCGGACATTGCTTAAGTTCAAGCTTGTCACCTTTCTGCATAGGAATATGCTAGAAGAACATCATCATGCCAAATCTCTCAAGAATTTTGTCAATATATGCTTTCTGAGACAATCCTAAAATTCCAAGTGATCTATCACGGAATATTCAATTCCTATCACATAGGATGCCTCACCCATATCTTTCATCTCAAATTTCTTAGAGAGATATCTTAGTCTCATGTAATAGACCAAGATCACTACTGGCCAATAAATGTTCATCAACATACAACCAAAAATATGAACTTACTCCCACTGATCTTGAGGATATACATGGATTTACAATGTTTTCTTTGAAACCGAATTTCGTAATGATTTCATCAAACTTTAGATACCATTGCCTCGAAGCTTGTTTCAGTCCATATATTGATTTCTTTAATTTGCAGACCATGTCTTGACCTTCAATTATGAAGCCTTCAGGTTGACACATATAGACTTCTTCTTCTAAGTCTCCATTAAGAAAGGCGGTTTTCACATCCATTTGATGTAACTCAAGATCATATGAGCCACTAATGCCAAGATAATTCTGAGAGAGTCTTTTCTTGACACGGTGAAAAGGTCTCACAATAATCAATGCCTTCTTTCTGATTAAACCCTTTGGCTACAAGTCTGGCTTTATATCGTTCAACTTGCCATTACAGTCAAGTTTAGTCTTAAAGACCCACTTACACCCGACTGCTTTGTGTCCCTCAGGCAATGGAACGATGTCCCAAACTTCATTCTTAACCATTGAGTCTATTTCTCTTTACTGGCATCAATCCATTTATCAGAATTAACATCTTTCATGGCTTGTGAATAAGAAACCGGATCTTTAAATCCCATTCTCCAGATTCTACTTGATAAAGCACATAGTCATCAGAAATAGCAGATCTTCTCTCACGAGTTGATCTTCTTAATGCTAATTCTTGTTGTGCTTCATTGTCATTATTGGCGATATTTTCATCATGGAGTGTGATCATTCATTGGGTTTCCTCGTTGTTTAACGGTTCAACAAGAGAATTCCCATCTTTATGAAATGAGGGTAAAGTTATATTTACCCTGATTTCTTGAATGATCACATCTTTAACTTTATCACTCCCACTAATATTGCCATCATCATAGAATCTGACATTATTGGTTTCTACAATTCTCGTACTATGGGTTGGACAATAAATCCTATATCCTTTAGATTTCTCAGGGTAACCAATAAAGAAACCACTGATCATTCTGAAATCTAATTTTCTTTCATGTGGATTGTATATTCTTGCTTCAGCTGCACATCCTAAACATGGAGATGTGACAGACTAGGTTTCCAGCCTTTCCATAGTTCAAAGGGAGTCTTTGGAACTGACTTGCTTGGAATCCTATTCAAGATAAATACTGTTGTACGTAATGCATCCATCCACAAGGATATAGGTAAGTTAGTCCGACTCATCATGGATCTAACCATTGCCATATATGTACGGTTCCGCCTTTCAGCTACACCATTCTGCCATGGAGAACCAGGCGTTGTGTGCTGTGCCACAATCCTTAATTTTTGGAGTAATATGGCAAAAGGTCCAGGATGTTGTCCTGTTTCATCATACCTTCCATAAAATTCACCACGTTTATTTGACCTTATGATTTTCACTTTTCTATCTAATTGCCTCTCAACCTCAGTGATGAACACTTGTACATCGTCAACAGATTGAGACTTTTCATGCAGTAGATAGACATAACAATAAAGTGAAAAATCATCGATAAAGGTAATGAAATACTTTTCTCCTCCAAAAGTAGGAACATCAAATAGTCCGCAAATATCTGTATGTATAATCTCAAGAAGCTGAGTACTTCTTGTGGCTTCTCTTTTAGTGTGTTTAGTTTGCTGACCCTTAATGCAATCTATACACTCTTTATGATTGGTAAAATCAACATTCAGGATGACTCCATCATTTACCAATCTTTTAATTCTTGCACTGGAAATGTGTCCCAACCTCTTATGCCACAAGAAATATGAGTCATCAGTACATGTTTTACGTTTAGATCCACTTTTAGTGTGCAGGTGGAGATGTGTTTCAAATTGTTGATCGGCCAATTTTAACTTATATAGACCATCAACTAATATTCCTGAACCAATACGATTAGAGTTCAGAAAAATATTATTACAACCATCTCCTTTAGTTGATTTATATCCAGCCATATCAAGTTTACTTAATGAAACTAGATTACGGGAAACCAATGGTACATACAAAGTTTGAAATAAATCTAAACAAAAACCACCATCCATAATGAGACGATAAGTGCCAACAGCTTTAACTGACGCTTTGTCTCGGTTTCCCATCAGTAAGTAGTTTTCACTTGGTTCTATAGACTGGATCGTAAGATATCCCTGCACAGAATTGGATACATGTACATTAGCACCGCTACCAATCCACCAAGTTTTAGAAGAAACTTCAGTAAGATATGATTCGAAAAAGCTTACTGAACCCATAGGGTTACCTTTCTTTTCGAACCATTCTCTTCTTTTATGGCATTTTTTTCTGAAAATGACCAACTTTCTTACAAAAGTGGCATCTATTATCTTTCTTTGCCTTTTTCTTCTCATTAGCTTAGTCGAAATCATCATTTCTAGGTGGTGCTCTTTTATGCCTTTTCCAGGCTTTACTTCCAGCTCCTTGGACATAATTGGCAACCTTAATACCTTCACAGCCAAGCCTTGACTCCTCTTGGACCCAACTTTCCAGTCAATTCATTAGACGTCCATTTTTCATCTGTGGCGTTATAATTAATCTGAAATGGTCCATACTGAGGAGGAAGGGAATTTAGGATAAATTGGACGAGAAATGAATCGTCCACACTCATTCCTAAGTTCTTTAATTTGGCCGCAAGGTTGGTCATTTCAATGCAATGTTCATGCATAGACCTTGTGCCATTCATTGTTGTAAGATCTGCCATAAGTTTCACCGCAAGGGATTTGTCTGCAGTCTTAAACCGTTCTTCTATTGCTGTTAGATAAGCCTTAGCTTTATCTACATTAGGGAGGGAAGTTTTGATGTTACTTGCTATTGTCATCTTTAAAAACATTATGCTCAGCCTGTTCGCTTTCTCCCAAGCTTTATGGAAAGCCTTTTCTTTTTGATGGATTTTGCTCTTCTTTACGAAGTGCTAAATCCAAATCAAGTACTCCTAATGTGATCTCAACATTCTCTTTCCATTCTGAGAAGTTGTTTTCATAGAGGATTGGAACAGCTGAGGCCACGGATGACAAATGAGCAGGGAATGAAAATGCAATTTTATAGAGATACGACAAATTTAACAGACTTCATCATTATACAACATTTACTTTTGAATAACTGAATGCATATGTCAAGAAATTATGGAGCTCCTGTGGGCAGTCATCATAATCTCCTCAATAATCATAGCATTCAAAAAAATTAATGAATTACTTTGATTAAGTTATTTGTGGATATCCTTAATCTTAATACATACAAACACTTCTTAGTTATTTGATTATATCTTATGTTTATAGTCTACATGTGGGTAATAGATATATCAAATTTGCAAATCATTATGGGTCACTGTGGTGATATCCAAAACCCTTTATTTGCATTTGAATGATCTATATCAATTACTAGGGGGTGACCCGTGTTACGCGCGGGTTGTGTTAGTTTTATTGTTTTTCTGCAAATTTAATATTGTTTCAAAGATATTATACACATATTACTTAAATATAATTAGAGTTGGGAGAACTTTTGTACCATCTTTTTCTATCTCGTCCCATTTCGTTCATTTTCATCATGTACGTTTTTTCCCGTCCCATTTTTCTTGTATGTCTTGTCCCGTTCAGTCATATCCTATCCCATTATGATTCTTTCTATTTTTTTTATTATTGTCTTGTTTCCTAAATATAATTAGGGGTACACATAATTCTATCTCATTCCATTCCTTTTCATCGTCATGTTCTTTCCCATCCCGTTCGTTCTGTCCACCCTATCCAATCCCATCATATCTTATTATCTTCATTTCCATTTTTTTTATCTCGTCTCTAAATATAATTAGGGGTAGGCAAAATTCCGTCACATTCCATTTCTTTTCATTTTGTCCCGTCCAACATTTCTGTCTTGTCCTCTCTCATCATATTTTTTTCGTTTTTTCCGTTCCACCCCTAAATATAATTAGAGGTTGGCGAAATTTCCGTCTAGTCCTATTCCATTCTTTTCCATTCCTTTAGATCTCGTCTCGTCACTTAATATCATAAGAAGTAAACAAAAATTTTCTATTCTCCGATTCTATTTTTTTCGTCTCGTCATATTCAATCTCGTCTATTTTCATCCAAAATACTAAAGAAAAAACAGTGTTTTTTGTATAATATATTTTTATTTTTATTATTATTATTAAATAATAGTTTTTATAGATTTATATAAAATCTTTCTCCTTTTTGTAAATGACTTTTCATATTCTTGTTAAGCCTATTTAATGAATGATAACTATTATAAAATTAAAAAATATAAATATATATATATATATAATGTTTGTGCTGAAATGATGAATTTACAGACACCCTCTTTTGCTGAGGTGGCAGTTTGAGAAAAGAATCACATGAACTTTATATATATAGATATAGATCCATCATTATGCAATAATCAAATTTAATGATTATATGTGAAAAACTCTAATTTCATTATCAATCCAAAATTGAAAATAAATCTTAATTTTCCAAATTTAAATTCTATCATTAAAATCTTCATAACATAATTATATTATACTTAATGGATTAAAAAGATGTTATAAACCATGCTCAATACCAAATGTTAGAAAACTTTAACAAGACATGCTAATCTTAATGCATGTATCACATAAATCCCAAGATGTTTAAACATCTAATTAATCACATAATATAACTGTAAAGAGGGTTAGCAGAATACCTCCTTCCATAATATGAGGTGAAGTCTTGATTCCAAAATAGAACACTTGAGCTTGATATCTTGATCTTTAAGTTAGGAGACTAGGTTTCTCTCCCCTTGCTTATGGCTTTTCTTTAATGTGTTGTGTTTCTTAAGATTTCTTAAGTTTTGCATGGGTAAAGCCACATATTTATAGGTGGAAAGAGGACCTTATTCCTCATTAGATTTGTTCATTCTCATCCTTCCATCAAAGTAGAGTTGAACACATAAGTGACAAGTGTAGGACAAGTGTTAACCTCCAATCTCTTAAACATGACAAGTATCTCTTAAGTGTCTATGTGTACTTTATGGAGATGAATCTCCTTAACACTTGTCATTAAACCTTGATATATATCCCTTAATGGACATGTGTCCCCTTTATGGATATGAGTCACCATTCTATTTGTCTTATCTAGTTCATTAGGAACTAAACTCCTCATCATTAACATTAACTAGGTTAAAGTCCACGCTACGCGCGGGTGGTACTGTCACTTTTCTTTCATATAATTGTTTTTCATTTTTGTAAAAAATAGTTTTTTGTTTTTTTTTATAAATATGATATTTTTTTTTACCCTAAATTCGGACTTGATCCGAAAACTGAACCGAATCCGAGCCAAAATTTAAAAAAACTCAAAATATATTCATATCTCTAAACCGAAATCTAAATAAACCAGAAAACACTTTAAAAAACTTGGAAAAATCAAAACCAAATGGGAACCAAATTTTTTAAAACATTAAATTATTGTAAATTTTTGTTCTTGTAGAAGATTATGATTAAACATGTTCCTAAACAAATTAAAGGTTTTTAGTGGCCAAAAGCTTGTGTAGCTAATTGAAGAATAAGTGAGGAGTTTTAAGCTTCTGCAGCTAATTGAAGAATAAGTGTGACACCCGGTTTTGTTACCCCTCATCAATTAGCTTATAATTCCTCCAGTTCTGTTCACGTTCCTTAAAAAGAAGAGTGAGACACATTTTTTCTCAAGTGATCGAATCTATAAAAATAACATGTAAACTATTGCTGGCCCAATCAAAATGAAAACAATATTAAGAGAAAACATAGTATGATGAGGATTCTCTCTCAAGTCTTAACACATACTGTAAATATAATGAAGTTTTTCTGGAGATCAATAGGGAACCTACTGTATATCCAAATTGTAGGAAAAGACACATGTCCTTCAAAGACTACTAACAACCAAAATTTACAAATCTTAGAAACACAAGCTTTGTAAAATTGTTAAGTCGAAGATTAATCCACAAGCAGAAACCAATTCGTCATAATCGAAATGATCAAGAATAATCAGAAGATAACTTCATAGTCTCCTAGACGCTCTCAGTTGTTCCATTACGCTGAATCCAAACTCCCTCACAACCAAACGATAACTTCAAAAACTTTCATATGTTTCCTCTGCTCGAAAGTCTCTTCCAATTCAGTTGCTCACCATCTCAAATGGGCCATGATCATAAATATCAACATTCCGGTCTACTCCGCTTCTGCTTTTCCTTATCAATCTTCTTCTTCTCTTCCCTTGGCCGCTTCTCTGCCATTCCCTTGATGCATCTATTTTTCAGAAATTTGAAAAGTTTCACACAAGTCAGTAAACTCAGTAAATCACATCTATTTGCTAATTCACACAACTCAGTAAACTACAAATGTAAATTGCTTGTGTTGGGAAATCAGCTTCAATTCTCACTGTAAACTGTTACATGGGATACAGGCTCAACAGTAAACAATGCTGCGTTACCTGCCAACTTAAGTCAACTCCATAAATTGCTTTCTAGATTGAATATATCCCACCTGCACATGACGTTAACATAGATCTATTGTATATACCAGCCTGGCACTCAAAACCAACGTATAGTTTTAGCAAATCATGCCACTGACATAGATCTTGTTTCATGTGTTTCAATTAGGGAAATGAACACCTGAAAAAAGCTAATCTATCATTTTGACAGGTTCAAAGAACTATGGAGTTTGCATTTAAACTTAAGCAAACTAAAGACAAACCAAATTCGAATTGGAGAGAGAGAGAGATTGGCACCTAATAAACATGGGTTCGCTCGTCCTTCTAACCAGAGCTCGAAGATTTCTCCTGTCTTTCGATTCATGCTTGTGAAGCATCTCGCAAGTCGCATCCGGTAACACTTTAGCGAGAGAGAGGTTTCTTTAAGATGACGTAGCTTCTTAGAGATTATATAATTGTGAAATTTCAGCATCACCAAGAGATCCTTTCTTACTGAATCATAGCACGAAGAGGAGGCCGTAGAAAGAGGAGGCCATAGAACGAAGAGGAGGCCATTGAAAGAGCAAGAGCAAGCTGGGTAATCGAAGGAGAGGAGGAGAAACACGGACACATCCAATTTAAGAAGATGATTGATTGAGGAGAAGAAAGTTTTTCGATTTTCTTTCTCAGTCGCCAAAAATCTTTCTCAATCGGCGAAGGATAGAGAAGAAATGACGGGAGGAAACAATTAGAATTCGGTTTACGTTCTCGGAAACAATTAAAAGTCGAGCGCGAGGCCAATTTGTCACAAATTGGGAAAATTTAATCTGGTGTGCCACAACATGATCTAATGCCATTTTTCTTTTTAATTTAAATTAAAATCTATGTGAAATTCCAATTTACTCCTTAATGAAATCTGATTAAAAAAATAATTTATAAAATAAAAGAAAATCAGTTTAATAAAATAAAAGAAAACCAAATCATTTTAATAATAAAAAATTCGGATAAATAATATAAAAAAAAAAAACTGATTCACTTTCTTCTCCCCGTCGACATTTGTTTCCGGTGAAGCTCATTGCCGGCGGCCCGGCATAGATCCGCCATTACCTGATCACCTCCATCTTTACCTCATTCTCTTCCTTCTGCAATTGATTTTTTCTCTCTTTCACCATTGTTGAAAGCTTCAAGAGGTAAGCTTTTCTTCTTCCTTAATCTATAAATTTATTTTGGGATTCACAATTTAGAGTTTGATATTAAAATTGGTTGTTTTAGTGGGTTGATAACCATATTTTCTGGATATATTAAGGTTTTGATGCAATAATTTGTCGATTTTAGTTGTTAAATCATAGTGATTCTCAGGTAGATTGAACCAGAAATTGCCATAGCTGCATGTACAACTGGTACAAATGGGTACAACTGACAAATAGTGTACAACTGGTACAAATGGGTACAATTGAGAAATAATAGACAACTAATGCAAATGGTATAATTGTGCAATATGAATTGATTGTTAACTGAATATTTTTATTCTATTTTTCAGGAGGTAATGAACAACAACCGTTCCACAAACATATATTTTGGTTATGGAGGATACTAATCAAAAACTATATGAGTATCAATGGATTGAAGAGAATATCACATTTACCAAACATAATCTATGGAAAAGATAACTTACTTGATGTTATTGGCGAATTACTCTCAAACAAAAAAATACATTTTAGTTTATTTTTGTAAATATGTAAATTTAGTATTCATAACACATTTATGTTATTTGTCGTGATACAAGAATTTATGATTCTTGTCATGTATATGTATTTTTTGGATTTGCATTTACTTGATTTTTCACTACTAGGTTAAATTTGGTTTAACTATAATAATTATGGATTTGTATTTGTTGGTTTTGTACTACTAGGTTAAATTAAATATAACTAAAAATTATTGTCAGTTTGTATTTATCATATTTTATTTGTATTTTTACTTTTGTTATGTATTGAATATAATTATATTGTTTAAATTATGTTTGACTTTTAGAGATTGGTTCTGTTCAAGTATGTACAAATGTTCAGGTTCTACGAGGTTCAAGTACGTACAAATGTTGAAGGTCATGTGTTTGTGTTTCCAGATATTTATTTCATGTATGAACGTGGACATCTGAATGTGGACGTATTTTGGTTTCTCATTCACTTTGTACAACTGGTTCACATTGGTTCGACTACTCGGAACTAAATATTTATAACCAATAAATACTAAATAAATATCTTTATGATATGCAATTTAGACAATTAAGTAAGATAAATACATGTTCATGTCTTAGTAATTAATAAAAAGATCAATAAATTGGAATTATAAAATTATGGTAGCAGATAATGGTTTAGTCATAAGTACCCTTTACAATATATGGAACATATAGGTAATATGTCTACAATATGAAGCAAATTAACAACAATATTAGATTCCTTTTAAATGATGATATAAACATGTTTAGAATGATAAAAGAGTATCAAATATCAGTTGTTCAACTGTATCATTACAAGCTAGATATGGTTCAACTACAAATACACAAAAATCGCAGATGTTCAACTATTACCAATTTTGGTTCCACTGTTGGCAAGGGTACAACTATGTGGTTTTTGGCAGGGCCACGTTTTTTTTGGCGGCGCCACGTCAAAAATGTTTTTTTTTTGGTGGCGGCGCCATCCTTTTTTACACGTGTTTTTCTTTTTTTTTTTTTAATTTAATTTATTTTAAAGCAAAATTGTATGAAATGTTCTTAGTTGTACGTAAACAAACTCAGTTGTACCATATCATATCATTACAATCAATTACTCCTACTCTATATGTGATGACAACCAATTCTTTCTTTTGCTTTGACCTACACATAACCATTATTAGAATTATATGTTCTGTTTTAATAACTGAAAAAGAAGAGCAAAAAACAATTTCTCTTGTTGTATTGGTTGTGTATCAACATCTTTATCCTGCAAATTCAAACAATTTTAGTTAATAGTTGAACCTAGTAATACGTAGTTGAACCTAGTTATGAACCTAGTAATACGTAGTTGAACCTAGTAATATTTTCTTAGAAAAACTGAAACTGAAAAGAATATGCAGACAGAACACGTAAAAAAGCAAAAGTGATCCATAAGTTCTTTTGTTCACATGGGATTTATGATGCTAAAATCGACAATCCTTATATATTCTCCAATTGTTCAATGATCCAAAAGCACTCAAGAGGAATCAAAAACAAATGAAAAGGGAGAAAAAGATTTGAGACAACTACTGATGAACGAGGAAGAAGAAAGAGTGGACTTGTTTGAGTTTGAGAGATGAGTGGTGAAGAAGAAGCGGTGGAAAAAGACAGTGACATATTTGCTACTAAACCTCTTTGGCAAAGAAATTGAATTTCATAAACCAAAGATTGAGCAAGTTCTCATAGCTGAAAGAATCATGGTGTTCGGATTCAATACCCTACGGATACCAAAGCCACATTTCATTTCAATGAGTGAATCTCTGACATTCGGAGCCGAGGAGGCGAGGAAGCGGAATAGAGAAGAAATGGATTTAGTAGACGATGCTTGAAGTATCTTCAACACCAACATATCAGTTTGTACAAGAGGAGAACAAATACAATAAACCGTCTATAGGACACGCGAACGGCGGAGGTTCCTTTAATGGTGAGAGCAGTCGCGATTGGCGGCGTGGCGTAAGTGCTTAGCCAGATTTTGGAGACCAATTTGCCAAATCCTTCGATGTTATGTGTATATCTGAGCCCCCCAATGACAAAGCAATGAAGTAATGGAAGAATGAACATCAAAATTCTCACATTGGGAACTATTGACTCAGATCCGAAAATAGAGTAATGGAAGCGATGGAGAAAATAGAGTAATGGAAGCGATGGGCTTTGAGCTGAGAAAGAACACAATTTCTCAATGGAGAAAAACGATTCTTCTTTTACTAATTCCCTTGAACACATGGATTTCTGGTTTGTTAGACAAATCTGGAAGAAGAAGAACATTCTTCGTCGAGAAGAAGAAGAAAGAAGAAAAATAATGATTTTTTTTTTAATTGTAATTTTTTTTTAAATTAATTTTGACCCAAATTCAATGGATAGATAACGGATCGGGTGGATATAGCTGGTTGGGTCTGTAAATAGTTTAAGTTGTTAAGGACTTTGTTGTATTTGCTGAGCTTTTCAATTTAAAATAAAATGAAAAAGAAATTAATATTAGGAGTGTGGCAAAATGGCCTCTGGTTCGACAATTTGTGGCAAATTAGCATTTCTTTCTTAAAAGTCTTCTTCTCCTCACCAAAACCGGTTGAACACGTGGCCAATAAACCAACAAAAATGCTGACTGGTATTATTTGTTATGTTTCTATTGACTGATGGTTTTTGATGATGTGTCAGTTCTAGGAGACTTAAAAAAGCCTAGCTGTTAACACCTGGAGAAACACGTGGGTTTTTGCTGTGTTGATTTGACCACTAAATTTGTACTCTGTTTTGTTTTGGAGATTATCTTTGAGCTTGTTATGCTCTACGATATTTACACTTAGTTTTGAGTTGGGCTTTCCATTTGACGTTATTTCATGATACTTGGACCTTTTGGTTACTTTTTTTTTTTAATATATCGAATGATTTAGTAAAAAAAAAAAAAAACAGCTAATTACTAAAAGACCACTTAATTGGTAAGAATATAAAGAATATTTTCTTACACTCTGCAATTCAAGATTTCAACTAGTTCATCTAATTAAACACCAGCTGGAAGCGTAGTTCGTCGAGAGCATAACGATTAAGAGCCTTGTTTCTCTCATGGCTTGGACGAGTTCAGCTCGATCGTGGGGCCTCTCTCCATCTCCTGATCCTTAAATGTCGTGATCCCTTTGCTTTTAAAGTGGTTGTGTAAATGACTGAGAAATCCTCTACGAACATCAGGGCCATGGAAACTCGGAAAGACATGGTATCTCTTAATGTGAAAAGAAGAAGAAGAAGCCATGAGAGAGTTAAGAGTATAAGAGAGGTTGAAGAAAGTATCTATCACAATGGCATTAGATAAGATATCTATGGAGGAAGAAGCAGGTTCCTTCTTTATATATCGAAGCCAAACATGTATAGAGAAGAGAATTTTCAAAACCGCACCTGCAACAGACTCTCTGCGACCACTAATGTCCAAGCTGCCTGATCTGTTTACTTCCATTGTTGTGGGTACTTCTCGATATATCTGTTTGCGTTCTTTTTTGGTATTTCCTATGGGAGATACAGTTCTTGTTACTCGATAGTTTTCGTTGAATTCGTCGATAGCTTTGTAGGAAATATGATCCATAATCTCTGCAATGATGATCGATTTTTCCGGTCATTGATCTTATTAAGACTTTATGCTTCTTGACTTAAGATTTTTATGTGCATGCATCACTGAGCCTAGGATAATTTTCTTACACTGAAACCAGAAAGAAAGAAAACGGGAGAAGACGTAAAGAGGAACATGCATGAACTTATCTAGTTGGCAAATAGATTATCTTCCATATATGATTAAATTCCCAAAAATTCAAAGAGAAAGTTTGATAGCGTTAAATTCGTTGAAAAAATATTTTTTAAAAAGCGAAAAAACGTATCTTGGTTTTTTATTTGATGGACAGATTTATTTTTGTTTTCACCTTTCATTTGATTTCTAATTTTCAAGTTTGGATTTTTGGGGTTTCTTTCCTCCCTATAAATATTCTGCTAATAAATTAGAGCTGTTTTTTTTTTCTTTTCTTTTTGACAAATGGAAACTTGTTTACAGCTAACTGGGACATGCTCTCTAGGGGACGACTTCGTTAAAGCTTAAAGCTTCCGAGGTGGTTCAGTGTTGGATAGAGGCGGCAGCTCCGTTTACCAGTCTCTACTCGCCCTGTGGAAGACTATTCTTGTGGCTTCAGTGCTCGAGTTTGGTGGCTAGAGGCGGCTTCTCTAGCTGTCCGTAGAGGTTCCCAGTGCCGCCGGTGGTGGAGTAGTTCGCTGTTTCGGTTCTGTTTTTGTGCTAGTCCTCGGAGAAGCTGCAGGTACCACATTAACAAGGTTTTGAGGACTTGCTTTGTGTGTGTTGCTCGTGGCGACAACGATGGGGATTCCAGGTTTTAGGATCTGCGGCAAAAGTGCAAATTTCCGAGCTTTGGTTCGGAATTGGTGTTCCTTCATTGTAAGCTTTTGGTAGGTGCTAACGTGTGTCTAACTTGTTGTAGTTAAGTCGTCTTTAATTCCGTTTGTTTCTTAGATTTCGGTCTTTCTGATTTCTTAGTTTCTCTGTAACTTCTGTCACAAACAAAAAATTTGGTAATAAATCTTAACATTAAAACCAAAAAAAAAAAAAAAAAAAAAAACTGGGACATGCATGGTTTGGAGGTTTAAAAAAGTTAAAGTGTAAAATTGAATTTTTCTTCTTTTAGAAAAAATATATTTCAACTTTGAATTAATATATCTCCTTTTTAGCAAATGTTACCTTCACATATATTATATTTATGAATTTATAAAATATGGAGATTAATACTGGTATAATTAAAAATAAATTAATAAAATAAATAAACTTATCTTCTGATTCTGAAATCTGATTGGACTACCAGATTCCATTAGATAGTGTAATTGCCAAAAATTATTTGTAGAATGTGTTTATAAAATAAAATACAAAGATTAAGCTTGCTCAGTTTCAAAGAAAATTAAAGTAGAAAACAGTAAAAAAAAAAGTCTTATCCTGTTTCCTACTCGACTCTCTTTCTCTCTCGGCCATATCAATTTTCTCACTCGTAAGTTTCTTGTAACTTTCAACAGTGACGTTTTGTTTTCGTATTGATCTCCACTTTTGGTTTTGTTACGTTCGAGTAATCCTTACATTGTTTCTCGTCGTTTCCTTTAATTTGTGTTCCATTTCCAATTTGTTTTGTAATCCATAAAAGCAAGGATTTTGTAAATTGATTGAGGGAAGCTTGAGAAAGTGTTTGCATATTCAGATGATTTTGGGTTGCCTGTAGGACTTGAATAAAGGGATAAGAAAAAATGAAATGTGTTTAGATCTCATAGTAATTAATTTTCTCTCTTATCTTTTCCATGTGGTGATTCTTTGTGGTGTATTTGTAACTCGATGTATAAACTGTATAATCTCTTCTGTTTTGTGAAATGAAATCTCAATTCCATTACGAAGCTAATAATTGTTTTTACTTTATGTTAATGATATCTCAGACTTTCTTTGTTTTTGTTTTTTTTTTTTGCTTTGTGATTAGGTGACGACAACACTTGAAAACCGAATCCAATGGGTTTCGATATTGAGTGCATACCGAACATTGAATTGCTTCCCGGGGAGTGTTTCTGTCCTGTTTGTCGGTTTCTTGTGCACCCAAACGAAGCTCTCCGGTCTATGTGCACTCACTTGTACTGTCCGCCATGTTTAGCTCACGTCGCAAGCACCACCATGACGTGTCCTCTCGATGGTTCTTTGGTCGCAGAAACTCATGCAAAGGTTTTTCTTTCTTCTTTAAAAAGTTTTGTCTTGGTGTCTCTTTTGACGTCTCTTTTGTTTAATCATCAAAGCTAATTCTTCATTTTTCTTTTCCAGCGACTCGTGGAATCAAACAAAGAGTTGGCTGATACATTTGGCGAAATATTGGTTTACTGTTCATACAAAAAAAGTGGATGCACATGGATTGGCCCGCTGTCTCATATCCCGTTACATTGCTTGTTTTGTGCTTTTCGTACTTCTCGCGTTGCATGCAGTGTGTGCCAGATTCAAATTCCGCATCATCAAGCAGAGGGGCATGCTCAAGTTTGTCATGTGAGTCTGTTCAAACAAAATTTTACGTCAAAACCAAGAGATAATCTGTTTGTTTAATTTCCTTGATTTTTTACCATGTGTTATGTATCCTAAATAGTTTTATTTAATGCAGCAAGGTCAGGTTGAAATGGGTCCTCATGGTCGGTTTGTAGTTGTTGCAACGCCGGCTCGTGAGCAACAACAATATCAGCCGCCCTACTACAACATGCATCAACCTCAAGATGTTCCTGTGGCAATCCCTAGACAGCAATTTCATCTTGCAAGCCAACATCAAGTGCCCTCAGCGCAGCCAGCAAGTCAATATGTGGCTCAAACTCACTCTCAAGTGCAAGCTCAACCACAGCTACAATCTCAGAGCTCGGCTCTACATCAGCCTCTTGCTGTCTTATCATCAGCTCCACAGAACGGTGCAGCTTCGCTAGACCAAGCTTACCTTTCGCAAGACCTGTCACAGACGTTCGCACCTTCTCAAGGTCACCAAAACTTGCAAGCTCAGGCGCATTCCAAAACAACACTTCTTTCACAACCTCACCAGTTACCGAACCTCCAAGTTCCTCAATATCAAATTACATCTCATCAGCTTCACAAGCCAAACCCCATGCACCCTCAAGCCAGCACTGTTCAAGCTCAGGCGCATTCCAAAACAACACTTCTTTCACAACCTCACCATTTACAGAACCTGCAAGTTCCCCAGTATCAAACTACATCTCCTCAGCTTCACAGGCCAAACCCTATGCACACTCAAGCCGGCACTGTTCAAAGAAGTGTGCCATACAATGCTATTAGCCAGGGTCAGTCACACCCACACCAGCCGCATGCATATGGGAGTGGACAGCAAACAAACAAGGCAAGAGCTTCCCCAAACAACATGCAAGTGGATCATCAAGCTAACAATCAACCTCCTCAGGTGCAACATCATGTTCGCCAACATCTCTCTCTCTTCCTACGATGCAAACACAGCAGCCAAATCAACCAACACGTGTTGGGAATCGTCGAGCAAACCTAGGGAAGAATCCTATAGTAGAGGATAAAGGCACTACTGGAACTGATTATCCCTCTCTGCTTGGTGCTGGAACTGATTATCTGTCTATGCTTGGTGCTCCAGTGGACCATAATGCCCCATTAGGTCCAGGTGAGCTTCGACATTTGAATTATGTTGTCGAGTATTTCAACAAGAGATATTACATGGAAAGGAATGGTGGTCCAAGACCTGGATATTCTTCTTCAATGTCATTTCACAGAGGCTTTGACCAGAGATCATTGGTAATGCCTCATGAGAATTATGCTCTTCGTCCTGGAAATGTTGGAATGGCGAGTAGATATGCCTATCATGGACTTCCCGGTGGTGGTGGATCAGTTAAGATCTTTAGTATTTAGATTTTACCTCTTCATTTGTTATACCATGTCTCTCAGAATACTCACATGTCTCTCTCTATCTTTTGGGTTTGTTTGCTTCTTTAGGGAGATATGGAACCTTTTCCAAATTCAAGAAAAAGGGCGGCAGGACCTGTTGAAGGTGAAGGTTTGCACTCTCAGATCAACAAGGAGGACCAACAGAACAAGAAGGTTGCGAAGAAACCTAAAATATAAGTCTTTTCAAGCTATTATTCTTCATAATGATTTTGATACCTTTGAACTTGTAAACTGATATGTTTCTTTTTTGCTATGTGATCTAGTAGAAAGAGGAAAACTAAAGGCAATCCATAAATGTGATCATCGTACTCAATACCATTACAAGGCCAAACTCAAAACATCTGGCGGCAAATCCTGCTGGTGAACATTCTCCAGCAACCTTTTATCCTATCTGAATTCATGCAGCAAGTTTTAAGCGTTTCCTTCTTTAAAAAAAAAACAAAACAAAACAAAAACTTTTCTTTCTAGTATTTCAGTAATATGTACTTTGGTAAACTTCTGTTATTGTTCTCATTATCAATTTATAAAAACAAAATAAAAATATGTTTTCTGCAGATTATTTACCTGCACTGTGTTCTATTATGGCTACTCATGCTTTTTTTATGCTATGGTCATAACTGTTTCATGTCCATGCTAAATTTATATACATGTTAATCCTCACAAGTTTGGTTTTAGTTAGTACTAGTTATAAGATTATTTCATTTGAGAGTTAGACTTATTTAAGCAACAGTATCTTTACTAAATTAAAACAGTTGTTTGGGACCTCTCGGAGCGTCTACCTCAGCGTTTTAAAAATCTATGTACAACTGCCACATCAACTTCAAACTTTTGAAATCTACTAGGTTGAAGTCCGCGCTACGCGCAGGTGGTGTTTTCACTTTTTCTTTGTTTAATTTGTTTTTTTTCATTTCTGTAAATATATATATATATATAATTTATATATTTTTAAATATGATGTTTTTTTTTACCCGAATCTAGAACCTGACCGAAAACCCGGACTGAACCAGAACCAATTTTTTAAAAAACTTGAATGGTTTTCATATTTCAGACCCGAAAAATCTGCAATCCAAGAAAACCTAAAACACAAAAGAAAACTGAAAAACCACAACGGTTCCATATCTTTGAACCCGACCCAAAATCCGAGGCCTAATCTCTCTGTCACAATGTTTCGTTTAGTTCCTCAAAGGTTTTTTTGCCACTCTTTTGTAGTTTTTGGGTCGCAATATCGAGATGAGACATAGATTTGGCAGAACTACATTAATAAAACTTAGAGTATCAGATAAGTGAAATACCGACTTGTTCAGTTAATAAATCAATTTATTTAAATTTGAGTTCAGTTAGGAGAATGAAAATCACACATGATTGAATACATCATCAACTTCTTCACAAAACAAATTTGAATACATTCAACTTTGTTCCAAAATACATCATCGACTTTGTTCCAAAATACTACAATGTACTCCCTCCGTTTCATAATAAGTGTCATTTTGACGAAATGAATCTGGATTATTTATTGATGTATTGGGATGTGTTTTGAATCTTAATACATCCATATACATTTAGATACATTGGGTAAGTCAAGAGTCAAAACAACACTTATTATGAATGGACTCAATTTTCTAACAGTGATTGCGTTGGTTTTAATAATAAATGTTATAATATTATAAAATGAATTCGATAGATAATTTTTGGAGGTACATGTCTTTTATAAATAAACTCGAAGATGATAAGATTTGAATTGACATATTTGACAGATTAATCCGTAAAATGTTTGTGTACTATACATTACTGACGGGATTTTATCATTTTACCAATTCAAAATTGTGTTTAAAAAACAGAGCAGGGAAGTTAAAAAGAAAACATCCTGTTCTTTTCCTACTTTGAATCTTGACTTCTCAGGGAATGCAGGAGCATCTGATGAGACATCAGAAGAAAGTCTCCTCAACTCTGTGGATTTAGCCACAACAGCAACCACAGGTTTGTTTCCTGCAGCAGAGTTTGAATTCTCCTTCTGTTTGCTCTCAAAGAGATTAATCCGATCTTGCACGCTGAGTCTCCTTGTAAGTTGACTTGACTTAACCGTAGAAGAAGATTCATCCAAACTCTCATTTAACTCCTCTTCATCCTTCTTGTTGCTCTTAGCACTTTGATGTTGACTGATGTTTGTTTCATCGACGGTCTTTCTCCGTGATCAGGTCTGGTCTTCTTTGCCATAATGAGATGAATTTTCTGCATGCTTCGCTGGTAAAGAGAGATTGTCGGATAAAAAAATTAAAACAAAGTTGCAAGAAAGTGAAACAACACCATGAAAAAGAAGTGCTTACTTCAAATGAGGTGCGCCGAATCTATCAGCAAAATGTTGAAGATCAGAAACAGAATGAGGATCAAAACCATTAGCCAATGCGTGAGCAATCGCTGTGGTTAAGTCCTTCTAAATTGCATCAAGTCTTAAATCTATAGCTCTTGAGAGCTCCTTCCTGAATATATAGACAAAGAAAAGCAATCAGCAAAACACTTTGAGTCTTTGACACAAAGATAAAAGCAGAGAGAGCTTTACTTACTTTGTTGCATCCGTTACACCTCCATCGCCTGAAAGAAAAAAAAATGGATCAAGTTTAGTCTTAAACTTAAGAATTTGATTGAAATAAGGAAGAAATTTAACAGACCCTGAGAATATAATGTCCGAGCTGCTTTCAACTGTGACATCTCCAAATCATATGTATTGACTCTTTCCAAAACTTCTGGGCTATTAACAAACTGAACAAATCTGAAAGGAAAGAGGAAAAGATTATTAAGCTACTTTAATGAAATTTGTGTTGAAAAGGAAAAGCAAAATGTTGTTTGAAACCTCTCGAGTGTTTTGTGAACCAAGATTTGTCATTTTATGCTTTGGTCTAGTTCCGCTCTAAAATAGGATTGTGCTTGAAGAACACTCAGGTGATTCACATGTAGAGTGAACACAAACAGGAAACTAAGACGTGAACACAGCACCAAGACCGCTAAAAATCTTAACCAAATCCAGCCATTGATACAATCTCTAATGAACTACACAAAATATCGAAATTTGGATACTTTCAAGTGAAAGTTCCATTGATAATCACACATTTGCTGATTCAACGAACAGAGGGATGAACAATTCATAGTAAAGCAGCTATCCCAAAACTCCAAAATCTATTTCAGATCATCATTTCCCAGATTCGACACAAAACAAATTAACCTTAGCTTCAAGATTATAGGGATGAAGCTAAGTTTTTCTTTCATGTGACCTTCTTTAAAATTTGCACTTACCCATAGTGCTTCCGAAGGATCTTCATCCAATAGTTTAATAATAGGCAGGATTACTTTCGCAGCATGTGACACTGCATCTTTCTTCGTATTCGAAAACCTAGACAGTCTGATTCAATAAAAAAGCATCTTAGATTCCCAAAAGTTCCTTGTTACAGGAAGCTTGAATAACAAACCCAGGCAAACAGTAGAACACAGAGCAAACAAATATAATAATGGAATAATCAATCTGATTAACGTAGCTTTTCCAGTGTATATAATGGCAGGATTTGATCCATTATAACAGAGATGGATTGAAGATAACAAATAGCACACAAACCAAAAAAAGGAAAAAGCAAGTAGAACAGATTCCAGTTTATACGGACCTTGTAAGGAGATCAGAGATTGAGGTACATGAAGCCACTCGAACAATTCTACAACTTTCTGGATTCTGCTTGAAAAACAATCACAAATCATGTAATTTGAACATAAAAGTGGTAGAAGATGGAACAAATCTCACCATAAAGTAGCTGCATGTATACCTTGATTTGTGATAATAAACTGTTAAACCAAACAGAATATGAAGTAAAGAAACGATCTGAGCTGCACACAAGGATTCGAAGAAGACCTTCGCGTCTGATTGAGTCACCTAAACACAGCAAAAAGCACACGTTTTGAAAAGGGAGATACTTTCATCATCAAAGCTGAAAGTGAATCAATTTGAAGGGAGTTACCTTCTTGTCAATGTTAGTGCAGTAGATAGTTCTTGCATACATCTCACGCTCATCTTTAGTCTGCAGCAACAACAACAACAACAAACAAATCATTCTCCGAGTCTCGAAACGTCAGAGACTTTTGCATTGGACAAGAAAATCTCACCCTTGGTAAGAACGTCGGATTCACCGGCGCAATAGCTGTTTTGGATGGCAAAACCTTCACAGGATAGAATCCCAACATAGTCCCGGATAAATTCAGAGCAGTCATCACACCCTCTGAGAAAGAAAAAAACACCATACTTAAGCACAAGACCACTGATTCTTCAAAACTGCTCACGAGTAAACGAATTGTAATACCTTCATCAGTGAACTCGATGAATGCAAACCGTAGGACTGAGTTTGGGTCACCACATATGCGGCAGTCAACAACCTGCTCATAACCAAAACACAGTAAAGTAAACACACACAAACACAAAAAGGATGGAGTTCTGAAAAAATCAGAGCTTTAAGAGGATATTATCAAACCTGCCCACAGTTCACAAACAAACCAGCAAGCTGCTCTTCAGTGACCTATTCACACGCACGCACCAAGAGAAAGTCAAAGATGAGAAAAGTCTCAGAACAATCATAGATTAGAGAGTAAAGGTTTGATTTTTTTTTTCAACCTGTTGATCGAGATCAGAGACATAGACAGTTCTCTGAATGACATCTTCTCGCTGAGCCATGCTTGTTCGAGCATTCATCCTCCGTTTCCCTTGACCAAAGCTCTTCTTCTACACCACACACACACAATCAGACGAATGCTATGGATATAAAGATAGTTTCAGGAATCAAAAAGATGACTTTTTTGAAGATCCACAACGAAAATGAATCCTAGATTGAAGACAACACAAAACCCTAAGACAATTCGGTGAAACTAAACCTCAATACACACAAAGATCACATAATCGAAGTTACACAATTGACGGCGAATGGTGTCTCTTACCCGTCGGAAACCGCCGTTTTCGTTACCGTAGCCAGCGGAGCTGCAGAGGTGAAGAAACCACCGTTAGCACCGTTGAGTCCTCCGTTACCACCACCTTGTTTAGTCAGCGACGGAGGAACTGAAGAGTGGGATAGAACTTAGTTTGAAGCTTCTGTTCAATTGAAACCATTGGAGACTCGATTATAGGCCTCGGAGAGTGATAGAAATTTGGCCACAGGCTGCTTCTCGTTGGGAACATGGTCGGACAGAAGGTTTTGGAGTTTCTTAGGCTCCAATCTCGGGTCGCACATGTCGTGGAAACGCTCAGAAGACGCCATCGCCTCTCGGGTTAAAGCCGAAGTGAATCTGCGATTTTTGCGTTGGCCGGAGAGCGGCGGCGGAAGTTTCCAAAACGGCGTGGTTCACTGAATAGAAGCGGAAGAAAGAAAGAAGAGATGAAACGCCAGCCGTCATGTCAAGAAAAAGAATCGTTTACAAAAAACTGTCGATTAAATTGACTAAAGATAGAAACTCTGTTGTGAAGAAGCCACTTGGCACTCTCTCCAGAGTGCTGACGTGGCAGCACAGTGGAGAGTGTTGGACAACTTTTATAGGGATGACGATCTATTTTCCCACCAGAAGTATGGGAGTCACACCAGATGCGGCCCAAAGGCCCAAAGTATGACCTCGTTCCACAACACCACCATATAAACTTTAAGAAGCCACAACCACATGAGTAAACTTTGAGAAGCCAGAACCACACGAACCCAAGTGCGATGGTTTAATGTCTGAACCCGGATATGAAACCATCCAAAACCGGTAGTAAACCAAACAGAAACCCGAATCTCAAAAAATCAGACCCGTTAGTCCACGTTTTAACCCGACTCAACAACGGTCGAAAAATCTCGTGTTATAACCCGACTCAACAACGGTCGAAAAATCCCAAATCAGAAACTGAAGAACCCTAAAATCGAATTTTGCAAAAAATCTCAATCGATCCTGCTGAACACTAATTTCTGAAATTAACTGTTAGTGTGTTGATTTCGGATAATCTTCTCAGTTGTTTACTTTAGGATATCGATTTCGGATCTCATCTTCTTCCCCCTTTTCTTATACTCGAGTTCTTCTTCTTTGTTCTTAATTTCTTTTGTCTTTGGGTTTACCTGCAGATCTTAAGCCATGAGTAACGCCTCTGGAGCTTCTAGTGGATCGTCAATCGGTCGTTCAAGAGGCAGATTTTATGGGGTGCCAAAAACCTGTCCGTGTGGGGAACAAATCATGGAATTGATTTCCAAATCCAACAACAATCCTTACCGGCGTTACTATCGTTGTGGCTATGCTGTGGCTAGGAAGGTAAATCCACCATAATTCTTGCTTCTGATTCATTGTTTTATTGAATGTTGATTGTGATAAGTATTATTGTCAATGGATGTAGCTTGCGAATGATAACCACATGTTCAAGTGGGTTGATGAGGCTCACTTAGAGGAGATAGAGGCATTGAAAACAAAAAATGTAAGACTTGAGGAAAAGCTTGAAGCAATTGCAGCAGAGAGGACAGAGTTTGAGAGGATTGTGTTTGAGAATGTGCAAATGAAGCTTGAGAAGGAGATATTTGAGAGAGTAGAAGAGACATTGATTGAAGCATCATCTACTTCAAAGAAAATGATGATTGGTGTAATTGCTTTGTGTATGGTGATGGTTGGGTTTAGTAAGCAATTAGGTTGAAAAGTTTTTAGAAGTATGATCTTGTATGCATTGAAAGTATTTTGGTTGTTAAGAAGATTGTGGACTTGATATGTATTCTTTGAATTAATGCTTTGAATTTGTCTATTTTAACAGCATTGTTGCTTATGTTTTGTGCGCAATACTAACAATAACATTTCCAAAAGCTTAACATAACATTAACATGAGTAAACAACAAGATGTCCAAAAGCTTACCATAATCCGAGATCTTAAAAAGAAAACCAAAAGCCAATGTCACATAATCCTACATATCCGAGACATCTAAATCCAAAACCAAGTGTATATGTCATTACAAATCCGACACATCTAAGTCCAAAGACCAAAAGTAGATGTCAACTCAATCTTGAGTAAGGGTTCCTTGAGAGGATTCAACGTGACTTTGAGGACCCTCCAACAACAATGTCTACAAAGCAAAATAGAGATCTCCATGTAAGTCTAAAAACATGTTTGTAAGGAACAAAAGACTTTAAACAGCAACAAGAGAAGACAAACCTGTGAAGAATTCGCCTTGTGATGCCTAGCGTTGTGATTAGCCTCACCACAAACTCCACAATGCATAATCCTTTGCTTCTCCTTTCGTTGCTTCTTAGTTGGAGACTCATTAACACCTTTTTTTCTTGTCTTGTCAGCCTTGGTGAGCTTCTTCTTCCCTGCTTCTTTTCCTGGTTCTGTTGCTGCTTCAGTCCCGGTTTCTTCTTCAGCTGGTTTCTCTTTAGGAGGAGGTACATGTACATCCGGAGCATCTGTTGCTGGCCAAAACCTCGAACCCCTAACTGGAATAAGTCCGTCAGTGTAGTTTCTTCTCCACATAGGTGTCCGGAACCATAACAGACATAGTCTTCAGGGTCAAGCTTCAGCTTCAACATCACACCATGAGCATGCTTACATGGTATTCCAGTTATGTCCCACTTCCTGCAAGAACATGTCCTATTCTCCAAACTTACACGGTGAGTTTGTCCATTCAGCATTGAAGAAAAGAACCCTTTAACACTTTTAGTCACAACACACTTTTTGGCTCCATCTTTCTTATCTTTATCTACAAGCTGCTTTGCTAGCTTTTCAATCACATATGGTGTACATTTTCCTGACAATTAAAGTGGATTATGTTATCACTAAACTAAAAACATAACAATCAATTAAAGACAATGAGGATTACGTGGGATTACTGTATGCTCATGAGATATTCTCGACCTTACGGCAATATGTGCCATGGCAAGCCTTGCTATTGCTTCAAGCATAGGGATGAATGGCTTCTCTCTGGCCTTGTTTATTGAGGCATTAAAAGACTCTGTCGAGTTGTTTTCAACGTCTTCACAGTAATTGCCTAGCTTGTAAAAAGCCCTGCACCAACTCCTCGGACTTGTAGCCATAACATCATTGTAAACCCTGTATCGTAGCATCTTAACCTGTCCAAGTTCACCTGAAACTTGGCTTCATTGTAACTCCAAGCTAGCCTCCATATGTGTTGCTTCATCTGCTTTTTGCTCTTATGTTTCTTCTTCAGATTCCCGTAGATGTGTCTTACACACTTACGATGCTCCATCTTTGGTAACTCAATCTTAATAGCTCTTACTAATCCCTGACAAAACAAAACAAAACCGTAAAAGTTAGTTACAAAACAAAGCAAAAAAGAGATATGCATGTAAGTCTAAAATCAGTCTTGACAAAACAAAAGCTAAATTACCTTATGGCGGTCTGAAACAGCAATGAACCCGTCACCATCTTTTAGATCCAAATCAACCTTCAGCTTCTGCACAAACCACTGCCAGTTCTCATTGTTTTCCACCTCTACAACACCCCAGGCTATTGGATAAATGGCATTGTCTGCATCTCGACCTAAAGCAACCAATAGCTGTCCCTTGATTCTCTCTTTAAGGAAGCAACCATCAAGTCCTATTAGTGGCCTACAACTATCCTTCCATGTTTTTCTGAGCACGTCAAAGCAAACATAGAATCTCGAGAACACATCTTCACCTTTATCATTCCGAGTTGTGCAAACTTCCACAGACGAACCCGGATTTGAATCTACTATCTCGGCTGCATAATCTTTAGTCTTGCAAACTGCTGATCATATTCACTACTAATCCACTTCAAAGCTTTGTTCCTACCAGCTTGACATTGAGGCCTAGACACAACAATTCCCCATTCTGACATAACCAATTCTTCAATCTTCATAGGCATATAGTATTCAGGTTCTCTACGAATCTTCTCCTTAAACAACCTAGCTATCACAGGGACTTTAACCAACTCAACTTCTTCAGTCTTTTGACATGTATGCGTCTCTACAAACTTCCTAACTTTCCAAATTTTATCTTTTGGAAGAATCGAGGCATAAATTTGCCACATTACACTCTGAATCGTTCAAACCTCTACCAGCACATTCAAATCCAATCTTATCCTTATCGTACCTGTATTGGCTGATATTCCACCTTGTTCTAAGGGCGTAGTCGAGGACACTCTCTTTGAAAGCTACTCCGTTGAAGAAAGTCTGGTCTTTGTACAAATACCCATCACCACGACTTATTCTCGTGACCATTCTCTCTCGACCTTCACCGCCTGCTTCAAGCTCTAGCTTCGCCATCATCTTCTGCTTCGTCATCAGTCTCAGGCAACTGGTGGTGCTGAATCGACGGCTCGTTTTGAAATTCGCGCAATAGTTCATCGAGTTGAAACTCCTCTCGCTCGACTTCTTCATCGTCAAATTCCAGTCTCTCTCCACCATTTGGAGGAGCTAAAGCCATGCTAAACTCGAATAATCTATCACACTATCGAGATTCAAACTGATTTCGAACTCTCTCTCTCTATTTCAAATTCTAGGGTTCTCAGAATTTGTGAATTTGGGATTTTCGAGTTAATTTGGTTTAGAAGATGAAATTGGGTCTAAAATAATTTTAAGCGGGTCTGAAATCGGATAAAATGGGTTTAGTTCGGTTAAACACTATTCGGAAACAGTAAACCATGTTTTCGGAACAGTAAACCAACTAAACCATAGCTCCGTGGTGCTACGGCTATTTAAACTTGGATTCGTGTGGTTCTGGCTTCTCAAAGTTTACCTCGTGTGGTAGTGGCGCCTTAAAGTTTATATGATGGTGTTGTGGAACGAGGTCATACTTTGGGCCACATCTGGTGTGACCCCCGTACTTCTGGTGGGGAAATAGATCGTCATCCCACTTTTATAGTATACTTAGACTAATGCCCGCGCATACGCGCGGGTTTTGTTGTTGTAAAAAAATTTAAAAAATGCTCGAAAACAATTTTAGATTTGCGATTAATATTATGAAGTATAATCCAATAATATCCATATATAATTCCTATGTGTTGGTTATTAGTGAGTGACTTTCAAACATATATTTTTGTATCATACCACATGTCTATGAACCATTAACTTTCTTTATTTACTCATGACCACATAGAATGGACTCTGATTTTCCGCCATCGATTCTTGCTAAATCCATTTCTCTATATATTAGGAGAATTTATATGTTTAATAATAACTTAAGATGGAAGCCGAAATGTAAAGCCTTGGATTAATAGAGTAATTTTTATTATCATAAGTTGAAATGTATAAGATTTAGAGTTATTGACGGGAAAGAAGAGGAAAAGTCATGCCATAATATCAATTAATTAATGGAGTATTGATACAACGTGGAAGATGAAGCAACTGGCGGTTCTGAAACCTATTATAACTGTAACGACTAAGAATGCGAAGAGACTGCATTCTTTAAAAGTTTTACCACATGTCAATCATATGAAGAGAGTTGGCCTCAATTCATATATATGATAGGATGTACAACTGCCATGTCAACTTCAAACTTTTGAAAGCTATTCCCTCTGTTTCAAAATATAAGGGGTTTTAGAGTTTTAATTTTGTTTCAAAATATAAGGGGTTTTAGAGTTGTAGTGTAAAATTAAATATTTTTTACTACTTTAGATTATTTATGTTTTGCACATTTGTTATTCATTGATTGAAATGTTTTGGAAATGATGATAAAATATATTTTATTTCAAAAAGTACAAAAAATAAATGGCTTCTTAATTTGTGTGCAAAAACCTTAAACCCCTTATATTATGAACAGAGGGAATATCAGTTACTATTTTGCATGATTTTAAAAATCAAAGAATGATGACAACTACCAGTTATGACAAACAGTTAATGCAATAATTATTAATTAATTTAGATTGGATTAATATTGTTGTAGCCTGTTTCTTTAGACCAAGTAGATGATGTTTAGGGTGGGGATGGATAAATATGTTAGAGTAAAATAACAGGTGCAAAAATGTTTCACTCTCACTTCCTCTATTATTTTACCAATTAAGTGAAAAAGTAGTAGAGAACATTCTGCCCAGATACGCTAAAAACAGTGGTATATTTTCGTCCATCTTTTTCTAGAGGTAAACAAATATCCCACTCTTTTACTCCGATTATTAAATTTTCTTTCTGTTATAAAAAGGAATGCTTATCCATTCCTAATAATTTATTGTTTGATGTAAATATCTTCCTTTCACCGACTCCATGTGTCACTTGTACAATTCATTTGACTTTCTATATAAAGGGCTTGTCATTTGATGAGAAGAAGAGACAACCAACAAAATCAATAAGAGAAACTCTTCATCTCTATTCTCTCTCCTGACCAAGTGGTCTCCACCACTTTTACTTCTTTTATTTAATTAATAGTTTACAACACGTTATCAGCACGATTGCCTCTATACCCTAGATCTGTCTAGATCTATCTTATCCGCAGAGGTAAGCCTAAATTCTGTCCAAATTTATTTAAAATTATATTTTGTCTATTCTGCCGGGAAGTTAGGCTATGCCTACTCCGAGCTGATCGTCATGGATGGCTCTGCCTCCTCGATCAAATAAATCTCTTAAAGCCGGGAAGCTAGGCTCTGCCTACTCCGAGCTGATCGTCATGGATGGCTCTGCCTCCTCGATCAAATAAATTAAAGCCGGGAAGCTAGGCTCTGCCTACTCCGAGCAAATGATCACATGGTAGACTATGTCTCCTCAGATCATATATATGGAGTGGTAGGGAAATCCTCCTCCGGAGTTGATGGTGAAAACCTCCTCTATGTAGCGGAGTTGATGACTATGTCTCCTCCCAGATCTAAATTTCTGTCTTTCAATTTATGCCTTTCAATTTTGTTATTCTGTTTAAAGTTTTCAAAAGAATTCAGTGGCCCTGATGGTGCCACGATTTGAGATTAAGGATGGAGATACTTGTCTAGCAGACAGTGCTACGACACATACAATACTCAAAGATAAGAAGTATTTCTCCTATCTCAAAATGAAAGACTCCGCTGAAAGCGTGAGTACTATATGCGGTAGTGCAAAGATAATACTTGGCTCTGGGAGTGCAAGTTTTTCATTGCCAAGGGGAACGAAATTTGAAGTGCGAGATACTATATTCCCCGGAGTCTCACCGGAACTTATTAAGTTTCCGAGATATCCGCAAAAATGGATATCATATTGAGACTATAAACAAAAATGGCATTGAATATCTTTGCATTACAACGGAGAGGAAACAAACATTGGAAGAATTACCAATGATGTCCTCTGGTTTATATTGCACAAAAATCAACATGACTGAATCTTATGTTGCAGTAAACCAGATGTTTACTAGCACTTTTAGGGTGTGGCATGAAAGACTTGGCCACCCAGGTTCAGTCATGATGAGAAGAATTGTGCAAAATACGAGTGGCCACCCATTGAAAAATGAAAAGATTTTTCAATCGGGGGAGTTTTCATGTAAAGCATGTTCTCAAGGAAAACTCATAATTAGGCCCTCGCCAGCCAAAGTTGGGAATGAATCCCCTGTATTCTTAGAGAGAATACATGGTGATATATGTGGGCCTATTAACCCACCGTGCGGGCCATTTCGATACTTTATGGTATTGATTGACGCATCTAGTAGATGGTCAAATGTGTGTCTTTTGACCACAAGAAATATGGCTTTCGCAAGATTCATTGCCCAAATAATCAGGTTGAGAGCGCATTTCCCTGATTATGCCATAAAGAAAGTCAGGCTTGATAATGCTGGTGAATTCACTTCAGCAGCCTTTAATGACTTTTGTATGTCTGTGGGAATCGATGTTGAACATCCGGTTCCGCACGTTCATACGCAAAATGGCATGGCTGAGTCATTAATAAAGCGGTTGCAGTTAATTGCAAGACCGTTAATCTTGAGAACAAAACTCCCAATCACTGTATGGGGACATGCAATATTGCATGCGGGAGCCTTGGTTCAAGTGAGACCAAGTGCTTATAATAATTTTCGCCCATACAGTTGGCATTTGGAAATATGCCAAATATATCCCATCTCCGGGTATTCGGGTGTGCGGTCTATATCCCAATAGCGCCACCACAGAGATCAAAAATGGGACCACAGAGGAGATTGGGAATATATGTCGGGTATTCGTCCCCTAGTATAATAAGGTATCTTGAACCGGCAACTGGTGATATGTTTACGCCGATAGCCACTTTGATGAAAATGAATTCCCTGCGTTAGGGGGAGGGTCGAGAGAATCACCAAATGATATCACCTGGTGTACACACTCTTTGGCTTATCTTGATCCTCCTTCTAATCAACGCGAGGTGGAAGTTCAGAAAATTATACATATGCAAAGATTGGCTAACCAGTTGCCCGATGAGTTCAGATACGAAAAGGGTGACGAAGTCCTATATCCCCGCTGCTAATGCTCCATCAAAAATAGAAGTTCCTCATGAACATTTTGATGTGAATAGAGCAAGTGAACCGGTTCAATTAAAGCGCGGGAGGCCTATAGGATCAAAGGATAAAAATCCCCGAAAGAAAAAGAATTGTGGAGTAAAGGTTCCTGATGAACCGAAATGTCTTGAAGACATTTCCGAACAGGTTCTTGTAGAACCTGATAAAGAGGTTCAAGATGACGATCATGAAAAAGATTGATGAGATCAACTTCCGTTCAGAGTGCCAAAAGAGGCCGGACTGGGAGAAATGGCAAATGGCCATGAAGAATGAAATATTCTCTCTCAATAAACGGACTATAGTTCAATGGTCAATAGATCGCTTGATGTTAACAAGGATCCATTTCGACCTATTGAAGATTCTGAAGAAATGTTAGGTCCTGAAGTACCTTACATGAGCGCCATCGGGGCACTTATGTATCTTGCAAATTGCACTAGATCCAGATATAGCTTTTGCTACTAATCTGCTTGCAAGATACAGCTCATCGCCTACCAGAAGACATTGGAACGGAATAAAACATATATTCCGTTATCTTCAAGGTACGATTGAGTTTGGATTATATTATTCAAGAAACCCCGAGGTTGGTTTAGTTGGTTTTGCAGATGCTGGCTACTTGTCTGATCCGCATAAAGCTCGATCGCAAACCGGTTATGTTTTCACATACGGTGGAACCGCGATCTCTGGCGTTCCCAAAAACAAACATTGGTTGCAACGTCTTCAAATTATGCGGAAATCATTGCTCTCATGAAGCATGTAGAGAGTGTATATGGTTGAGATCTTTGATCCAACATATACAAGAAGCCAGCGGAGTATCTACAAAGAAAGAGCCAACAACATATACGAAGACAATTGCATGTGTCACTCAACTCAAAGAAGGCTACATCAAGAGCGACAGGACAAAGCACATCCCTCCAAGATTTTTCTCCTACACTCAAGAACTTGAGAAGAATCAAGAAGTGGATATTCAGTATGTTCGCTCAAGTGACAATGCAGCTGATTCTTCACAAAGGCGCTTCCTACTACAGTGTTCAAGAAGCATGTTCAAGTATTGGAATGCGTCGTCTACAAGATTTGTGAAGAAAAGATCATATCTATTTTTCAGGGGAGTTTGTTGCGGTACTCTTTTTCCTTTTCATGATTTTTATCTCATTGGGTTTTTCCATTTAAGATTTTAATGAGGTTACATGCAACTTCACAAAAATGGATAATCAATAGGGAATATTATAAAAAGGAATGCTTATCCATTCCTAATAATTTATTGTTTGATGTAAATATCTTCTTTCCACTAACTTCATGTGTCACTTGTACAATTCATTTGACTACCTATATAAAGGACTTGTGATTTGATAAGAAGAAGAGACAACCAAGGAAATCAATAAAAGAAACTCTTCCTCTCTATTCTCTCTCCTGACCAAGTGATCCCCACCACTTTTACTTCTTTTACTAGAGTTTGACCCGTGCCCAGCACGGGGTGAGATATTTTTTTTACATCAGCATATGTATTTAATTTAAAAAAATGTATTTGTATTTTTATCAAAAAAAATGCTTATTTAATTATCTTTTTTTTTGCGACAGAATTGTTGGTTTTGGTTTCTTTTATAATGTAGAAATTAAGCATATTAAATCATTTCTTAAAAAGGTAAACAATTAAAATCTGGACTGTAGATTAAATATGTTAGAATTAATCAAGATACATAAAATTCAAATGACTATAATATAATAAGATCGTTTAAAGAACATAAAACTGAAAAATAAAATATTATTCTTAAAAATATATATACTTCATATATTTTATAAGATAAGTTAAATTTTATAATATTCGAATTTGTTATACAAATATTTTAAATATTTTAACTTTTTAACCAAGTTAAACTATTTAAAATATTTTAATATTTTGATATAAATATTTTCAAGTTCTTCACTCCGAAATATTTATAATAAGATAAAATTTATTTGGTATAGTTATGTAGTTTTATTAAAAAACTATATGAAACCAAATATATTGATAAGTTTGGATACATATTAAATTAAACATCCATATCTAATGGTTTATTATCATTTTGGTTCTTTCTTTTATAATAGTCTTATGAACTATCACATATCTTCATTTCCAATGTGGGACTTTTATGATATACTTGTTATTTTCATCATTTTAGTGATTGATATCTGTTTTTAAAATTTCAAATTACAATTTGTGTTTTAAAAAATGTACATTTTTTTAATATATGGTTAATGTGATAGTTTATCTATTTTTGTAAAATTTAGTCCAACCAAAAAATGAGAGAAAAGTGTAGTATTTAAGAAAACAATTAATTTGATAAGATAAGGAAAGAATGATAATATATTTAGAATTAAATGCTAAAATATATATAAACCATTGATATAACTATTCTCTAACCAAATTAATACAATGGCATAAGTTGTAAATTATCTAGTAATCTTTGCCTTAATTAAAAATTGTCTTGAGAGTGAACCTAATGATGACACATAAGCAATGGCATTCTTGTTAATAGCACATGACATAAAGGTTATTTTGATAGTATTTTCTCTTTTAATATATTAGGGATTAAGCATATTAAATCATTTCTTAAAAAGGTAAACAAATTAAAATCTGGACTGTAGATTAAATATGGTAGAATTAATCAAGATACATAAAATTCAAATGACTATAATATAATAAGATCGTTTAAAGAACATAAAACTGAAAAATAAAATATTATTCTTAAAAATATATATACTTCATATATTTTATAAGATAAGTTAAATTTTATAATATTCGAATTTGTTATACAAATATTTTAAATATTTTAACTTTTTAACCAAGTTAAACTATTTAAAATATTTTAATATTTTGATATAAATATTTTCAAGTTCTTCACTCCGAAATATTTATAATAAGATAAAATTTATTTGGTATAGTTATGTAGTTTTATTAAAAAACTATATGAAACCAAATATATTGATAAGTTTGGATACATATTAAATTAAACATCCATATCTAATGGTTTATTATCATTTTGGTTCTTTCTTTTATAATAGTCTTATGAACTATCACATATCTTCATTTCCAATGTGGGACTTTTATGATATACTTGTTATTTTCATCATTTTAGTGATTGATATCTGTTTTTAAAATTTCAAATTACAATTTGTGTTTTAAAAAATGTACATTTTTTTAATATATGGTTAATGTGATAGTTTATCTATTTTTGTAAAATTTAGTCCAACCAAAAAATGAGAGAAAAGTGTAGTATTTAAGAAAACAATTAATTTGATAAGATAAGGAAAGAATGATAATATATTTAGAATTAAATGCTAAAATATATATAAACCATTGATATAACTATTCTCTAACCAAATTAATACAATGGCATAAGTTGTAAATTATCTAGTAATCTTTGCCTTAATTAAAAATTGTCTTGAGAGTGAACCTAATGATGACACATAAGCAATGGCATTCTTGTTAATAGCACATGACATAAAGGTTATTTAGATAGTGTTTTCTCTTTTAATATATTAGGGATTAAGCATATTAAATCATTTCTTAAAAAGGTAAACAAATTAAAATCTGGACTGTAGATTAAATATGCTAGAATTAATCAAGATACATAAAATTCAGACTGTAGATTAAATATGCTAGAATTAATCAAGATACATAAAATTCAAATGACTATAATATAATAAGATCGTTTAAAGAACATAAAACTGAAAAATAAAATATTATTCTTAAAAATATATATACTTCATATATTTTATAAGATAAGTTAAATTTTATAATATTCGAATTTGTTATACAAATATTTTAAATATTTTAACATTTTAACCAAGTTAAACTATTTAAAATATTTTAATATTTTGATATAAATATTTTCAAGTTCTTCACTTCGAAATATTTATAATAAGATAAAATTTATTTGGTATAGTTATGTAGTTTTATTAAAAAACCATATGAAACCAAATATATTGATAAGTTTGGATACTTATTAAATTAAACATCCATATCTAATGGTTTATTATCATTTTGGTTCTTTCTTTTATAATAGTCTTATGAACTATCACATATCTTCATTTCCAATGTGGGACTTTTATGATATACTTGTTATTTTCATCATTTTAGTGATTGATATCTGTTTTTAAAATTTCAAATTACAATTTGTGTTTTAAAAAATGTACATTTTTTTAATATATGGTTAATGTGATAGTTTATCTATTTTTGTAAAATTTAGTCCAACCAAAAAATGAGAGAAAAGTGTAGTATTTAAGAAAACAATTAATTTGATAAGATAAGGAAATAATGATAATATATTTAGAATTAAATGCTAAAATATATATAAACCATTGATATAACTATTCTCTAACCAAATTAATACAATGGCATAAGTTGTAAATTATCTAGTAATCTTTGCCTTAATTAAAAATTGTCTTGAGAGTGAACCTAATGATGACACATAAGCAATGGCATTCTTGTTAATAGCACATGACATAAAGGTTATTTAGATAGTGTTTTCTCTTTTAATATATTAGGGATTAAGCATATTAAATCATTTCTTAAAAAGGTAAACAAATTAAAATCTGGACTGTAGATTAAATATGCTAGAATTAATCAAGATACATAAAATTCAGACTGTAGATTAAATATGCTAGAATTAATCAAGATACATAAAATTCAAATGACTATAATATAATAAGATCATTTAAAGAACATAAAACTGAAAAATAAAATATTATTCTTAAAAATATATATACTTCATATATTTTATAAGATAAGTTAAATTTTATAATATTCGAATTTGTTATACAAATATTTTAAATATTTTAACTTTTTAACCAAGTTAAACTATTTAAAATATTTTAATATTTTGATATAAATATTTTCAAGTTCTTCACTTCGAAATATTTATAATAAGATAAAATTTATTTGGTATAGTTATGTAGTTTTATTAAAAAACCATATGAAACCAAATATATTGATAAGTTTGGATACTTATTAAATTAAACATCCATATCTAATGGTTTATTATCATTTTGGTTCTTTCTTTTATAATAGTCTTATGAACTATCACATATCTTCATTTCCAATGTGGGACTTTTATGATATACTTGTTATTTTCATCATTTTAGTGATTGATATCTGTTTTTAAAATTTCAAATTACAATTTGTGTTTTAAAAAATGTACATTTTTTTAATATATGGTTAATGTGATAGTTTATCTATTTTTGTAAAATTTAGTCCAACCAAAAAATGAGAGAAAAGTGTAGTATTTAAGAAAACAATTAATTTGATAAGATAAGGAAAGAATGATAATATATTTAGAATTAAATGCTAAAATATATATAAACCATTGATATAACTATTCTCTAACCAAATTAATACAATGGCATAAGTTGTAAATTATCTAGTAATCTTTGCCTTAATTAAAAATTGTCTTGAGAGTGAACCTAATGATGACACATAAGCAATGGCATTCTTGTTAATAGCACATGACATAAAGGTTATTTTGATAGTGTTTTCTCTTTTAATATATTAGGGATTAAGCATATTAAATCATTTCTTAAAAAGGTAAACAAATTAAAATCTGGACTGTAGATTAAATATGGTAGAATTAATCAAGATACATAAAATTCAAATGACTATAATATAATAAGATCGTTTAAAGAACATAAAACTGAAAAATAAAATATTATTCTTAAAAATATATATACTTCATATATTTTATAAGATAAGTTAAATTTTATAATATTCGAATTTGTTATACAAATATTTTAAATATTTTAACTTTTTAACCAAGTTAAACTATTTAAAATATTTTAATATTTTGATATAAATATTTTCAAGTTCTTCACTTCGAAATATTTATAATAAGATAAAATTTATTTGGTATAGTTATGTAGTTTTATTAAAAAACCATATGAAACCAAATATATTGATAAGTTTGGATACTTATTAAATTAAACATCCATATCTAATGGTTTATTATCATTTTGGTTCTTTCTTTTATAATAGTCTTATGAACTATCACATATCTTCATTTCCAATGTGGGACTTTTATGATATACTTGTTATTTTCATCATTTTAGTGATTGATATCTGTTTTTAAAATTTCAAATTACAATTTGTGTTTTAAAAAATGTACATTTTTTTAATATATGGTTAATGTGATAGTTTATCTATTTTTGTAAAATTTAGTCCAACCAAAAAATGAGAGAAAAGTGTAGTATTTAAGAAAACAATTAATTTGATAAGATAAGGAAAGAATGATAATATATTTAGAATTTAATGCTAAAATATATATAAACCATTGATATAACTATTCTCTAACCAAATTAATACAATGGCATAAGTTGTAAATTATCTAGTAATCTTTGCCTTAATTAAAAATTGTCTTGAGAGTGAACCTAATGATGACACATAAGCAATGGCATTCTTGTTAATAGCACATGACATAAAGGTTATTTTGATAGTGTTTTCTCTTTTAATATATTAGGGATTAAGCATATTAAATCATTTCTTAAAAAGGTAAACAAATTAAAATCTGGACTGTAGATTAAATATGCTAGAATTAATCAAGATACATAAAATTCAAATGACTATAATATAATAAGATCGTTTAAAGAACATAAAACTGAAAAATAAAATATTATTCTTAAAAATATATATACTTCATATATTTTATAAGATAAGTTAAATTTTATAATATTCGAATTTGTTATACAAATATTTTAAATATTTTAACTTTTTAACCAAGTTAAACTATTTAAAATATTTTAATATTTTGATATAAATATTTTCAAGTTCTTCACTTCGAAATATTTATAATAAGATAAAATTTATTTGGTATAGTTATGTAGTTTTATTAAAAAACCATATGAAACCAAATATATTGATAAGTTTGGATACTTATTAAATTAAACATCCATATCTAATGGTTTATTATCATTTTGGTTCTTTCTTTTATAATAGTCTTATAAATTATCACATATCTTCATCTTCAATGTGGGACTTTTATGACATACTTGTTATTTTCATCATTTTAGTGATTGATATCTGTTTTTAAAATTTCAAATTACAATTTGTGTTTTAAAAAATGTACATTTTTTTAATATATGGTTAATGTGATAGTTTATCTATTTTTATAAAATTTAGTCCAACCAAAAAATGAGAGAAAAGTGTAGTATTTAAGAAAACAATTAATTTGATAAGATAAGGAAAGAATGATAATATATTTAGAATTAAATGCTAAAATATATATAAACCATTGATATAACTATTCTCTAACCAAATTAATACAATGACATAAGTTGTAAATTATCTAGTAATCTTTGCCTTAATTAAAAATTGTCTTGAGAGTGAACCTAATGATGACACATAAGCAATGGCATTCTTGTTAATAGCACATGACATAAAGGTTATTTTGATAGTATTTTCTCTTTTAATATATTAGGATTAAGCATATTAAATCATTTCTTAAAAAGGTAAACAAATTAAAATCTGGACTGTAGATTAAATATGCTAGAATTAATCAAGATACATAAAATTCAAATGACTATAATATAATAAGATCGTTTAAAGAACATAAAACTGAAAAATAAAATATTATTCTTAAAAATATATATACTTCATATATTTTATAAGATAAGTTAAATTTTATAATATTCGAATTTGTTATACAAATATTTTAAATATTTTAACTTTTTAACCAAGTTAAACTATTTAAAATATTTTAATATTTTGATATAAATATTTTCAAGTTCTTCACTCCGAAATATTTATAATAAGATAAAATTTATTTGGTATAGTTATGTAGTTTTATTAAAAAACCATATGAAACCAAATATAATATATTGATAAGTTTGGATACTTATTAAATTAAACATCCATATCTAATGGTTTATTATCATTTTGGTTTTTTCTTTTATAATAGTCTTATGAACTATCACATATCTTCATTTCCAATGTGGGACTTTTATGACATACTTGTTATTTTCATCATTTTAGTGATTGATATCTGTTTTTAAAATTTCAAATTACAATTTGTGTTTTAAAAAATGTACATTTTTTTAATATATGGTTAATGTGATAGTTTATCTATTTTTATAAAATTTAGTCCAACCAAAAAATGAGAGAAAAGTGTAGTATTTAAGAAAACAATTAATTTGATAAGATAAGGAAAGAATGATAATATATTTAGAATTAAATGCTAAAATATATATAAACCATTGATATAACTATTCTCTAACCAAATTAATACACTGACATAAGTTGTAAATTATCTAGTAATCTTTGCCTTAATTAAAAATTGTCTTGAGAGTGAACCTAATGATGACACATAAGCAATGGTATTTTTGTTAATAGCACATGACATAAAGGTTATTTTGATAGTGTTTTCTCTTTTAATATATTAGGGATTTAATTAACAGTTGACAACATTTTCCACTCATTTACTATCTCTCTCGTTTACTTTCACTTACTCTATATTTACCATTCATACTCTTAATGTTATTTAATCAGTTTGATATGATTTGGACTTTGGTCTCTTCGTTGTCGATTACAAACTTTAGCTTATTGAATCACGTTTAGGGTTGCAAATTTTGCGTTATATCATTTGGGCCGTGAGGTTATAGCTTTATACAACACAAGACACAAAAGGTTTTTAGTTCTCTTAGTGCATACCAAAGAAGGGGCTTAAGGTTTATGCTGTGAATAGGTTTAAACTTAAACAACTCTAATATCTAAATTTTCTGCTAATATTGTATATTATCTATGTCACACATTGTACTGAGGCTAGATAGTGAGTTACATTTACATATGATAATTTTAGGTGGGGTGAAAGTGGGAATAAGATAAAATACTGAGGGTCTTTTAGTGTATTACGATGCTGGACTTTAGTTATGAGTCTATGACTTGGGTGTGTAAATTTGGTTTTGATAGTTTAATAATTTAATTAGACATGCAAAGCTTAGTAAACCCAAACCAAACAGATATACAAAAGAGTCTTCCAGTTACAACAAATGTTCTGGTAGTGCAAATAAAAAAGAGACTACATGGGCCAAAACGTAAAAAAAAAAAACTAAAAATACAGGAATCCAACAATTTTAAAATTTCTCCCAGTTTTACCGCTAAACTTGTCATTCCGATCAAGTATAACCCTGCCTATACTTTCTGAAAATATCCTCAGTTTTCGCATTCCGGAAAGCGCAGCAGCCAATTATATAAACGATTATCAACCCGATCAGTGCCAAAAGGAGAAAGATATCAGCTTTTAACCAATCCACCTTCAGATTTGCGAGCAAACCGGCTTTGCAAGAATCGCAACTGTAGCACAAAGTGTTTTGTTCGTTGCTCCATTGTAGACAATCCATATCTGCTGACATATCTATGGGACTTATCCAGTAAGTAGGGTTCACGAACGTGAAGCCACATTTTGTTGGGGGCTTGCAGCAACCAGACTGAAAATAAATAAACGGGGTTAGATTATAAATAAAAGACAAATATGGGGCCAACAAAGTTGTTCCGCGTGAGTCGCTCACTGATTAAGTGCACATAGTGGAAGAATCTATTTTTTATCAAAAGTTGAAACTTTTCCAGTCTTTGTTCAGACAAGCCTATAAGCTAAGAATAATTTCTAGTTATCATTTCATTAATACTCCCACCTGTTGTTTTCGTGGCCATTCGATTTCGATTTACACCCAAATCTTTCTTTTGGTAATAAGAAATTAGAAATGACAGGAAGAAAAAAAAAAACTTACTTTATCTAAAGAAGAAAATGTGACATTTTCATCATTCTAATCTGGATTTTCTTAAGCAAAAGAGAAATCTGATATTTGCATATGGATTACAGCTTTTTATATATTTTTAAATCAAAAGGAAATTTCAGTCTTTTTAGCGACAAACCTTAAAACAAGCAAAGCACCAATTCTGTATACATTTTCTTTTCATTGCCATTCTAATTTCACCCCCATAGCTTTTTTTCTTTATTCTGTTTACACCCTAATTTTCCTCGATTAACGAGTTCACATACTGATGCTAAAAAACAAAATTAGTTCAAAAAACTAATTAACAACAAAGGAACAAGGAACGAAACAAAAATCATTTTAAAACACCCTAAATGCATAGATTACGGCAATAATTAAGAATTACCCAAGGCCCAACAGAAACTAACCCAACAGAAAAGTAATCAATCCATGAAAGAAACAAAATCATAAATTTTCTATTGAGATTCATAGCAAAGAAAAATAATTTTTTAAAAATAAAAAAAGGGGAAGAAGCACTTACTTGAATGGGGCTAAGAGGAGCATTGAAGAAATCAAGAGCCTGAGTGAATCTCTGGTTTAGTTCAGGGCAAATAGAAGTAGTACTCAAACAAGTTCGAATCCTATCCCATTTATAAGATCTCTGAACTCTTTGACGTAAGAAACCAGAGTAATCTTGAAGACTATACTCAAGATAAGCTCTGCTTGGCTCTGGATGACCAGCGCCTCTAATTGTAACCATGTAAATAAATCCGACAAGAGCACCTAAAAGTATGATGAGAAAAAGCATGAAGATTAAGTAAACGACGAGAAGCCATGTGATTCTCCAAAACCCTCCGATGAAACCAGCAAGACCCACGAGAAGGATGAAGATTCCGAGGATTATTACTGGCCATTGAAGAACCTTGACGCAGGAGTCCACGGTTCCTACGGCTAACCAAATTCCGGCGCCGATGACCGGAACTGAGAGGAGGACGGAGATGAAGTTTATGCAGCCGATTACATTGTTGCTTAAAGGCATCTTTTTGTTTGGAGAGGAAAACTAAATCTATGAGTTTCTTGGATTTTGTTTGGTTTGAAAGAGATTTAGGGTAATGGTAATAACTTTAGAAAGAGAGATGAGAGAGAGAGAGACTCACATGTGTGAAAAGTGAATCATATTATATACTATTAATAAGTTTGGCAAAAGAAAATTGTATAAAAAAGGAGTAACAATTTGAATAGAAAGAGGTGGGATCTATCATTTCCTAAAATTTGTGTTTCTTAATAGAGAAAAAAATCAAAACAATTTTAGTACACTTTTGAATACATCCTTCAAAAGTAGTATTAGTTTTCAAATTTTGATCATTAGAGGTAAGTACAAGATAATTTTGATTTTAATGAATTAATCAAAGAAATTATCGGGAAGATGACACCTAAAATGACCATATGCAAAGTGTCTAAAATAGTTTACTCTTATCGTAGTGTGTTTTTTTTTTTATAAAAGGCAATAAAAGATTATTAAATGAAATTATACTAATGAAAAGTTATTTGAAAAAAACAACTGTATCTAGATATTATTAAATACTGTTTAACATTTGAGTTTCTAGAACTTATTGCCAATAATATATATGCTGATTTGAATTTGGCTTATGCATAAATGACGGTATTAACACACAATAGGTTATATGTCATTATTAAAATGATCATGAGCCATTACTAATGATCAGATCTTGAAAAATATGATACATAAAATGACAATAATTTCAAAGTGTCTAATTTTAGTAATTTATTAATACTTTTATCATCACCGTGTGTTAATCGTGTTTTAAGGAGAGAAACAAAAAGAAAACTATAATTTTATATACTAAAAAATATATATGGGTTACTATTATCATTAAAAGTCTCTAAATGATTTTTTTTCTTTCTGGATTTCATTGCAAACAAAGAGCACAGTTACAGGATAGGAACAACATAATTCAAACTAAAACAGACTGGAAAGAACATAAAAAGAAAAAGATACACTCAAAGCAAAAACACTAACTGAAGATGGAATCGGATTGTTCGTACAACTCATGTGGAGAGAAAAAATTATGCAGTAATTTACTCTTACATTGCATAAAAATAAAATAATTTTGTTCCATTCCCGAATCTATGGAACATTGGGTACAAAGAAAAGTGATTATAAGTTTCTTTTGTTTTGTGAACAAAAAAAAAGTTTCTTTTGTTTAAAGTAAGATTTACATCAAGAAACTTTAGCGTGGAGGATTATCAATTTATCATCTGCGTTGTTCTGTCACTTTTATAAAGAAAACCCCTTGGAGTTGAATATGTAAGATAGGGTCATAGGGGAATATATACCATTTGATTTTTGAAGGATTAAATATTTATTTATCAGCAATCATAACAAGAGAGACCAAACCCACAACAAATAATGAAAATACATTTCGCTGTAATTATTTGTTTTTTAGAACAAACCAAAAATGAGGGAAATGTGAACATGTTGACAAAAGAGAAGGGTTATTGTGAATAGTTCAGATATAATATTGTGATGACTCGCGACCAGAGAAGAATCTTTATCAGATGAAGAAAAGTCAATATTTTAACTTCTTTCTGAGTAGAAAGAAGTTCAATAAGTTTCGAGTGGAGCTACTCAGAAAGAAGTTCAATAAGTTTCGAGTGGAGCAGCAAAGCAAATGATAAAGTTAAACATCGACTAGGAAAAATTTGAAAACCATAGGGTACGGGCATGGGTCCCATTTCACGACCCGACCCAAACAAACAAATAATTGATCATTCGTATTTCGTATGTAAATATCGGACGCATTTTTAACCTTATTTTTTTGATTGAGAAAAAAAGAGAGGGGATAATAAAAAGAAGGGAACCTTGAGATCTTCGAAGATGAGAGGAAGAAGAAGGTTCCAGTTTTTTAAATCTTTTTAATCTTACGATGATAGTGTATAAACAGAAATTGAGAGAAAAATATTTAAGTTGTCAAGTACAGAAATAAGGTGTGTAGCAGTGTAGTATCATTTATTTTATGAGTTTATATCATTTATTGATTGATATTAATGAATTTGCATTATTATATAAATGATTCTGAAAATGGTGACGCTAATATTTTGTGATGATAAAAACAAGTGATGCTACTAGTTTCATCATTTTGTAAATTATGTTAATATATAATATCATTTATAATAAATAAAATAAACATTTGCATCAATTAATATAAATGAAGTATATAATTGCATCAGTTGATATAAATGATGTTACTATTTCTCTTGGTTATAAAATTAATATCATATATATATTTAATTATATCATATATTTTAGTTGATAATATTATTATATCAATTATAAATAATTACATTTAAAATTATGTAAATTATAAATTTCGTATTATTTTCCAATACTAATCTTGATATCAATTATTTTAAATGATGTAAAATCATAAATTTAATGTCAATCTTTAATAAATCTTATATATAATAGGAGAGTTTGCTCTCTCCATCTAGGCTATCCACATCAGCCAAAAAATTCATTAAATTGTTTTTAAAATATTTAATACATGACTATTCATATTTCTTTACCTATATTTATATTTTTAAATATAAATAAAACTAAGAAAAATACACAACTAAATTACTTAATTAATATAAAGTATGTGATAACTTGATGTTAAAAGTTATCAAAAAGTTTGGATATAAGTAAAAATATATTTATCTTGAAATGGTATATATTTACCTTTTTATTAAAAGGATTTATCCTACTTCAAAATGTTATAATGTGTTCACAAGTTAAAAAGTTGAATATAAATTAATTAAGATAATAAAAAACCAATGAGAAATTAGAGTTAGAGTTTGCTTTTTTAAACAAATAGAAGTCAAGTTTTTATATGTAAATTTAATTGCAGTGAAAAACATGAAAAGTTTTAAGGATTGTGATATGTTTGTTTCCAAATATATTCAATTACAAAACTAACATAATAGAAAACAATCAATGGTCATGAGGCTCATATGCTACCACAACAAAGTAGATATGTATAAAAGTATATATATTTTTTTTCATCCTATTTCGGTGCAAATGCGATTTTACAATATACTTACAAATTTTAACGCTGAGTCAAATTATACATATGCATGTTTATAGTCTAACAAAAGTAAACAAACATAATATTTATAATATGCTAAAATGTTAGAAATAGAAAATTCGAGATAAAGTAGGTGTTAACATCCTAATAAAATAAAATAAAAGGATGCACGATGTGAGATAAAATATAAACAAAACCATTGCAAACAACCCCGCGCTTGCGCGGGGCTTCAAACCTAGTGATTCTAATTAGAGTTACTTAAATTCTTGATACTATATAAGTGATGCTATCTAACTAATTTTTTAGTGTGTATACACTTTTTCAGAAACGGATGTGATGATACAAAATTTTAGTAGATTATAAGATTAAATGAATTTAAATTTTTGATGGCTAAGAAGAAATCCAAATTTGCCTTAACAAAAAAAAAAATACACATTTTCTTATTTTACAAATTTTTGAAATATGATAGAATGCTGTAGTTATTTAGTATAGGTTTGGTGAAAAGGGAATTAATTCACCATAAAAATAGATTAATTAATAAAACATTTATGAGAATATAAAAGAATGTACACAATAGAGAAAAAATGAATTTTCATCTTAGATATTTAAGAGTTAATAAAATTTTTATTTAGTTTCTAGTAACCAAATATATAGATTAGTCAATTGAAAAAATGAGAGAATATAACCAACTATCACTCTATCAGCAATAAATTTGGACAACTTGTGTTTTAATTATGGAATCTTTACTTTCCCACACAAATGTGTATAGAATTAAAACTAAATTGAGTTGGATATATAAAATAAGCCCATGCATATCCAAAAACCAAAATATGGGCCACTTAGGAAAAGTCCATTAATTACAGCGATCATGCCGCCAACAAAATGATAGAGACGAGGAATAACGAGGGAAAGGAACAACTGAACAGAATTTCAGGCGTCATGAGGGCGCGTAAAGCGCGTGAAGATATTGTCGAGTCATGTTATATGAGAATATTCTGACACTTTGCATGTTAGAATCTAAATTTGATAACCACCTCCGTAAAGTTATGGGATAAAACTTTGTGAAATGCTCTTAACATGAAAACAAAAAAAAAAAAAAATTGTGGAATGGCTCATTCACATAGATCCCATACAAAAAATTAAATCATCGTTAGATTATTTGAGCTGGTTTTAGTATTGTTATTTGATTTTACTTACCAGTTATGGTACTCAGCATCTAAGGAGATTGTGAGTTTGATGCCTTCGTTAGAGTTCATACTCTGTTTTCTTTTTGCTTTGTTTCAGAGTTCTTATTTCAGACTTTGGTATTCAATAAAGTTTACGATAAAAAAAAAAATTGTATCTCTATTTTTTATTCCATTCAATTCCTTTAAATTGTTACCAGTCTTGCTTCAGACTGTCGAGATCTCTGTGTAAGAAGATAGTCACAACGCTTGCTAATTTCTGGTAGAAAAATCAAGAAACGGGTAAGGGCATTCACTGGAAAGCTTGGAAAAAACTCAATGTACCTAAAAGGGAAGGAGGTCTTGGCTTCAGAGACATTGAAGGTTTCAACCAAGCTTTATTAGGCAAACAGATATGGAGAATGTGCACAAACCCAAATTCCCTCCTCGCCAAGGTCTTTAAAGGGAGATACTTCCCACAATGCTCCCCATTAGAAGCAAGACTAGGCTCACGACCTTCTTTTGATTGGAGTAGCATTCACATCGCTCAGGGATTGATGAGACAAGGCATGCGAAGGAATTTTGGAGCAGGACCAAATGTGAACATCCTTTCAGACCCATGGCTTCCCACTGATCCGCCCATACCCCAAAGGTAAAAGAAGGAATAGATCCCCAATCTATATGTCTTTCTTACCTTAAGGATTGGGATTCGGACGAGTGGAAATGGCAAAATATCCAAACTCTTTTCGCTGAAGAAGATGTAGCTCTCATTGGACAAATTAAACCAGCAAGAGGAACAAAGGATGGTGGTTTCTCGTGGATTCATAACAATGACGGTGCCTATACTGTTAAATACGGGTATTGGATTTGGTCCCACAAGATCAATCCAGAGAGCATTACCCAACAACACGATGCAGCTCCATCCCTAAACCCCATCTACCAAGCCGTCTGGAAGACAAACACATCCCCCAGGATCCAAGGTTTCATGTGGAGAGCTCTTGCAAACTGCCTGGCAGTAGCACACAACATGAGTAAAAAACGGCTCACTAAATGCAAGCAATGCCCTCGCTGCGGAGCAGAGGATGAAGATGTCAACCATGTTCTCTTCACATGTCCATACGCGAGACTGGTTTGGGCACTATCCCCTCTCGCTTTTCTCTTCTATCCGACACCATCATCCTCAGTGTACACGAATATGGCGAATCTACTACTTCATGTGAATGAGATGAAGGATGACGAGATCAGCATGAGATTATTTTACGGCCCTGGTTCCTATGGAGAATTTGGAAGGCAAGAAATGACTTTTGCCTCAAGGGGAAACAGGCCCGGGCGGATCAAACTGCAGAAACAGCTATACAAGACGCTATGGAGTGGCAGGAGAATTAGGAGACAGTCACCACGACTGCACCAACTAGCCAAGGTCCGCCGTCCATATGGAGACCACCGTCACATGGTACATTCAAATGCAATGTTGATGCATCATGGAAGAAGGGAAGCTCAACTTGTAGTGTGGCTTGGATCCTAAGAGACGATGCTAGAAATGGGAGATGGTATGGAGCTAAAACATACTCCTCCCTCATCTCAAGTTTAGAAGCGGAGGCAGCAGCCCTTACATGGGCCATGGCTGTAGTAGACAATCTTGGTTTTGAGGAAGTGGTTTTTGAGAGTGACTCCCGATCCCTTATACAGGCTATAGCACACCCTGCGTCTTGGCCCCGCTTGCAGTGTTACATTGATGATATCACAGGTGGTAGAAGATTTTTGAAGGCAACCTTCACCACATGTCGCAGAGAAGCAAACGGGATCGCAGATTGTATAGCCAAGAGCTCACTCTCTAAACCTTTATACTCGGCTATTCTAGATTGTAGTATCCCAGCTTGGCTAAGTCCAATGCTTGAAAAAGAGAAACCATGTGTAACTCTCTAGTATTTTCAAAAAAATGAGTAAGTTTGAGTAAAAAAAAATAAAAAAAATTGTTACCAGTCATGGGTCATATTTATATTTCTTTGCAATTTTTTTTTTTTTGGATAGACCCTATCGGCTTCCGGTTAGCCCCGGTAGAAACGCACCAAGGTGCTATAAAGTGGACTCATCCTAAGAACTACCACACCGCCTATTCCGAGTTTGGAGTGCCTTCCGACTAATGTCAGGGGGTAATCAGGCCGCCTGCATTTCTAATTACCAGGAAAAACCAATTGGGCCTGGGCTCAACTGACAGACTTCCCACACAAATGTGATTTTGTTTCCAGGGAGGATCGAACCCGGATTTGGGAGTTTCACCCTTCACCAAGGCTTCCCCATTCGTTTATTTATATAACTGCCATCATCTCATTTATTGGAATTCCATTTTTTTTAATCTATCTATATTAATGAAAGCAGCTATTTGGGGCCTATCAAGGCACTCACTTCAGCTTTTCATAAAGCTTTCTCGCCATGCCCCGTGACACTTTTTTTTCTCTTCTGTTTACAAATTCCCTCTGCCGTCTCATAAGCCCAATTAGAGCCCACGTATCTTTTTTTATTTCATCTTCTGTTTACAAATTCATAAGCCCAATTACCAATTAAATATCCTCGTCTCCTCTTTGTCTACGCTAAAAAACACGAATCGATTCCGCATCTCATCTTCTTCGTCGGTTCGTTACAGAACACTGATTGATTGTTCTTCATCTTCCTTTTGGTTACTCTTCAGCAATGCCCACTCAATTAATGGGTGCCTCGCTTCCACCTCGCTCCCTTACAGCTTATAAATACTGCAAGCCTTCGATCCACCTTTCATCCAGCTCACAAAACCTCCGACTTAGAATTGATTCTCTATGAATCGACCCCATTTCGATCCCGATCTTTGCACCGCCGCAGCAGCTATTGTTGCAAACCCCATCTTCAAGGGTACCGACGATGATGCCACCTCCGCCGGAGATCAGTTTCTTCTCTTCGCCGGTGGAGATGATCTCCGTTTCAGACCTATACGGCCGCGACTCAGATCCGGCTGAGGGAGTTCGTCCTTCCATGCTTGGTTCATCTCATTCTCAATTTGTAGGGTTTCTCTCATTGACGGTTTGAGATTTTATACGTTTCTCCTAGAGTTGTGCTTCATGTATTTGTTTGATTGTCTCGCAGACATTTGTCGATCTGTACTAAGTTCCTGCTTCTTCTGCTACAACTCCAGCTTTCTAAAATGAACTTGCAACAACCAATTTTTTTTTTTTTTTTTTAAATAAATTAATCATTCTAGCGAAGGTCTTTAAATAAATTAAATAAATAATAAATCAATAACAAATAAATCATAATCAAAGCAAATAATAATTAAACAAGTCTAGCAAAATAATGCAAAACAATAAAACAGTAAACATCCTATCATCCCCCTCTTCAGCCTTGATTCCGCGATCACACAAATCTTTTACCTGCAACACATTGGAATGGAGTTGCGTAAGTATTTAATAAATACTTAGTGAGGCAATCACTCTGCCTACGAGCCATTTACGCAATTTACTAGATATTTAATAATATTTATAAACTCCAATAATTATTAAATACCATTTTCCAATTATTAAATAATTTTTAATAATTAAAACTCAATTTCTCAATTATTAAATAATTCTCATAATTAAATAATAATTTTCCATATTTTAAAATAATTAAAATAAATTAAACCAATTAATTAAATAAATATTATTTAATTAATTAAATCCGAATTAATCTATTTAATTCCATTAAACCAATTAAATTCAATTAAACCAATATAACCAATTAAATTCAATTAAACCAATATAACCAATTAAATTCAATTGAACCAAGATAAACCAGAATCAAATCAATTAAATTCAATTAAACCAGATTTAACCACACAAACACACAATTCACCACATAAACAACCAAAATATCATGAAATAACAATTAAACAAAAAACTCATCAAGAACAACCATAAACCAAATCTAATCTAGCAAATCGCGGACCCACAGTCATGCACTCACCTTGACAATGGATTGAAACTGAAGGAAAGACAATGAACAGTGCGAAATCCCGACGATGAACAGTACCGCCGATGAACATACCCGATGAACAGTACCCGATGAACAGTAACCCGATGAACAGTACGATGAACAGTACGACGATGAACAGTAAAATCGAAAATCTCTCCAAAAACTCCACTTTTCTCCTCTACAGCCTCTGAACTCGAAAATTCCCAAAGAGAAGACGGCTGCACTCTTTAAACTTGATTTTAGGGCTTTCTCCACTAAACCGGCCCAAACCAAATCACTTAAATTGAACCGACAAAATTCCCAATTTTTGGTTTATGGATGTTACAACTCTCCCCCACTAAACTGGATTCGACCTCGAATCCCAACAAAAAACGTCACAAAGACCACAAACCCGACCTCGCAAGGCCACAACACAGGAGATCCTCACCTGATCCCCGAGACTCTCATCTAATCTTATGTCATAAGCCGTCTCTAGACATCTTTACTCTTAACTCATCACCTCAAACCACTTGTACTGGGGCCACTACACCCAGACAAGTCTGCACCTACCCAAACTGGGGCCACTACACCCAGGGGCTTGCCAACCGCTGCTTATACTGGGGCCACTACACCCAAATAAGTCAGCCACGACTTATACTGAGGCCACTACACTCAGATGAGTCTGCCAGAGAACAGTCTCCAAAACCGTAATGAGTTATTCAGGATCGCAATCCTTAGAGTAAAAATTCCAAGACATCTATAACAATAAATTAGAACTGTCTCACGACCAACTGGTCAAACACTTGTAACATCCGAAACCACTTAAACAACACAAGGCAAAATGAGGAAAAACTGCATCTCATAAATCTCAAAAATGTATATCGTTACAACCAAAACGAAAATACAATAACACCAAAGCCAAAACAACAACTGAGGCTACAAAGATGAAATAAGCTCACTCCTCGACCTGCTTGTCGAACCACTTCCTGAACTTCAACTTCATCTTTGCCTCTGGCTCCCAAGTCTCCTCTGTAGAACCACTGCAATCCCACAAAATCCTCAGTAAGGGAATCCTCTTGTTCCTCAGAACCTTTTCCCTCCTCTCTAAAATCCTCACAGGCACTGCCGGCACTGTCAAATCTGGCTGAAGATCCTCTGGAATCCTAGCCACTAACTCCTCTGTAGGGTGAAGACACTTCCTCAGCATCGACACATGAAAAACCTTGTGAAAGGCTCTCATAATCTCAGGCAACTCCAGCCTGTAAGCCAATGGCCCAACTCGTTCCACTACTGGAAACGGCCCCATAAAACGCGGACTCAGCTTGTTCTCTGCTATGGATCTGTTAGGACCCCTCAACATAGCCATCTTGAGATAAACTCTATCTCCAACCTGAAACTCAAGCTCTCGTCTGCGTCTATCTGCATAACTCTTCTGCCTATCCTGAGCCTCCTTCATGTTCAGCCTCACAACACGGACCTTCTCTGTCGTCTCCTGAACATAAGTAGCTCCATACATGCTGCGCTCCCCCACTTGGGTCCAGCATAGGGGTGTCCTACATGGCCTCCCATACAAAGCCTCAAATGGAGCCATGCCAATACTCGCCTGAAAGCTGTTGTTGTATGCAAACTCAACTAAGCTCAGGTGATCTGCCCAATGGCCACCCCAATCCAACACACACATCCTCAGCAAATCCTCCAAAGTCTGAATAGTCCTCTCTGACTGACCATCTGTCTGCGGATGATAAGCTGTACTCAGATGCACCTTAGTGCCCATCTCTGCCTGAAAACGCCTCCAAAACTCTGAAGTGAATCTGGGATCACGGTCTGACACAATACTAGCTGGCACTCCATGCAGCCTCACAATCTCTCGCACAAACTTCCTAGCCAAGACAGCAGCTCCATCTGTCTTCTTGATGGCCAAGAAATGTGCGGACTTAGTCAACCGATCCACAATCACCCAATAGCATCAAAAGTCCTCGAAATAGGTAGTCCAACCACGAAATCCATCGTAATCCTGTCCCACTTCCACTCTGGAATGGGTAAACTCTGCAAAAGACCACCCGGAACCTGATGCTCTGCCTTCACCAAGGCACAAGTGTTGCACTTCGCAACCCAGTCTGCTACATCCCTCTTCATCCCGACCCAATGATAGTACCTCTTGAGGTCATGGTACATCTTGGTCGCCCTGGATGAATGGAAAACTTGCTCGCATGAGCCTCTCCCAAAATCTGATGTCTCAACTCCACATCCTTAGGCACACAAACTCGCCCGCGGAATCATACCTCCGTCTACTCAACGCGTCCGCCACTAGGTTAGCCTTGCCCGGATGGTAGTTAATGCTCACCTGATAGTCCGCCAAGAACTCAACCCAGCGCGTCTGTCTCGCGTTCATCATCGGCTGAGTGAAGATATGCTGCAAACTCTTGTGATCCGTGAAGACCTGTACTGTCTCACCTAGCAAGTAAGACCTCCAAATCTTCAACGCGAAGATCACTGCTCCCAACTCTAAGTCATGTGTAGGACGGTTACGCTCACTGCCCTGCCACTGTCTCGAAGCATATGCTATCACTCTGCCCTCCTGCATCAGCACACAACCAAGACCAATGCCTGAAGCATCTGTATACACCATGTAAGGCTTCCCTGGCTCGGGTAACGCCAACACTGGTGTAGTAGTCAACATCTCCTTGAGCTGACTAAAGCTCTCCTCACACTCAGCTGACCAAACAAACGGGACATCCTTCCCGGTCAACTTCGTCATCGGCTGCGCCATGGTAGCAAACCCCTTGACGAACCTCCTGTAGTATCCTGCCAAACCCAGAAAACTCCTGATCTCGGTGGCACTACTAGGTCTAGGCCAATCTCTGATAGCCTCAATCTTAGCCGGATCCACAGAAACTCCCTCTGCAGAAACAATGTGGCCAAGAAATCCCATCTCTCGCTGCCAGAAACTGCACTTGCTCAACTTAGCAAAAAGCTTCTGCTCCCGAAGCTTCTCCAGAACCAACCTCAAGTGAGTCGCATGCTCCTCCTGACTCCTCGAGTATACCAGAATATCATCAATGAAAATGATGACGAACACGTCCAAATACTCCCTGAACACGTCGTTCATCAATCTCATGAAGGCTGCCGGCGCGTTAGTCAAACCGAAAGGCATAACCACGAACTCAAAATGCCCATAACGCGTCCTGAAAGCAGTCTTCCTGACATCTGCCTCATCTATCGGGATCTGATGATACCCCGATGCCAAGTCAATCTTGGAGAACCAAGTAGCACCCCTCAACTGATCCAACAACTCATCAATCCTCGGGAGTGGGTACCTGTTCTTCACAGTGACTCGGTTAAGACCTCTGTAATCGATACAAAGTCTGAAACTCCATCCTTCTTCTTCACAAACAACACCGGTGCTCCCCATGGTGAAACACTCGGTCGAATGAACCCCTTAGACAAAAGGTCCTCTATCTGCTTCTTCAGCTCTGCCAACTCAGCTGGCGCCATCCTGTAAGGCGTCTTCGATATCGGTGCTGTCCCCGGCTCTAACTCAATCGTGAAAGGATCAGACCGAGATGGTGGTAATCCCTTCAGTGACTGAAAGACATCCTCAAAATCCTGGACAACCTCAATATCTCCCATAACAACTCCAGCTCCTGACTCAGACATAGAAATCGTCGCCAGATACGCCTCACAGCCCCGCTCTAACAACTGCTCGGCCTGAATAGCAGATATCACAATACTCCCGGAAGTCGGTCTCACTCCCTGATAAACCAACCTCCCTGCATCTCGCTCGAAGACCACTCTACCTCTGTAGCAATCCAGATGAACTCTGTAGTGTGACAACCAGTCCATCCCGAGAATAACGTCATACAGCTCCACCGGACTGATGACTAAGTCTGCTGGCATTGACTGCCCCGCAATCTCGATCTCGACTCCTCTAGCACGGCCCAAAGTAGACAAGAATCCACCTCCCGCCACCTTGACCATGCCCGCGCTCTCGCCCGCGCTACTCCGGATGCCACTCTTCTCGGCACGCTCCGGTGTAATGAAGCAATTCGATGCTCCAGAGTCGAATAAAACGTGGGACTCAAAACCGCCCACTAACAAGGTCATTACGAAACACATGCGTTGAGAACCTCAACAATTTATCACAGACAAAAAGAACAACTACAACCACAACCAAATGCGCGTCACCACTCAGATAGTGGACTGCCAACTCAACCTGGTACTAAACCAGAATCTGATAGACTGGAAATTCCGCTCCAATCTCTGACGCCACATCTGCCGCCTCTGGCTAACTCCGCCCTCAAAGTACGGCGTACCAATCCTCTGCATGTGCCCCACATATCCAAGTAGGACGGCACCATCAAACCCACAGCCTGCGGCTGAACAAACCCGCAGCCCTCTGCTGCACCTCTGCCACTGGAGGTACTCCCGGAGCCCCTTGTGGAACCACTGGCGGAAAACGAGCCAATAACTGCGTCAGCAAACCCACCACTAAGTCATCAAGACCCTGAGCCGGAGCACCACCCCAACCCGGAGCAGCCCCGCTCCCAAACCAACACTCGCATCCACACTGGCCTCACTCGCCACGGATACCGACTGGGTCACCGACGCAGTCGCCACACTCGGCACCACACTCTCTCCCGAATCCGCCGAAGTCCACAACTCGGCCCCGGCCTCTAGCTCTGCCACCACGGCCTCGAGCACCGCGCCCTCTCGCGCCACAACCTCTAGCTACTCCGTCCATCTCACTCATGGAACCGAAAGAGCACACTAGAACACAACCAAAACTCAAAACAAACATAAACTCACCGCGGAATCTCTTGTAGCTGAAGGGGATGATACTAAAGCCTAGCAATTCTAACAGTCCTAAAACCGTCTAGGCTCTGATACCAAAATGAAACAACCAACATTTTTTTTTTTTTAAATAAATTAATAACAGTTCTAGCGAAGGTCTTTAAATAAATTAAATAAATAAAATATCAATAACAAATAAATCAGCTCAGCGGAAGCAAATAATAATTAAACAAGTCTAGCAAAAAATGCAAAACAATAAAACAGTAAACATCCTATCATCCCCCTCTTCAGCCTTGATTCCGCGATCACACAAATCTTTTACCTGCAACACATTGGAATGGAGTTGCGTAAGTATTTAATAAATACTTAGTGAGGCAATCACTCTGCCTACGAGCCATTTACGCAATTTACTAGATATTTAATAATATTTATAAACTCCAATAATTATTAAATACCATTTTCCAATTATTAAATAATTTTTAATAATTAAAACTCAATTTCTCAATTATTAAATAATTCTCATAATTAAATAATAATTTTCCATATTTTAAAATAATTAAAATAATTATTTTAAACCAATTAATTAAATAAATATTATTTAATTAATTAAATCCGAATTAAATCTATTTAATTCATTAAACCAATTAAATTCAATTAAACCAATATAACCAATTAAATTCAATTAAACCAATATAACCAATTAAATTCAATTGAACCAAGATAAACCAGAATCAAATCAATTAAATTCAATTAAACCAGATTAACCACACAAACACACAATTCACACATAAACAACCAAAATATCATGAAATAACAATTAAACAAAAAACTCATCAAGAACAACCACAAACCAAATCTAATCTAGCAAATCACGGACCCACAGTCATGCACTCACCTTGACAATGATTGAAACTGAAGGAAAACAATGAACAGTGCGAAATCGACGATGAACAGTACCCGATGAACATACCGATGAACAGTACCCGATGAACAGTAACCCGATGAACAGTAACGATGAACAGTAACGATGAACAGTACGATGAACAGTCGATGAACAGTAAAATTCGAAAATCTCTCCAAAAACTCCACTTTTCTCCTCTACACTCGAAAATTCTCCAAAGAGAAGACGGCTGCACTCTTTAAACTTGATTTTAGGGCTTTCTCCACTAAACCGACCCAAACCAATTCACTTAAATTGAACCGACAAAATTCCCAATTTTTGGTTTATGGATGTTACAGAACTCATCGACCTAATCATGAAAGACATGGTAATTATTCTTCTTCCTCTTTCAAGGATTTGATGCAAAGAAAATGGTTTAGCTAATGACAATATACTTGAGTTTCGTTCATTTCTTAGAAAATGGTTTAGTTCTACGCTATACATACTTTCATCATCGCAAAAAAAAAAAAAAAAAAAAAAAAAAAAAAAACATGTATTATAGATAAAGAGAATAGATTTGTTTGGTCATTGGTCATTTTGTCCGATAAGGCTCAGGTTATAATTGATAATGTATTCATTCAGCAATTCTTTTTGTTTTGGTTTAAGTAGTTATCCTTCGAGTTAGTTAGATAACATGTTGCCTTACGATCTCAGATCAAACGGCTTCTCTAAAATATGATGTTACTAATTTTGGCTTGCATAAGTTAATATCTCTCTTGGATTCATGTAACCAACTCCTTATACCCTTCATTCACTCTAACACTTTGCTTGAAGTTTTGTTATTCTTTGAAGTTTGAACAAAGCATATTTTAATATACCTTTCCAAGATCTCTGCTGTGCATTTGTTGTAGGTATACCATTTATGTTTATGACTACTTTGCCTAGGGAAAAGTATATGTCATGTCAAAAACGCTAGACAGACCCGTTCATGTAGCTCGACAATGAAGAGCTAGCGTTGAGAGGCGATTCAATCGGATCCAAGAATAGCGAAGCTCAAGGTTTCTGACTTGATATGGGTAAGTGAACGTCTCTCTTTGGTAGAAAAAGGGTCTATTAGCAGTACCAAATTCTGAGGCTTTCACTGATTGTTCACCAACAATGGAAGGTTAATAGTAAATCTATGTGTCCACAATAGATAATGGAGAGGGAAATTGAATGTGTTTCAAGAGAATTGAGTTCAACATATATAATCCACATATTCAGTAAATTGATCTCCTATCATGTTATCCTACATGTATCGTTGTAATCCTACATGTATTGAGCTGACTCAGTGTGATTAACTGTTCTCCTTCTTTGTGTTTAGGTAACGGAAACAAAAAAAGAGAGAAGACATTGACATTAACTTTAGGAAGATTTTTTGGATGATGTCAAATCACAAACTTAGTGCGAAGCAATCACAAAAGCTGTTAAAATAAAGTGTGATGAGGAGTGAACTGTAAGAGAAAACTGTAAGAACTGTTCAGAGCTACAAGATTTGAAGAAACAACAACGACAAAAGGTACCCAAAGATCATCTGGAAACGCACACAAGCTTAAAAATATTTGCATCTATTTATGTTTAGACTGGTCCTTCATTTTTTACTATTTTTCCCCGTATTGCAGAACAACTATTTCCTCAAGTATAGAGATTATTCAAGGGCAGCAAGTGAAATGGCTTTGAAGAAAGACAGAGCATCCCTGCAAATCCTTTGTTCTGACCAGGTATGTAAGCAAAAGCCAAATTTTCTACAATGGTTTTAATCCCTATACTGTATGTCGGTTTGGCACTCATTAATCATATGCTAAAGATCTTTACTTTCAAATCACACAAGGGATTTTAACTTTCTTTTTCAATTGTTTTGCAGAGAGCATAAGAAGAATACAAAGTGAGGATCAATTCTTTGGTGGCTAAAGCTTAGAAGAAACCTGAAGAAGGTTGGGTGATGGACAATGACCTGGAAACAACACTCTTGATCATCACGTGATGATTCAGGTCACATACAAAACCTCAAAACCCCTAATATACCATCAAAGATCACACCTTTTGGATCTAAAAAACTACTTTGTAATTCAATGCTTTTATCAGGAGGTGTATTTAGGAAAAGAATGAGCTCTCGACATTGACGGTGACGAGACAGTAGCGAACTGCCACAGTTATGCACCCCACAAGAAAGCTCGAGCCATGAAGCAATGGTAAGCAAACAAACAAGTAAGTCCATCAGAAGAAGTAACTGTTTCTAATAAAAACACAATGGTTTGTTGGACTGTGCCAGGTTCGAGAATCTGCAGTGTTTAGACATGCTCCATTTATGCTGAATTTGGATTGTGATGCATTAGAGAATCAATGTGCTTTCTGGTGGATCCATCCACAGCTTGGGAAAAAGCTTTGTTATGTTCAATTTCCTCAGAATTTCGGTGGAATTGATCAATACGCCAACGGAAACAACATCTTCCTCAATGTAAGTCATCACCATTTTCAGGAAAAAAAACACCCAAAATCAAATTTGAAAGTTCAAAACCGTTTAAATCTTTACTGTTTGTCATCTTGCAGATATATATATATATATATACAACGAACCTCATTAGAGACTTATCAGAGAAACGCAAGAAGATGACGTGCGATTGCTGGCTGTTGTCGCTTTCCTGCTGCTGTGACAAATCTTTTAGGATAAATTTAAGTGATTAGACCACTAAACGTGTTGCATAATCCCTTAAGGCCGCCTATTGACTTTTTGAAGTGCCAAGGGATAACTTTATATATGTAGCCAACAATATTTTATATATGGATTACTTTTTAACTATAAAGTTCACTCTTTAATTAAAGGATCAAATTATTATTTATCAAATTACTAATTCAAGTATACGACTCCATATAAAAGTTTGTTGATGAGTTGGAAACTGGTCACTTATTGAACCAACAACCAAATTTTAGAGAAATAATCATCAAAAAGTTTAGAGAAATAAGCATGTCATCTCTAGAGTTTGGGTGTCTTAGTAGAAAAGTAGGAAAATAATAAAATGTTTTCCTTTTTAACTCTCATACTCTGTTTTTTTTTTAACTAGATTTTTTAATTTCTAAAATCACATAAAATGTATTATAAGTTGAACATTGTATTTAGAATATCAAATTCAAATTCACATATCTATAAAAAAAAATAGTATTACTATTAACATATACATATAACAACTACCTGCGCGTAGCGCGGGATAACATCTAGTTCATCTTATTCATAGTATTCCTAAAATTCAATTCCAGTTAGACCCAATCCAATTAGATATAAAGAATTCAATTTGTTAGAAAAAAAAAAAGAGTAAAACAACTTACATACTATGTCATACTCATATGTGCCATTCTAATCCACATGGATTCACATTTAGCCTTTACATAGAGTCAGAAAGAACCTAGGAAATAAAAAAATAAAAAAATAGACTTTCTTTTATTCTGAAAAGAACAGAAAAAAACTTAAATATGTGCTATTATGTCATGGTGATAAAACAAAATTAAAAAAAAAAAGTTTTTTCTTAGAGAGAATTATGAGTGGCATTCGTGTGATTTATAGAGAAATCAAATGGTAATTCCGACATTGATGAACAACAAAAAGGCTCCTCTTCAATGATACTTAGCATGTGATGGACTGCTCCTGCAATGTCATCTACTGAACTTAGCTGGCAACTCTCTTCCACCTTTTAAATTCCAACAACAATATAATGTAAATTCACAAATATAACCCTATAAATAACATTGTACGTATATGAATTTGAAAGAAAAATAAAAGAAAATATATTGTTATGATTCGCGTTGCAATAATGGAACCTCTTTTTAAGAGACTGGTGAAAAATGAAAAAAAAAAGTGCCTCTGCCAAGTGTGGTAATAAATGTTAGACCAAATCTAGTTAAAGAGTTCATAGACATTCCTCTTCTATGCCCTGTCCCTTGGACCGTACACAATCTTCGGTCTACCTCTAATTTCGTAACAAATGCTCTCAAAATAACCCATCAAATACTATTCTAGCAAATCCGGTTTAGCTTCCGGTTTATATCATATGATAAAAGTTTAACCCGGTTTAGATGATAGGGTTCATTAGTAATTACCTTAGTGCTGATGGAGTAAATAGCAAAAGTTTCCATTGTTGTGACACTAAGGTGAAGAACGGAGAGGGAAAGTGATTGTAGAGTGGCCACCAGCTTTGAAAGTTGCGGTGGTCCGGTGGTGGCCACAGTCGTCCATCGGAAACCTCTTCTTCTCGACAAGATTCTGATGTTAGCATGAGTTTCGATTAGGGTCACTTCGATATCTTCCATAACAGTTTTCACCGAGCTTGTTGAGGCATTCCTATTCTCTTGGCTCGGATCGTAGGAGTGAAGAAAGAACTGCGATAACGATGGAGAAGATGGTTGATGAGGATTGTCGGGTTCACCGTTAGAGTCTTGACTTGTTGAAGAAGCAACCGTTTGGTTTTGTTTAGATTTTTTAAGCTTTTGAGCTTCAAGAGATAGTAATTGATGTTCGAGTTCTTTGATGAAATCTATGGCTCCACCAACTATTGAAGCTTGATCACCCTTTCATGAAAAAATAATGAACAAATAAAAATTTATAGTAACTCCAAAATGAAAGTTTAAACATTTTTAATGAATTGGCCATAAAAACTGAAATCCAAAATAAAAACTTTACACCTTTTCAAAGATTTTTTTTCATACAAGATTTAAACTGATCAAATCGAAATCTTGAACTTTCTAGAAAGGTTTTTTTTTCATAAAAAACCGAACCCCAAATTGGCCATAAAAAATTGAAACCCAAATATTAAAATTTAGGATATAAAAATTTCCATAAAATTGAAACCCCATTATAAGAATTATTCATAGTAATAGAACCTTTTGGGCAAAAGGCTGAGGCATGAGAGATCTTAAGACAGAGAGATGTTGATTCATTTGTCTTCTCCGATTTCTTTCGACGGCGATGTGAGTCATTCGTTGATTCTCAGCTTCTTCTTCGTTTTTGCAAACCCTAGGCTTCCTTCTCCTCCGCTTCTTCCCTCGATTAGCTTGCGCCGATGGTCGCGGTGGTGCTGGTTCTTGGTGGGATATCGCTGGAGTTGTGTTCTTCGAGATGATGGCGTCATTTTCCGGCGATGCTTCAAGATCGACGAGCGACTTGAAAGGAGTTGGTGAAAGAGTCTCGGAGAGCAAAAAGTTTAAGAGACCGTTTGATGATAAAGCTTCTAGTGTCATTGCTCTCAACGACGTGATTCCTTATTGAATTACTAAGTATCATTGATTTATATAGCAACATTCCAAATCTTCAATTCATTTTTTTGTTAAAAAAATAAGATATAGAGAGTTAGGACAAATAATTGTGGGCGAAAACGACATTTTCAGAAAAATAGATGGAAATGATTATAAAAAAATGACAAATGTTGAAGCTCTGAGTTTTCTGAGTGTGTACATGTGAGACATTATTTTATTTTGTTTATGATTTTGATCGGTACTATCATGGAAGTGTAATTCTGATTTCTGAATAAAACTTAACTATGAAATCTGCTAAATGACAAAAAAACATTTGTTTTATCATCAAATTTTGTAAAAGATTGATTAAACATAAATTGTGATTCGAGGTTTTGTTTGTAGTTGATAAAAAAACATGCATAGACACATATTTGGACGTTTCCACATAATATCAGTTCATACTCTTGGGCTCTTGGCTAGTTTAAATTATATATATATATAAACAACTAAACAAGAATCGGAAGAAATATCCATCATATGTTTCTCAGTATAAGGAAAATAACTTACTTTGAGAGTTTTTTTTTTTTTTTTTTTTTTTTTATAAAGTATTTTGAGAGACGTATACCCAATACCCATCGTATAATTCAAACACTCATTTTTAATAAGATATACTAGATGTAAGTTTGATATGACTAATGACTGTAGTAATAAAATCAACACAAGCTATGTAATCATCTTCCAAAATCGAAATTTTATAATTTTATGTGTATGTGTTACGTGTGTATATAATTATATATATATATATATATTTTGTATACATGATGAAAGGATTAGAAGAAGAAGAGAAATGGAGTGGTGGTGGCACGTGAGATGGGTCAGAGAGTCTAAGGTCTTGTTCTTTTCTTGCAACTGTGGACCATCCCTTCTTTTTCACTTCATTACCCTCTTTTACTACCCTAAAAGCTTCTGCACTTTTTACAATTTTAAATTTTCAACCCTCCCCAAAAATACTATCATATACGTACATGGTTCTAGTTTGTTGAGATTCTTGAGAAACTCAACTTTCTATTTACAAATGCTAACGCAATTGTTTGCATAACTGAGTTTTATTTTTGCGTTTGCTTTCAAATTATGTGGTATATTTAGATGAAGATGTAAATAAAATTAATTAGTTCATGCATGGTGTTTAGGGTTCGTGTCTTCACTATTTCAGTTATAATATTATTGACCATTGTAAACGCTTCAAGTGAAAAGAAAATTTATTTTTTATACATCAACAATTATACCAAGATCGTAGAGTATAGACGCATAATAGTTTTTTTTATTTAAACAACAACACTTGCACTGAGTGCTCAAGATCTTCGTACTAATATGTATTATGTAAATTATGTTTTACTAGTTTAGGTTCTTAAACTGTTATAAAGACTAGAGGCTTTTGAACAAAAGAAAAAAACAAGAGAAAAAACAGCAACACTTTATTAGAAGTATATGAATATTAGATTTTTGATGGTTTTCTTTCATAGAAGTTTTTTGTACTTTCTTAGAAATTAAAAGAAGATGTTCTTAAATATTTTAGGAAATGTTCTTAATTTTTTGTTAACCACGACAGGGCCTATTTTTTTCTTTCATATTTCCAAAATTAAGGTTTTTGGTGGTAATGTTTAAGATGTGGAAAGTTAGAAAAAAAAATGTTTGAGATGTGGTATTTTTGCGAGAATTACCTTAACTTTTGACTCTTTTTAGTTCATATTTACAAGAAAATGTTTAATAAAACATTGTAATATTTTTAATATGATCAATGCAAATGCAAAGAAGCACATATGTGGTATTATTATATTCAACAAAGACAATCCCAATGATCTAAAGAGAGACTAAATTCCAAGTATTCGGTTCGAGAAGAATACAGATGGGACCAAACCGGTTTGGTATTTGGCATGAGTGGATCGTGGGGACCGATCAATAGCATACAACATATAGAGACAAATGAGTGCTGGAAGAAAGCAAAATCTCACACTCAAAATCCTCTTGCAATTTATAATTTTCTTAGATTGCATCTTGACTAAATCTATTTTGTGGGCTAGAAAATAACATATCCACAAGATTTTATTTCTTTGTAATGTGTAAAAATATTGGGAAAAGTGAGTAATTATTATTGCAATTGTATGCTTATAATTAAAAAGGACTGTCCTTATTACAACAGTCAGATTTGTTTGCACATTAGAAGGACCAGAAGATAGCTATGAGGTAAAAAACACAACCCGTGATTTATTTTTTATTTTTATTTTTTTTTCCTGGTTGAAGTAATTGTCAGATTTCTCAAAAAACAAAAACGTTAACTTTCACGAATTAGACAGCTCCGACTACAAATCTATCAAACATTTTTGGTAACAGAAACAAACCCACTACGTAAAGTAAACCACAAAACCAAATTAACAAAAGAAATAAAGTAATCATTAGACAACAACACACTTAATGTAAAGTTAACTTTCACGAATTTGACAATAGCAAACGAAAAACCAACAAAAGTTGTTTTAGGCCCAAAACATTCAATTTTGTTTTGAGAAAATCTATAGCATGGAAATGTTTTTAATTCCTTTGATATCATTACTAGTTTGATTTATAATTTAAATATTTGGGTTTGGGTTTAGATTTTAAGGTTTAGGGCTTAGTATTTAGGATTTAGTTTTGAAAGTTTGGGGTTAGTTTTGATAGTTTAAAGTTACTTTTATGAATTAAAAATGATGTAGATAGAAAAAAAAAACTAGTGAAGATATAAGAGAAACTAAATTACTTTTAGGGCTTAGTATTTAGGATTTAGTTTTGATAGTTTAAAGTTACTTTTATGGAAGAATTGCTTGTTTGTTTTCGTTTCGGTTCGGTTTGGGTTTAAAGTGTTTTTCAACATATCTTTGTTTATATATAGATAATAAGGTACATACTCTAGTTTTATGTGAGTTCTTTGGGGTAAATCGGGTCTTCTAAAGTTAATCTAAGTATCTAACCCTAATAACAATTTGTTAGTTAGTTAAGCCATAGATTAAGACTATAATCTCTTATTCTCTTAATAACTTTGACAAGCAACAATGACCATTTGCTTCCAAGTTCCAACGTCTCAATCTACTATCGAGAATTTTACATAAACGATTCCTCTGAATGTTTTCACACCAAGAAAACGTGTCTACCATAATCTGATTCGTTGCATCAACAAACACACACGTGTTCATGTCTGCAGAAAAAAATCTCTGAAAGCATCCATCTCTAAACATGCAACAGAGCTTTTGTACTTATGTATAATCTACAGAGAGACTAAACAGAAGTGTGTACCAATTTTCAAAGTCCGAGAAAAAAAAAAGAAAAACAAGAGCAGCAAAGAGGACGAAGAGCAGAAACTGTTGTTGTCAGATTTGTCCACGTCTAGATAGTAAACTCAGTCTTATCTTTAGTCCTCTCTGCCCAAAAAAAGTTCTTACTCTGTTTCTGTTAAAAACACAGTAAAAAGTTCTATAGAGAAGGTTCAAACTTCGAAAGGTTAGCTTTTTACTGTGTTCAGAGGCAGCACATGAGTAACATGGTCTCTTTTGGGACCAGTGGTTCCAAAACTGGAATCTTTGTTCATCATTTGATCAAAGTTACTTGAAAACTCTTTAGAAACACTCATATCAAAACTCAAATCAAAAGACTAAAACTGAACACCAAGAATATACACTTAAAATCTGAAAATTACTGGAGCAGAATCACACTCTGACCTGATTTATCCATATATACATAAAATGTAAGAATCATGTATAAACAAGAAAAAAACAAGAATCATGTATGGATCAAGAATTGATCTTTTAAGGATACATGCGTGCATTGCACTCAATCGCGGCTTTGATTCTGCCATGTGTCTTCCTTGCAGCCTGATAAGAAAACGTCATCCGTAAACCGGACAACACGGCACGTCTCGCCGACGAGGGAATCTTCATTCCTTTATCGTAACACGACAGTAGCAGCTTCGAAGCACAAACGAGCCTACCATCTTTGCATAGACTATGCACAACGGAAGTGTAAGTGTACTCATCTCTCTCCTCCATCGAATCAAACAGCCTCATCGCTCGGTCTACGTGACCAGCTTTACACAACCCATCGATCAAACAGTTACAAGTGACGATACTCGGCTGCATCCCCAACTTTCCTATACAATCCAAATGCTTCTCTGCTTCTCCCGTATGACCTATGCTCAACAAACCATTGACTATGATCGTGTGCGTGTAGTCATCAGTTTTCAACCCTTTAACCTCAATCTCTTCCAACAGAGCATCCACTTCATCCAAGTTCCCATCTTTGAAGTAAAGATTCAACAACGTGTTGTACGAGACTATGTCTCGGCTCCTTGTACCGGTTCTCACCAGCTCTCCCATACACTCGTACGCCTCCTCTGCTCTTCCGGTTTTGATCAACGCGCTAACCACCGCGCAATTCGCAAACCCGTCGAACGTGTAACCTTCCTCCTTCATTTTCAAGAACAGCCTTAGACCTTTCTCGACCTTCTTGGTCATCATATAAAGCTTAAGCATTGTCGTGTACGTCACGGCATTCGGAGTGTAACCAGACTTCTTGAGCTCTCTCAGCATCCGAGCCGCGGAGTTAACCTTTCTCGCTTTACAAAGACCGTTGATGAGAATGTTAAACGTCATGAGCTCCGGCTTAACACGACTCTTGAGATCGTTGAAGAGATCAATGGCTTCATCCGTACGGCCGCTTTTGCAGAGAGCATCAAGAAGAATGTTGTGCGTGTCAACACCTGGAGATAGCCCAGCGAGACGAACATCCTCGTTAAGGATCCGAAACGCCTCACAGTGGTTTCCGAGCTTGAAGTAGCAAGACATCAGAATATTGTAACTACACATATCTGGAGATAAACCTGATTGAGTCATTTCGTCGAACAGTTGGTGTGCACGATGCAGCATGAGCTGTTTCGCGGCTCCGGAGATGAGTGAATTGTACGTGGCGACGTCAGGTCTGATCCCGGCGTCTCTCATTCGCCGTGTTACGGCGTAAGCTTCGTCGATTCCGACGAAACGAGAGTACCCATTGATCAAGGTGTTGTAAGTGATGACATTTGGAAGAACGCCTAATTTGATTCCGTCTATGATCAATGTTTCGGCTTTCTCCAAGTTTCGGAATTTGCAGAGAGAGTTAACGCATATGTTCAATAGCTTCGTCGAGATTTCTGGGAATTTCATCAATCCGCGAACCATTTTCTCCGATGAGAAGCAGAGCTTGACGAAGAAGAAAACAAAACATATGACATTACTAAACGACATGGTTTTCATATGAAATTACAAAAACGACATCGTTTCTCTTCAGTAAGAGCGTGACGAAGAAGAAGGGAACATATGAAATTACTAAAACGACTATGTTGGTTTTTCTTAACCATCGACATTTAAACCGGTTCATTTTTGAACCATCATTTGAAAATCCTCTAAAATTTAAAATTTCCTACAATCCTACTACCTATAAAAATACAAAAACAGCAAAATTGAACTAATTTAATAATTAAAAAATACAATATTGTTTATAATTGTTTTTAATTTTCTGATTTTTCTGAATCCGGTACAAGGGATTGACCGGAGAGTTCACCAAACCGGCCTCCTCTGTTTCTCATAAGCTCACCAAAAGAGATACAACTCTCTGTTTGGATATTGTTACGTCTTCTAGTGACCTTAATCTTAACATGATCCGGTAATCTCAAAGTATACCGATCTTCTTCCTCCGGTTTATGCCTCACAATCGAATGACCCGTCGTCTTCGATCTCGAGAATTTGTCCGGTAAAGTCTCAACCTTTCTCTCGTTACTAATACTACTCTGTCTCGACAACAGAGCCTCGTTCGACGTCGTCGCTTGATCGCTGTTTCCGTCTCTGTTCTCGTGTATGACTTCGATGATGAGCTCTTTGATGTTCTCCGGCGCGTTTGGATCTAAATTCCGGCGACAAACCGGGCACGTTTTGTTGGATTCGAGCCAGCGATCGATGCATTCTTGATGGAAAACATGGTAGCAAGTCGTTAGGAGACGGAGGAGGATGTGTTCTTCTTCGAATTCGAGAAGACAGATGGCGCATTCGAGCCCGTGTTTGTCTTCTCGAAGGTCTTTGACGGAGGAGAAGGGGAACAGTGGGAAGGATTGGATGACGTGTGGCTCTAAACCGGGGTTAACCGGTGGTGGACCGGCGGATTCTTGTGATTGGTTTTGGTTCTCGGGCGATGCGTTGTTGTGGTAGTGGTGGTTCCAAGCTTGTGAGAGAGTGTGGAAGAAGCATTTGCAGAAGTAGAGAGCGAAGAAACCGATGAAGAAGACGACGATGAGGATCACTGTGAGGATTATGACGAGTGGTGGTTTGTTGTAATGATGCGGTGGCTGAGGTTGAAAAGTTGTGTTTGGTTGGATCGGTTTTGCAGTCGGCATTGGAGATTGTTTATCTCCGGCCGACGTGAGAGATTCAAAGGTTTGCGATTATATTTTGTTTTTGTTTTTTTTAAGTGTGTTGATTTTTTTTTGTCTACGGTAAGAACGTGACACTAGTGTGTGTTTAGGATTTGTTTACTTAATTTAGGATTGAGTTTTGTTAGTTATGTGTGTGATTAATTTAACTTGCATTGAACGAGTCTTTTGTTACATTGTTTTGATGAAAAGTAAGAATTAGCGTTGATTAAAGTTCAAGTTAGCTGTTTGTATTTATTTTGTAAAGCCTTTGAAAGATTAAAATTTTATTTGTACCCAGTTTATATCTTTTTTAAAACAAATTAATTTGTAATGGTTCAGTTTTAAAATTATATATCTCATGAATTTAAACTTTAGAGAATAGCTAGTTTTAAGAATTATGTATTATACTCCCTTTGTTTCATAATAAGTGTTATTTTAGAGATTTTTTATTTTATTTTTTTGGTCAACTTTTTAGAGATTTTTTGTTACAAAATAAGTGTCATTTTTTGTTTTAATGCATTTTTTCTTATTAATCTGTATCTGTTTTGACTCTAATAAAATAAGAAAAAACATTAAACACTATAGAATTTTAAGAATAAAATAAGAGTAATATTTTGAACATTAAACTCTTGAAAAGTGTCAAAGTGAAACTTAATATGAAATAGGGAATATGATAAATCCAGCTTAGTAATTTGAATTTTGAACACTCAAGCAAAATATGTAACATGAACATGAAACATTGTTTTAAAACACCAATTCCTGAAAGAGATTCTACCATGTTAGCTTTAGATGCAATTCTTAATAAAGAAACAATTGCAAGCTTGGTTGCAGTCGTCTCTCTAACCTCCTTGGTCTGAGCAACATGTGAGTGTTATCACAAGGCCAGGGTTCGAGAAGAGACGACTACACTTGATGTGGTGGTGGTGGTGGTGATGATGATGATGATAATGATGCACATTTGTCGTTTGCATTTGAGGTACTCTAAAGTACCCTTCTTTTTCTTAATCACCGCATGGCTTGTTCAGAAGCCACGTGCCAAACTTAATGAATCTTCCCATAACGAAACATTTACATTTTATCAGTCTACAATTCCACATCCATAATTAATACAAAAAATCGAATGTTTTTGCAGTAGGATCCACCGAATAAATATGAAAATGATTGGATATCATATGTATTCATCATTTGAATATTACACTAAGATAACTATTAACCAATATTTTTAAACTCGGACCGGACCGGTGGTCCGACCGGGTTCAACCACGAACCAGGAAAAAGAGCGGTTTGGGTTGCCATTGAAAACCGATGGTAATTGAACCAGGCAACAACCCAGATTTTCGACCGGCTGAAAACTGGAAACCGGATTAACCCGGGTTTGCAATTTTAATATTAATTTTTCTTTTGTTTTTGAATTAAAACTATGATGCCAAAACTGAAACCAAGGTGAATTTGATTACTCTTATCACTGAACCAGGTCGAACCGGGTTGATTCATGACCCAAAATTTTTACGGTTCGGTCATCGGTCCGGTTTTAAAAACATTGTTATTAACCTATGCTATCTTTTAAGACAACGTTAATAGTAAAAACGGGTTTTCGCGCCGCCTTTGTCTTCCAATTAATAAATTTCTGTTCTTTGTCAAATAGTAATTAGCTCTAAGTTTAATAATGTGCCATTTATTTATCTTTAATTATCAAAATACGCCTATTTGGCCAAGTTACCCTAAATCGAAATCGAAAATAGGAAAAACAGAAAAAGAGAGATTTTTTTTATCAAGGAAACGAAATAACAAACAGTAACAGAGAAACTGATTACTTCACTAAAAAGCAATGTAAAAAAAAAATTTAAAGAACCCCAATTTTAAGATCTCTCTCTATATTATCTAAAAAGCTAAAAAACCACTGCAAATGTAACCTTGTCAAAGGAAACAAAGATCAAATCCAGCCTAAACCAAACCAAAACCGAAACGCAGCCAAATTCTGTTCACTGACCATTTGGTGGCCAAAGATTCTGGTACATTTGCATCTGACGCAGAGCTTGTTGTTGTTGAGCCACAGAGCTTCCATAAATCCCATTATTATTGTTGTCACGCTGCATGGAAGGAGAACCACTCTCATTCTCATCTGATGACTCGCTTGATGGTCCCTGAGAGTTTGATCCAAAGTTCAACATATTAGCCGGTGCTGAAGCCGGTTCAGGATTCTGTCCCCTTGCATTGTTGCCACTACTCTGTTTCGCTTTCTTTGCTTCTGCCACAAAGCTTCCCACTATCACCTATACACACATGAGAGCCAAATTAGGAATCAAATGAACATAAAAACAAACTCAATACAAAAAAAGGTTTCATATTCTTGTACCTGGACTTGTGTTGCAGCTACTAAGGCACCAACTACACAGCCACCTAAAATCCTGCCATCGGATCCAGCCAAAGCCACACTCAAGCTACCACTTCTGTTGGTGGAACCATTCACCTCGTAATTCAAGAATGAGCCTGAGAGAGTAACGATCTCGAACCGTCCCTGCAAAAGAACACACATACAAGTCTCTCAATACCAAAGACTAAAGCTTGAACACTAAACACAGCCAAAGAAGAGCTTTTTTAAAACCTCATAAGTAACACTTCCACTAGGATTAGAAGCTTGACGAAGCGTCACAGTACTAACTGCACCACTTGCAGAGAGAATACAGATTGTTCTTGGCCCTTGATCCGAAAAAGCTATCACCTTTGATAAAATATCCTGATTTAACCAAAAAAAATAATAACAACAATCATTCATTGTTCCATCTAAATTCATTGAAAAAACAAGATCTTTACCACTTCCTCTCTATACTTTCTAATTTTACCAATCACATTTTGAGATTCCTAAAACAAACCAAGAACTTTTTTTACCTCTCCTATCTTCACTTCAATGACATGAGGTGTAAACCCTACTCCAGCTGTTCCTCCTAAAATCGATCAAACCCATCAAATCAATTGCATGTAATCACAAACCAATGTGGTAAAGATTCAATCTTTTTAGAGAGATGAGATCAAAGTTGTTGTTTTTTGTACCTAAAGCATCAAGCTGTTTCTTGCTAGAGCCAGGAGGTCTTCCTCTGTTACGTTTAGCAGGGGGATCAGCAGAGTTGGCGTTTCCACCTGCACCGCCACTATCACCGACTACGCCGTCACCACCGTATGAGTTAGAAGCAGGCGACGTCGGAGCTAAACCCAACGCAATGTTACCATCAGGAGCGTATTTCCTCGGCCTTCCTCTCTTCTTCTTCACTTGCGGCTGAAGATTCTGGTTCTGGTTCTGATCGATCCCAAATCGCATGGACTGAGAAGAAGGCGATCCGTCGCCCAACCCGAGCGATTCAAGCGTTTTCTGATCCATTTGCTGTTGCTGCTGCTGAAGCGTCTGAGGCGGTTGGGTTTGAGGAAGATGTGGCGCGAGAGTGCCGAAAGGTAGACGGTGCTGGATCGATTGAGATGTTGAGGTGGGACCCATGATTCCGGCGGCGTTAGGGTTACGGTAATGAGACATTAGCATTCCCGGTGGTGGTTGATGCTGTTGGTGCGGCGACGGTGGGATGTCTCTTGAATCCATTAGAGAGAGAGAAGATGGGAGAGAAGAATTCAATCTCAAAGATTGTTTCTTTTCGGCCTAATTTTCGTAGACGCAATTCTGTTTTGAGAATTCCGAGAAAATGGTGAAGCTTTAAGGTAAAGCGTGTGAGCTAACAACTCTCTCTCTCTTTCACACACACACACACACACACACAGAGTCCGAGAGAGAGAGAGACGAAGTTGTGGGGAATATGTAATTTAATAAAAATAAAATTTAAGGAAAATATAAAATCTTTTAGTTTACGGTTTTCAGGAGATTTTTATTTTGGTTTGTTTTGTTGATTTTAACTGAATTGATATATAAAAATATATAGGTAGTATAGACTGTATTCCACTGTTTTGATTGATACAAGAAAATATTTTAGAATCTTTTCCTTTCTTTTTATTATCATCTTAAGTATACCAAATAATATTTGGGGTCATCCATTTTTATCAGGAATTTATATCTACAAAAACAAAAATACCTTAATTTTTTATGATTTTTGATTATATCATAGTTTGTTTATATACACCCAAAATATAGCAAATAATATCTGCAGTCATCCATTTTTATTAGGAACACTACTACACTAGTAATATGCGGCTCATGCAAGCTACACCGCTAGAGCATATATTTATGTAACTTCTTATTTAAAAATTAAAGACTTGTGGTTGAAGAACGAACCATATAATGGGCCAAACTGGCCATGATGTTACTAGGATAAACTTTTAGATTCTTAGTTTTTCAGTTTAAGAACTTTTGGCCAACCCATATAATCATAATGGCCTTTTGTATAACCGGTAAAGAATGCATGAAGATTAAACAATCCCTGCATCCATGACAAGTCATTAGATGAGCATAGTAAAAAGTTCAAAATTCTGAAGAGAAAATATCAAGTTTTTTTCTCAACCAAAACGTCTAAATAAATTTGACTTGCAACTATTCAAATGCATCTTCCAGAAAATGAAAAAAACATCCTATATATAATTAGAGAGTTGCTCTCTCTTCTTCGAGTGTACACATCAGCAAAAAAAAAAATACAAATTAATTAAATCAAAATTAATGATTCAATTAATACATACACTTTCATAATATCATTGAATGATTTATTATTCAACCAAAAATGTATTAAAAAAATGATTAATAAAAATATAAAAGACAAAAATAAATAAAAATTGGTTGAACTTAATATTTAAAAGATTAAAAGTTAATTTTTAACCGTAGATGCAAGAGATTTATTTTTAAAAGAAAAAAATGTACTGAAAATTAAAATGTCTAAAATTCATAATAATATATATTATGTAAAAAGATAGTGTATGTAATAAAATTTCATGAAAATGTTTAACTGTTGAAAGCTAACAGTTAAATTTAAGTAATAAAAATAAGTTATATATAAAACTAAATTATTGATTTTGATGTTAAAAAAAACTAAAGTATTGACTATTTCTAACATTTAAAAAAAAACACTCAATTTTTTTGTTTGTATAAATATTTAATAAATAAACATTAATATCATATATATACAGAACAACACATAAAGGAAAAACATTAAAAGCATAGTTTGTAAAGTATATAAATAATGATGAACAACCAAAAATATACGTAAACAACCTCGCACTTGCGCGAGGGTACAATTCCTAGTAATCATAATAAAGAACTTATAAATCTTTAAATATAAGAAAGAAATGGACAGTACAACTGACCTCAGAGAGGTCAAGACAATCAACAGTATTAACTTCTATAAGTGTTTGTTTGGTGTGGCGTATCTGACGGCAGGCACGATTTGTTACCATTGGTTCCCAACTGAAACCAGATATAGCTTCAAGCACATTCCTCACAACCACATGCTCACCTTTTACCCAATGATGTTGAAAATGCTCTAAACCATCTCGTTCAACATCACTTACACTTGGACTGTACAGAAAATTGTCTTCTGAACCATTTCGACAAACAGCCTTTAACAATTTAGAGTTGGCCATGTCAATATGACCTTCAGGGTTATACCAAGGGCACCGTTCCATAACCGTTTCAGGTAAATCCAAAAGCTTGTTGGCTTCAGCAGTTATTTCTACTCTCTTGACTAAATTCTGCTGATACCCAATCAATAGGAAGCATGTGCTTTAACTCCAAATCACCACCACCACAACAACAACGAATGCTTCCATATTCCTTTGCTTTCCAGAGAGATGGGAGCTTCACACTGTCTTTGCTATTTGGCTTATCATTCGTCTTTTACTCCTCCATGTGCATACTGTAAACACTACAACAAAAAACTACATTGTTAGCACGGAAAATTTGCTATCATATGGATTACATAGCGTTTTACTAAGTGCTATGACATCGGCAGCTATGTTAGGTGGTACCCATACGATGGCACTATTTTGGAATGCTACGATAGATTCAGATACCATAGCAATAATTCAACGCTTTTAAACTATTGAATGACAATTCATATTCCGTGCTATGGTAGGGAACTATACAATAGCAATCATTTTCGTTGCTATCTTACATATCATATACAATAGCAATCATTTTCATTGCTATCTTACATGTCATATACAATAGCAATCCAGCATTGCTGTACGCAATTTGCATATCGAGTATAATACACAAATTTGTAGCTCTTTTTTATTGCTATGAAATACGAATAGCTCCTTATCTTTTATGCTATTGTATGCATTTTCTAATAGCTATCGTTTGTCCTGCTTTTTTCATCTATTTGCATAATTTAAATAACCAAATCAGATGTAAAAAACAATTCTTTCATAGAAATAGAAATCCAATCCAACACACAAACGTAGTAGTAGTCTGAATATTCATTCAATCATCATAACACAAGTCTAAATTCTAACTAAATAGCACAAGTCAACTTGTAGATTAGTCTAGTTTTAAACAAGTTAAAACTATCTAACCTGGACCAAACTTGCTTCATCCCCTGCAAACAATGGACAATGACTTATATCAGTTTCCAATAAAGCAATGTTGGAAATAACAAATAGAAGATACATGACACTAACTATATTACATACCTTTCGTTTCTCAGTCTCAAAAGATGACCAATTTCTCCATTGGCCATGCGATTGATGAACCGTGTGCATCTTTCATAGTCTCGATTTCATCTGATGGCTTCCAAACTGCTGCATCATCTACCTTCACTATATCTACCCAAACTCTTGCTGCATCATGCCCCAGTCTAACAAAGTGTACCTTTTGTTCAGGGTCGGTAGAATGCACACGACCCTCTGCAACGACAACCTTCCTTCCGGAAATGTCCATCATCTTGCACCTATGATTTTCCTTGATAACCTTGCTCCATGTTTAAGCTGCCATGTTTTGAACATCAACCATTTAATACACATAAAATAGAAACACTAGGCAATACATATACAACTCTACAAGGCATTTACCGGATGTGTTCCTGCAGACTTCTCAGTAGCCGACTTTGAGACTCTGGCTGCTGACTGTGAACCACCTGGCAGAGATGTCTGCGTAAGAGATTTAGACCCTGATGCATCTGAGGTTTGATCAGCGGATGTAGAGTTCTGAAAACGAGATTTATGCCCCGTTCCATCTCTTGAGTTCTCGAATACAACTTTGCTGGCAGGCCATGCTACAAAAGACATTAGACAATCCTCAATGTATGCTGCTTCAACCGTAGGCCTCCATATAAATGTCTCTGGTTCATGCACCACATCAACAAAGACTTTTACTGCCTTTAGTCCAAGAGGTAGACCATTAACCAACGCTTTTGGTTCTTCTGTCTGCCATCGCCCTTCAGCAACTACAATTTCATCTGAAGACAAATCCAGAAGCTTGCATTTGTTTATTGAGCTCGCTCTATGACCCTGTCAAACACACTTGATCATCATTCTGCTGTAACCTATACTTATCGATAACTATACTGTAAATTAAGAGAATGAATTACCAGTGGTGTAATGTCTACTGCTTCTTCCACCGATTCTAGATCAACGCATTTAGAGGCAGGTCATGCAATCATTTGTCCAACAGCTTCCTCTATTGTGAACATCTTACTTGCATGTCTCCACAGGAATGCATCTGGTTTAGTAGCAGAGTCAACAAATACTTTGACATCCGTAGGACCTAGGCGAGTGTCATTCACCAAATCATCCGGATCAGGAGAAACAATTCATCCCTCAACAACATTTGCATCAGTACCAGCCCAGTCAACCAATACACACTTAGGTTGTGATCTTTTATTGACACTCTAGCAAAATCATGGAAGAATTAAAAAAATAAGGTTCTTCTCGCCTAATATGGAACGGAAAAACGTCTAACATGTCATTCACATGACTTACCTTTGCAGCCGAATTCTCACCCACCTCTGGTTCTTGTCGCTATAAGGAGAAGTAAATTAATAAGTAACTATTCATAAATTGTTTTAGATGCAAAGGAAAAATATAATACTTACTAACCTGGTTTTTCATTTTTGCAATTTCATCTTCCAACTCTTTGACCTTCTGTTGGAGATGAACTTGCTTCTCTTCCATCTCAGTCATACACCTGTGTTGCACCTGGAAACATGCTAACTTCGTTTTATTCATGTTCCTACCCAGGACCCTCATTCTACCCGGATTATTAGGTCCTAGTAGTAGCGTAAGTGAATCCTCTCCTTCATTTGTTGTAGAGGGTGGAGTATCATTATCAACTAACTCAGCTGCCTTTTTCTGTACAGCGTAAATCGTAGAGTTCAAAACGGAAATTAAATATAACACTAATAACCATCACTACGATTAACTTATAAACTCACCATCTTCTCTGCTGCATTCGTATTCACCGGTGTACCATCTTTCCTTGTACGCGACTTCATCCACACCTTCAGCCGAGTCACTTCAGATGGGTTTCCACTAGCAGTTTTCTTTGAAGAAAAACATGTTAAGTATTTTAACGTTTTCTGATCTTAATATACCACATAAATAGAGTATACTTACCATTTCTTCTGCAAGTCTAACCATTCCCTTGCGACTGCAAGTGTGAGGAATCTGTTTGCGCCTTCTTTCCTTGTAGCTACCACTCACAGCCTACAAATGAATGTTAATTGTACCATGTTAACCCTATATATATTTCTGAGTACGATTACTACTAAATTTTCAAATACGTTTACCTTGAATTCTTGGCTGGTCTTTAGCTTCACAAATTTGCGCCTATCTATAGGAGAAACATTCTTTGATCTCAGATTCATCCTCTGTTGATTATTCTACTCCTTTAGAATCTGGGTAACAAGGCGTGACTTAGATGACCTCCACAAACATCCCAACTGTTGGAGGATCGATTTCCATTGGTAATCTTCATCTAGCTCAAACCTTGCCTGCTTGAATATTATAAGCAAACCATTACAAGATCAAATCATCACAAACCATCATGTTATCTAATATACAAAAAGAACATATTACCTGAACAGATTTCCAGAGAACTATTTTCAGAGATTCACTTAGCTTTGTCCAACTGCTAAGTGTGACAGGAACATGTTCCCGGACCAACGGACCTAGGTAAGAAGAAAGTTTCACTGATCCAGAACCATAAGCTTCTCCCATGAAATTATACTCTACCCATAGTTTGTTGTTTGGGTCCTTGGCTATGTCCTTCATCCTAGTCGGACCTTGCTGTCTCTTACGGATAGGTTCAACTCCAGCATCATCATTCTCAGATAATTCAATTTCACCTACAGGTTCTTCGCCATTGTTCTCATCCAGATCTTCTTAACCTGATTCCAAGACTTCATTGTTCTGCTGTTCTTCCACATGTTCCTTATCTCCTAATTCCGGATGCTCTTCCACAGCTTCATCGAGTCCTACTTCTGGCTGGTCTTCCACAACATCAGCAGTAACTTCATGATTTTTCTTCTGTACATTCCTTCCTCGCTTCGTACGTGCCATGGTGACTGACCTGTAAATAAAACAAACAATATGAGGAATTGTGAGAATACACAAACCACACATAATCACAAACCACACAATAGACTAAACTCTAAATCAAACAAAATCACAGACCATAGAAGACACAAAACCCGAAACCAAACAAAATCACAAACCACACAATGATCAACTAAATATATATGCCTTCACAATCAGGTCGTGTATTCTCAAATTCATCCATGTCAACTTCCATATCAACAGCTGATGGCAATGGTCCAATGTCTGCGTTTCCTTCTTGGACATCTTCCTTGTTGTATCTTCTTGAGGGACCTCTCATGACCACATACCAATTCGATAACTCATCTTCCCTAATATGTATGGACCTTTTAAGAAAGATGCCTGACTGTGATGGAGATTAACTAGTGTAAAACCATCCTCTACTTTAACTCCATTACCCATTACTGCTCAATGACACCTGAACAGAGGCACGTAGAATACATTGTAATCCAACAAAATAATCTCTGTAACTCTGCCATAGTAGGAGACCCAATCAACTACTTGTGAAGTATCTTTGGCACTAGATCTACAAACTGCCGTCGCCTCATAAAAAACTCCACTATTCTGACTTTTCCTATCAATTGAACTTGTGTGAAACCGTTGCCCATTCACTATATAACCCGTGTATGATCGTGCAGAGCATCGTGGGCCATATGCCAACCATTTAAGTGTTTCACCATGTCTCGTAGAATCAAGAGATACCTGAAAAAAAAATAGACATATACAGAGCATAATATAGCATTCACATATGTAATCAACGTGGAGAACTAGCCTGTTCTCTTAGCCAAGATGCGAAATTCTGAGTATGCATTTTCCAGAGTGTTGATGCATCACGTCTACATCTGACGTTTGAATCTTGTAGATGCTGCAGATGCTCACTTGCATAAGAATAAGGAAATACCTGAGTCAGCAAAACAAATTAACATTTGGAGCTCTACATAGTACAAGAAAAAGGGAAACTTACTCCACATAAGGTTCAACAACTGCCATGTTTTGGATGACAGCAAGATGGGCTATGTTCTTCTCCAATTCAGTAAGAGTAACTGGAGATCCCGCAGAGATTGGACGACCCTCCAGAATGGAAAAGTCTCATACTCAGTGTTCCTATCGACCTTGTCTTGTACACTTGTTGTATTCCTCAAAAAATCACTACAAAACTGGATGCATTCTTCTGCGAGGTAAGACTCAGCGATACATCCCTCTGGTCTAGCTGGATTTCTGACAAAGTCTTTTAGAATTTTCATGTACCTGAAAGTTTGAATTGTATGTGATTAGTAATAGTTCGAAGAATAAAAACCAAATTCATATTTAATTGAAATTATCATACCTCTCAAATGGGTACATCCACCTAAAATGGACTGGTCCACCAAGCCGTGCTTCCCTTCCTAGATGTACCGTCAAATGGACCATAATATCAAAGAAGCTTGGAGGAAAAAATCTCTCGAACATGCAGAGAGTCTCAACAATCTCAGCTTCTATTACCAATAGTTGTTCCCTATCGATCACTCGCTGACACAACTGATTGAAGAATGAGCATAAGCGTACAATCGCTAGTCTAGGACCTTTTGGCAGCAAGCCTCTAAGTGCGATCGGAAGTAGTTGTTGCATTAGGACGTGATAGTCATGTGATTTCAAGCCTGATATCTTACAATCATCCAATGAAACACCTCTTGATATGTTAGAGCAGTATCCATCGGGGCCTTGGAAATCAAATAGTCGCCTGCAAAAGATCTTCTTCTCTGTCTTCGATAGTGACCAAGGTGCTGCTGGAAGATATGTTCGTTTCCCTTTGAGTGTAGGATGTAGATCCTTCCTAATACCGAGCTTCTCTAGGTCTTTACGAGCTTGTAAACCATCTTTTGATTTTCCACAGTGTAACAATGTAGCCACTAGACTTGCAGCCACATTTCTCTCTACGTGCATTACATCCAAGTTATGTCTCACAGGAAGCTCCTAACAAACACAAAACAATAAAAAATTAGAGATAAGAAACGTTTATTGAGAAAACAAATAGTTATATGTTGTTAAAATATACCTCCCAATATGATAACTTGTAAAAGATTGACCTTTTCTTCCACCGCGATAACTCTTCCTCATCCACATGTACTTCTTCTTCTTCATCTTCTTCTGATTCACTGGATAAATCATCCATATCAGAAGCCACTGATGTACACACAGACTTTTTCCTCTTAGAAGCAGATCGTTTAAAGTTTCCAAAATCGTTCTTGAAGTTTCTGAGATATCTCACGACCAGTTAAAAGTCATCCCTTTCTGCCTTGTTCCACTTTCCCATCAAACCACGACTTCTTTCCCCTGAAACTATGTGTTGGTGGCAGACCCTTTCTATGACACATGTACACATGTTTTCTGCTGAACTTCAACCACAAGCAATCCGTATTTTTTCCACACAATGGACATCCCAATTTACCTTTAAATTTGCAACCTGATAGATTTCCATAAGCTGGGAAATCGCTTATCGTCCAAAGCAGCATTGCCTTAAGTGTGAAAGCAGACTTACTGAAGGCGTCATACGCTAACTCTCCCTTATTCCACAGATGGTTTAGGTCATCTATGAGGGGTTCTAAGTAGACATCAATGCTATTTCCAGGCTGATGTGGACCAGGAATCAACAATGTAAGCATTATGTTCTCCTTCTTCATACATAAATCAGGTGGCAAATTGTAGTTTACCAGCAAAACAGGCCAACAACTGTACTTGCTGTTCTTCATGTCAAATGGATTAAAACCGTCTGTGAAAAGGCCAAGCTTCACGTTTCTTTCTTCTGCTGCAAAGGAAGGATATATGTCGTTCATCTGATCACATGTAACTGAGTCCACAGGGTGTCGGAGTTTACCGTCTGTGCTCTTGTTACTAAAATGCCACCTTAAATCCTTGGCCATATCCTCACTTCTAAACATTCTCTTCAACCGGGGGATAATAGGAAAGTAACGCAATACTTTTTGTGGGACACCTTTCTTCAATTCACCAGTGTGAATGTTCGTCCTCCATCTTGAAACCTTGCACTTTGGACAATTCTCCAGTTTCTTGTACTTCTTTCTGAACAGGCAGCAGTCATTAACCCATATCAAACGTTTTCAAGAATTTCTTCACCTCGTAAAGTGATGTGTGCAACACATTATCCGCTGGTAGCATTCCCGGCAGGGTCTCGAGTAGATCATTGAAGCTCTTGTCGGACCACCCATTCTGTGTCTTCAATCTGAACAAGGAAACAATAGCTGATAGCTTGCTATGACTGACACAAGTAGGATACAATGGTGTTTCAGCATCAGCGATCTTTGCAAGGAACTCATCTTATTTCTTGTCTTCTCCCTCGGCAAGATCACACAAGTCAGTCCTACTAGCATACTCTTCATCCACGAATTCAGCAGCCTTATATAGCCCATAAATCTCATCATTCTACTGACTTGATTTTCTTCCACCTTCCATACCCGAAATCAGATCTCCATGAAGATACCAATCAGACCGGCTCTTATACGACTCATCCATTCCTCTTGTAACTAGATGGTCAACTACAACACTCCTGCCATGAAGATCTATATTACGGCAGTCAATGCAAGGACACACTATCATGTCAACGTCTCCCAAAGCCGCAGCCACGTCTCTAACAAAATCTGAAGCTCCTTTCTCGTAAGCAGGATCAGTTCTTCATCGCAGGATTTAACGGAAAAAGAAAAAAATACAGTAAAGACTCTAGACCCTCCTGAAACTAACCTATACAATTTAATCTTATATCTGCAGAGAGAACCCATGCCTTGTCGACCATTTTAAGTTCTACCTTAATAAAAACCTTTAGTACCATAACCACCAAAACAGAGTTAATCCATCAGTTTATCAAGAGAAGACATGACTCGAAATTCAGAGAAACAATGATCAAATAAGACTCGCATATATCCCAGATTCTAATAATGAACAAACAAAACAAATCGTAGCCACTATATTAGTAAATTATCTATACCAGAAATCTACAAATGTAAAACGAATAAAGCGAGAATCAAAAAACCAAAAACTATGAATCGCAGCCACTAAGTAGAGTTACCAAACAACAATCAGAATAAAACGACAACTAAAAGACACAAAAGCCAAAGCATTGACGCGAGGAGACTGACTGACCAGTTGGGTGATAAAAGGAAAAGAAAAGCTTCAGTTCCCCAATGTTGCAGTCAAGAGCACTTGCAAAACAGTAAGAGAAGAAATATAATGTTAATAATGAAATACTAGAGGCAAACAAACTTAGAATAACAGATGACTGAAGAAATGCATATACATTCATAAAAACAAAAGTTTATAGTCGAGTTTTACAACGACAGAGCAAATGCATATAAATTATTGTATACAGTTGACTGTTCAATGTAAGTGAGAAGAACAAATGCATAAATCGCAACAATCCTCAATGAACAAATGCAGCATGAAAATTAATGTACCTTTGTAAAGAGAATGGACATGTAACAAAAGCAAATATTAACAAGAATGAATGAATCGAAGGAATGCATCTATTGCAATTTGACAGTTCCTGTGAATCTTAACCCTACAATCGAAATGCTATGATGTGCTACAATCAATCAGAAATCGGGTTTAGATTCAGAAACAGCACGAAGGTGACCAAATCGAGAATGATGAAAAACTAAATCAGAGTATCAAGTACATGCCTTCGATTTGAGCACAATGTGGACAGAGAAGAAGACGGAATGAAGCAGCGGTATAGTCGACAGCGCAATACAATCGACGGCGCAATACAATCAGAGAGTATCGAGAGATTTTTCGGTTGGGTTATGAGGGTTTTGGTGTATTCAATGTGAAAGGGGGGGGAAGGGAAGTTTTAGGCGCTTAATCGATAAAATTTCTGTAAGTGTTGGCGGATTAAGAGTAATTATTTACCCGCTTAATGAAACTCTATCGTAGCTCACATGCAATGCTATAATATAGTAGTCGAAATTACAAACTCATATTCAATAGCATTTCAGTAAACCGTGCTATTACGTTGTGCTATGAATGTACACTTTTTTTTTGTAGTGAAGCCTCGGTTTATATAATTCCAAGACACATCCTCTTGACATGCCAGAAGCTTTCCATTTCGGATCTCATAGCAACATGTAAGGCAGAATTTCATAAGAACAGCTGAGCAACTCCTATGAAGATCAAATATTAAGGTCTTGCAACTGTCGCTTTAAACCCAAAGAATGGAGCAAGTTAGAAACAACAAAATGAACAAAAACATGTTATCCATTGCAACAAAAATGTCAATACCAGTAGAGTCTTTCAACAGGTAAACAATCACTAGCTTGGGAATTAATATAATAATAAGACATCTTCTACTTCCGTAAGATAAATTGTAGATTCCAGTTTTGAAAGAGAATCCACTCACTTTCAGAATTTGTTTGACAAAAGAAGCAGATTTATTCAACAATATAATGAGACTAATATATAGAAACGTACTAATCAAACTAGCTCAAGAATCAGTACAGAAAAATGTGAATGGACAACAAGATAAACAAACCTAAAAGTAGAGAAAGTACCTAACATCTTTGCCTCAATCTTCTTCTCTGCAATTTTTTCATCATTTTATTTCCTTCACATGCGGGAGAAGCATCCGCAAAATATACTTAGAACACTGATTTTTTTCATCCTTGTTGACCTTGAGGTCAGAAGTAGGCTACTTAGTAATAGAGTAATCATTATGCTCATAAATCAAATCAATCACAAAACGATTAACAAAGAGAGACATGAGAAAACTTACTTCCATTTTAGCAGAATGGGCATTTCTTGGCAACATTTTCTTCTTCAGTCTACTTGAAAAACAAATCCAGCACAAAACAACAATAAACAAATCCAAATAATCTTATACTCTGAATGAATCTCAAATGGATGCTCAAAAAGCTAAAACATTTGCCTTGATTTTGCTCAAATCTCAAAACAATACAGTCTTTAAGGATGAGTTAGTCCAATAACAAGAACCCATAAATCATCTATCAATGTGATGGTAAGAAAGAGCATACCAAATCTGCAGGCATGGGATGCAATAACGCTTCCGCTTGCAATTCTGACATCGCACGACACGTCCTCTGTCGCTCTGTTGACATTGGTGACACATATTGGACTCAGATTTTTTAGCATTACCCTATAAACACCGAGAAAAGTAAATCCAGATTAGTGGACTAGGTCGGATTTAAAATTACGATTGATGAGCGAAGGACAGATTTTTACAGATGAGCTTTGTAAATGGAACTTCAGCATCGATTTCAGCTTCGTCAGTCATGGGGTTGTTTCTGTAATGCCTCTCTTAAATAAGACCAAACGCCTCTGTCCGCTTCTTCCAATTAATCCTTCTTATCAGCAACGTGAAACAGAAATTAAATCGCACGAAGAACCCTGGACTCGAGAATTAGGGCAGATTCAAGGTTCTCCAAAGGTAAAGTCAGGACAAAACCTCTTGATTTCCCGGTTATTACCTACTGTTTTTCTTTCCTAATCACCGGTTCAGTTTATGTGGTTTTTCTGATAATGCAAGACCGGTTCAATTACAAAATAAACCGACTCAATTTGAAATATAACCGTCAAGAGAAGAAACGCGTGTTGTCAAAAGCCGTTCTCTTTTTCTTGTTCGTTATTTCAAGAATTGTCTCTCTCTCAATTTTCTCCCAAATTTTGTTTCCGCAGCTCTTCACAAACTTTATTTTCTCCCAAATTTGTTGTTCTTCTTTTTTTCCTTTCAAAAATCTTCGATCGCCATTTTTTGGGTTTTCAATTTTTTTTTTTGTTTTAAAACTTGATTCCGCCTGAAACTGACCGCCTTGTTGGGTTTCTCACTTTCTCGCTCGTGTAATCTGTTGTGCTCATCGCGATTTTGTTTTAGGGTTTCTACTTTTACTAATTGTTCAAAGCGTAATTTATGCAGGAATGTTGGTTTTGCAGGGATGTTGGTTAGGGTTTCTTTTCTCCGAGCCGTTGCCGAGGTAAATCCTCTCTTTACGCTTGGATTTCCAGGATTGTCTTTGATTCGCTGCTAATGCTGTAGAGAGTTGATCAACTGTTGTATATTGATCTAAAGGAGATTACCGAGTATTTATACATACATAGGGAGAGTATATACTCACGAAGATACTTCTAGGATAGAGCTAAACTTATTCTAGATATACACAAATATATATAAGAGAATATACACTCTAATACGCCCCCTCAAGATGGACCGCCGGAGAAGAGGCCAATCTTGGTAAAGAGTGACTGAACCAAAAGAATTGGAGCAAGTTAGAAACAACAAAATGAACAAAAAACATGTTATTCATTGCAACAAAAATGTTACCAGTAGAGTCTTTCAACAGGTAAACAATCACTAGCTTGGGAATTAAAATAATAATAAGACATCTTCTACTTCCGTAAGATAAATTGTAGATTCCAGTTTTGAAAGAGAATCCACTCACTTTCAGAATTTATTTGACAAAAAAGCAGATTTATTCAACAATATAATGAGACTAATATACAGAAACTTTATTTTCTCCCAAATTTTCTGTTCTTCCTTTTTTCCTTTCAAGAATTCTCTTGATCGACTCGACAACACGGCAAATCCTGTTTAGATAAGTAACTGTTCCTGTCTCTGTTAATCGTGGATATGCTTGAAGATTTCTAAGTTTCGTAAAATCTTCAATCGCCATTTTTAGGATTTTCAATTTTTTTTTCTTTTGAAACTTGATTCCGCCTGAAACCGACCCGGACTTGTTGGGTTTCTCAATTTCTCGCTCGTAATTGGGGTTTTTAAGCTTCATATAATCTCATGTGCTCATCGTGATTTCGTTTTAGGGTTTCTACTTTTACTAATGGTTCAAAGCGTAATTTATGCAGGAATGTTGGTTTTGCAGGTATGTTGGTTAGGGTTTCTTTTCTCCGTTGCCGAGGTAAATTCTCTGTTTACGTTTGGATTTCCAGGATTGTCTTTAATTCGCTGCTAATGCAATGGATTCGTCTGGTCTTGTGGGATCATTAGTCACAACTCAATTCGCTCTGTTAGTTTCGTTAATGGGTTCCAATTTTCCTAATCGACTTTAACTTTTTGCAGTGATCTTGGTTATGCTTTCTTATGGTCTTGTTATGAAGCTTGACTCCTCATGTCTTTAAGGTAAATTCTCTGTCTGTGCTAGAACTGTTTATGATTTATAAATTACTAGGCTAAAGCCCGCGCTACGCGCATATGGTATTGTTACTTTTTTTCTGTTTAATTTGCTTTTTTTTTTTTCATATTTGTACAAGTTGTTTAAAAAAAAGATAATCTCTCTTTTAAATGTAGGTCGCAATCCCGACAGAATACATAGATTTGGTAGAATTGTGTGAATAATATAAAGTCTTTGATAAGTAAAATTCTGGCTTGTTGAGTTAATTAGCCAATTTTCTTAGATTTTGAATTGATGACATTAACAGAACGGTCGAATTCATCACCAATTTTTAGTTTTATGTTATTATCTACTTCAATGTAGGTAAGTTATCAGCTTGGTTAAAAAAAGACAGAATATGTCTCAATTCTTTGATAATGCAATTGTCTATGTGATGCCGTAATTTTCATATAGAGCAAAACTTTTGTATATATGTCAGAGTTATAAATATATTCACAATTTATTTGCCATCAAACATGTTTTTTTAGCTTTTACTTTTTTTTTCAAGCGATTATTAGTTTTATGCTCTTTTAAAAATTTTATTGAAAACTGAGAAAACTAATCTTCAAATCTTTCTTGTGTATGATTTGTTTCAATTTTTTTTTTAAAGATGGATTTTCTCAGTTTTCAATGCTTTTTTTTATTAAGTAATACTGATTAATTTGTAACTTTCAAGAAGACTAATTGAAATTATTTGATTGTGATTAGTTTAAAATTACTGAAATTTTGTTAATCATATATGATACATTTAATATACTTCCTCCGTTTCATAATAAGTGTTGTTTTGACTCTTGATTTATCCAATGTATCTAGATGTATTAAGACTCAAAACACATCCAGATACATCAATAGATAGTCCAGATTCATTTTGTCAAAACGACATTTATTATGAAACGGAGGGAGTAGTTCTTAATATACGTGAATAACTCTTAAAATTTTCTTCTTTAAAAAACAAAGAGAGAATATACTTTTGTTGTGTTTAGTCATTCTGTATCATTTAATGTGATTCTGGTCTACCGATGATTTAATATCTTGTCATTTTGTGTCACTTAATGTGATAGAGAAATATGATCTCTTAATAATGAGGTTTAGAATTTCTTTGAATACCGTTGGAATCAGATTTGTATGTTTGTACAATGGTAAGTTTGATGGGTCGACTGTGCTAATATATCCATGACAGTAGCTATTGTACTCCCATTTGACAACTATAGATGGTCACAAAACTGGATATTTAGAAGAGTTTATATATTTTCCGGTGGTATCCATGAAAAAATATATAAATTGGAAAGATGAATACTTAAAAAAAGTTCAGAAATACAACATTTGGTTTGTATAAAGTATTTCTAAACTTTTAAAACCCCCTTACTTAACATGTGTTATAATTTTGAACACAATCTTCTAGATATGTACCATGCACACTTTTGTAGCTCCAGATCCTCCACCCCAGTTAATTTAATAGGAGAAATACAATAATAATACCATCCAATTAATATTATAAGGTATTTGATTGCATGAAGAGCATACGACACAGTTACTTCTTTTTTTTTTTTTTGGTCATCTACACAGTTACTTCTGAGTCACTGAACACATCATTTTTAGCAATTCGTAGATGATGCATATTAGTACGTGTAAATCGAACCATTCTATAGTGAGTTCTCCTCGTCACTAAATTCTTGAAACAAAAATTTATCCAAAATTACATGTGAAATAAAGCCTGTAGAGCAAGAAAAATTAATTTTGTTAAGCTATGAATCTTTCTTAAGCTTGGTAAGACTTTGTTAAGCTATGAATCTTTCTTAAGCTTGGGAATACTTACCAGCAATTACGATATTGACCTACGTTGCTAAATCGTTAGGTTCTTTTTTATTCCAAGCAACCCAGTAAGTATTTCCCTTCAAAGACACGCCACGACTAGTTATCATCCAGCGCCAGGAAACTGTTAAATTGCTTTGAGCGTCTTCATCAAGAAGTCTCCATGAATCAGTGTTAAAATAATACAACTCAAACTCCATAACCCAGATTCCCAGGTTGTTGTTGTTATGCCTTCTACACCTCAGGATTTTGAAGCTATCGCAAGAATTTTTAATTTGTTCTTGTTGTTTCCGTACCCTAGAGCATACGAATCGTAAGCTAAGTGATCATCATTCCTGGGTTGGATCGGGATCCACCTGGTTTGACCAGTACAAGGGTTCCAAACCACGATTCTTTTGTCTTTGGTGGTGCACAAAAACAAACCCTCGCACTGAAAGATAGCATGTATCATCGTCTGTTCTGAATCCTTTAGAGTGTTGAGTTTACCTGTAAACTCAATGGATGGATCAAAGATCTTGTCGTTGTTGATTCCATGGAGATTGAGGTTCACTGAATAAACACCAAAATCTTTCTTTAAGATAAACTACCTTTTTGCTTTACCTAAATTCTTCTCTATGAATCTAGGGTTTTTGAATAAAGCATACCATCTTCTGCAAGTAGATCGGAATTTGTTTAAGATGTGGGAGGAACCCTAGAGAGTATTTCACATTCCAATTCTCGTGGGAGATCGGTAAACGTCATTGTGTATCTTGTGGTCTCCCTCAAGGAAGAAAGCGTCAGCTCTGAAAAGAGAAATAATTAGGGTTTTAAGTTTTTGACATAAGCAATCATTATAATGTGAAAAATATAAAATAAAATAAAATAATGTAGGACTCTTCTAAATGGAAAACTTAATCTAACGGTTTAGATGTCTCCTTTTTAATCCAAAGTCTCTCTCTTAAGTTTACTTAGACGTGACAAAAAAGATTAAAAAAAAAAAAGTTGTTACCTGGAAAGTAAATTGTCAATGCTTCAAACTACAAAAAAAAAAACAATCTATACTATAAAAGTTGAGGCTATAAGCCTCTGAGAGCGTCCACATAGGATTATAAAACGCGATTTGATTGGTCCACATAAGTATTTCCTAGATTAAGAAAGTTTCCGAATTTTAAACAACCAATAGTATCAATCCACATCATCACATAAAATTAGCTATTTGTTCAATTAGTTAAATTCCTTTTTATATTTTTATATTTTAAGAAAGTTTCATAATTCAAAGTTAAGCAATAGGAAAGTTTCCAGAATTTATAAGTGTAATATTAGTAGAGATATGTAATAAATAAGAAAATTATACCAACAATATCATTATATATCAACATCTAAAGCTACAATTGTATTAACTCGATTTTGATCAAATGTAGCTTACATGAATAAACATATGTTCACGTCAGAGCTTGATATAAGATCAAACAAATCCAACATCGAGAAACCACCTGGAAGCAAGATGGAGGGATATATATTGAAGACAAGATACTTTGACATCACATATTGAAAGTTCACATAGATCGATCAATTCTTCTAAAGGATATGTAGTGAATTAATGAAAAATCATGAAGCAAAGGAATGATTGAAACGAAGACAATGGGCATCACACTGAAGGTATACATGTCCTTCTGTGAAATAAATAAATTCGCTTGCTTTATTTCGAATATTATCTGGTCTATGGTGTTCAATTGATTTTCTTTGTATTTTGATAATGGAAGCACATCCAATTAATTAATAAATAAGTTACATTACCACAAAATAATCAAAGGACTATGAAGAGAACAAGGAATCGAAATTACCAAAGTGTAGATTAAATCAAAAGTGAATTGTTGCTCCTAAATTAGTAAGCTTTCGATGGGGAAAATAATATTGATTATGAAGAAACAAAAAAAATCAGAATAGTGATTACATGACACAAATTGAAAGGAAAAGGCAAACACAATAGAAGGCTGTATTTTGTTCCTTTTCTATTTTTCTTTTCTTCGTTTTTCAATGTTTTGTAATATTTACATATTCATGTGTTTATAAGTAGTACTTTTAAAAGATGTCACTTGAAAGAGAAGGAATATAAACAAAAGTAAATTTATTAAAAACAGAATAAGATAAATTCCTTCTCATTTTAGTATTTACATATGACATTCAAAGGGCCTGTTTTGAATATATTTTGTTCAATAAGTCATTCTAGCTTGATTTTATTTTCAGTTTTTCAGGTAACGAAATTGTGTTTTATTTAATTATAATTTATTCTAAATTTAAGAGGAATAGAGCCATGCAGAATTTTACAAGAGGAATGGAACCATGCAGAATTTTAAGGGTCGAGAATAACCTACAGAAATAAGAGAAAACAAAATGAAGAAAAAAGTAGACACAAAAAAGAAGAGTACCAAGATAAAACCGAAGAATAGCGAAAACAAAGATATTGAATTGCGAATACAAAATAGAGACAAAAGAAGACAAAGATGAATAAGGAAAAACCATATTAAAAACTTGTGAAGAACAATTTGAAGAGGAATTCGAACAAGAACGAAGGAGAAGAAACCTAACAACAACAAAAAAACTTGCGAAGACCAATCTAAAGAGGAAATAAAATAAGAACAAAGGAGAAGAAACCAAATCAAAACAAAACAAAAAAAAAGAAGAAAAAAAAAGAGAGCAAAGACGAAGAAGAGCAAACGCGAAGATGAGTGAAAATGAAGAAGAAATCAAATAAGACCAAAGACAAAGAAGAAAACAAAACATAAGATACTGAAAAAGAATGAATCAAAGAAAATTAAAAAAAAACTTTAAAACAACAACGAAGAAGAAAATGAAGAACAATTATGTGTGTCGACTAGCTTCTCTTCATTTAGGTTTTAGGTTTTATAACCATTGAAAACTTACCAAAATATTAGTTTATCATCTAGCTTAAATTTATTACATACAAATATTGTTATTTATAGCATTTTAAGTTCTAACATAACCAACTGAAGTTATTTTAAATAAACATCATGTTATATACAAATATTATTGACATCTAATTTTAAGAATTTCACTAAATATATTTAAAAATATATTTCTGTTTAGAAAATGACTAACACGTCACAATAGTTCATAAATTAACATTACATTTTACAAATAAGTTTAGTGATAAAGTAAGTTTGTCCTATTATAATGATTTGAATATCTTCAAGTAAGTTTTGGTCATTAGACATACACAAACATTTTTGTTACCGGGATATGATCTAAACAATATTTTTGTATGTCAAGATTTGATCTCAATACGATATTGATATATCTAAAAACTTTTGTTTTCCAGAGAGTTTTGGTATTGAAATATTGATAAATTTTAATTGTTGATTTTTGCAGTTTAAAAAAAAAAATTAAATATATTTTAAACTGATTTAAGATACAGACCCGCGCGTGCGCGGGTGAAAGTCCTAGTATGATGTGAAAAGTTGAGTTTCACACCATTGCATTAATCTCCTTGCAAGGATATAGAACCTAGACACCAACAAAACTAGTGCGAGGAATGTCATTAATCGAAGCCAGAAACAATGAGACAATTTAGGGCTCATGCATCATCCATGAGGAGATCTCCGGAACTTGCATTGTTGGGGTTTGGCAAAACCATACCCAAGAATCATTGATCGCAAACCATTACCAAAGCCTAAAAGAGTTTATGGACTAGTTTAAGAAAATCACAGCTGAATGATTTATCATCATGCCCTCAAAAACTTTAGTTATCGAGTAGTCTGCAACCTTTTGCTCTTAGTTTCGACTCAAGACCGAAAAAGTTGATCCCTGAAAGCACCAAATCAGCAGCTGTCTTCTTCTTTGTCTGCTCAACTAACATCTCATCATAGACTACCATTTTCACAAGTGACTATTGAAATAATCTTTGAAAGTGATTTTTAATACGGTGATGATATTTTCACCGATCTTCTTAGGTGTCTACTATTTTATTTTCTTTTTGGTTTTCGTATACATACACCTTCAAGGAAAAAAAGGTTCACCAGGATCCATAAGTGATTACAAAGAAGAAGCCATAAACAATGTATTTAGATAAGATCACCAAAATCTGATTTCACAAGTAAAAGAAGAATAAACATGTATATATAAGTCAACATGTATATATAAGTCAACATGTATTTCACAACTAAAGTCTCTCTAACATGTCCTAAAATCGATGCGATTGATAAGTCAACAAATGAAAGACACTATACCGCTTTACCATTTGGATTGAGTATCTCGTCGTAAGAGAAACAAGACTCTGCTAGATTTCTGATATATATAAACTATAGTAGAGATGAGAATAAAATGATGTCAAGTTACACAAGCATGAAAGCTTGTCTTCAGCGTTTTCGATCAGCACGCCATTTGTGTACCGCTTTACCATTTGGATTTGAGTATACCTTCATCATGTAGCTTAAGTTTGCGACTCTTTTTCTACACATTTAAAAGAGTTCAATCAGAGACTGATGCTCCATTATCACCAAGATACAATCATATGATTTGATTATCATATACCTGTAATTCCTTCTGCATTGACATATCCATCTATAACTTCTCCAAATCTTTTGCCCTGCTCTTCCGTGCCTCGAGATCTCTGTATGATCTCTCCATGTTCCTGTTTCAAGAGAGTTTAAGATGATGAAATATTGCTTGTACCGCTTTGATACCTTTGCTAAAAACATGTAATGCATTTTTCAGATAACATACTTCTTAATATCTTTCGAAATGTTCATCTCAGGGATATCAGTTTGGCTTCTAGTTTGTTACATACAGGTCACAAGACGACACAAAGTTTTAAATCAGAGAACTTTTTTTTGGAAACTAACCTGTCTTCTGCATTAGTAGACATGTTTACGGCTCGACTGTACCTCAGCAAATTGAAGTGATGCAGTAAGCTTGGCAATTTTCTACAAAAAAAGATAGATAAATATGGATGATATAGCTTACGTTTGTAAACATTAAGCTCTTTTGGACTGTTGTGTTGAATGAGGGAAAGATGATATAGCTTACGTTTTTGGAACACATATCTTATGTCTTGGGCCTTCATCATCATCATGAATTCCTCTGCACTGTATTTATTTACCTCTTCCCTGAAAATCAGAGTTTTACAAATTTAGAAAAGAAACAAGTGCAAGTAGAAGATAAAAAACGAGGGAAAATTTTCAAAAGACTGGTGATTACTTTCCTCTATGAACTCCATCTTTTGTTTTGCTGTTGATCATCTTAAATTAAAATTCATCTGGATTCTTGAAGAACGCCTTCTCCTTTAAGTTTCTGCATAAATATTCAGAAGAAACAGAAAAAGCCATAAGAGAAACAAGACTCTGCTAGATTTCTCAAGGCTATTTCACAGATATCAATTTCGTTAAACTCGACGCAATTGACTGGTCAAGAAGTGAAAGACACTAGACATACCTGGCTGCAATACACCAGGAATTGAGAGTACACCGGTTGCATTTATATTAGGTTTAGAGAACCATATCTTTCTCTTACAGATTCTTGCTGATTCCCAAATAAACCGATGACACAGTTTCAGAAAAAGACACAAAAGCTCAAGAACATACAATTTACACAACAAATTAGCCACAGGAAAGGAGATAGACTGAGGGAAGTGATTATAACCTCAATGGTAGTTTCATCTGTAACATTAAGCTTTTGTATCAAAAGTCTTTCAGAGAATCGCTTCTTTACATCAAAGAGACTTGTTTTTAGATTTTAACTGCCATCTAAGGAATATATTTATTCCACTTTCTGACAATCCTATTTCTTAACAAGAAAACTGATCAATAGTGAAATCTCGTTTACGATCATTTGGTTAAAGAGAAATTGGTATATATAACAAATCAAAATAACACCTTCCTGAGAAGTCGATAGTACTAACAGTTAGTACTTACAATAATACAATAATGAAACCATTTCACCAAAACCATTTCTTACGCTCACAAACTTGACAAAGCTTTAGGTATTTAATAGAGAAAACAAAAAAAACATGATGATATTCAAAAAAATATAAATTGAGGAATTTAAAAACAAAAAGAAAAAACAAAGAAACCTTCGAAAACTTCAAAGTCATTGCATTTTTGGTTAATAGCTGATGCATAGTCCACAATTTTAGTAGAGCTTTTTCAAACTTCACTGATCGGGTATTTGTAATTCTGGTTGATGACCCTACAAATATATCAACAAGATAAGAATATTGGAATGTAATTTTATAGTAAGAATGGTCCAAAACTGATAAGAGAAGTCTTCTGCATTATTTGAGCTTGAATAACAAAGATATCATACCTCTAAGGTTACTGGTCTGGTCGCTCGTTTGGTACAAGCCACAATCATGTAGCGTGGTTGTGTGCAACTTTATCAGTGATACAGTCACCCGGTACAGTAAAATGTAGAACAACTACCCAATCAAAATATATCAGATTTTGTCAACCAAGTTTTTTATAATAATTATATTGATAGCCAAAAGTTTGATGATCATGTCAAATACATCCATTCAGCGGATAACCAATACAAGGATACGATATAGACTATATAGTCAATCACAACATTAGGATCCAGTCATGTAAGAACCAATAGCAGAAAACGATATTGTCAAAAAAAAACTATGATCGGGATACTTGGTCGAAGTTGGACTAAGTTGGGGGATATGATGATCAAGTCCAAAAAGGACCGACTTATACATGTTTGGAATTCAGTCTAATACTACTAGCTTATATCAACATGTATTTCAACTCAAATATATTATACACAAAAAAATGTATGAGAGAAAAATGAGAAGGATTCTCATTTGAGATCCATGTCAATGTGTTAAATTCTTGTTGGTTCAATTGTTTTACTAAAGTTAAAATTTAATAAAAGCATCTCAATGGGTATCTAACACAAAAATCTATAAAAAAAACTAAAAAAAAAAATTGAGAGAATTGACGAGAACCTATCCTCAAATAAAATATCTTGAAATATGAAAACCACTCAGCTCGGAAACATATCGGGTCCGATTGGTAACATAATGAATAGTGGTGTATTACAGAGTATTTTGATGGTACGAAATATGACGTTACAAAAAATGATGGTACAAAATATAGTGGTACAAATAGTGATTTTGTAAAACGATAGTACAAATATGAGTTCTGATTGGTAACATCATAGCAGTACAATCAAAGTTATTATAATTAAAAAATTATAATCAAATAGGAAAATAAATAAGAAAAACAATTTTTTTTTGTTTAAAAATAACTGAACTGAAATAATAAATATTCTATCAATTTTTTTTTTTAATGCCCAAAAATATATGTAATAATTTATTATAAAAGTATATTAACTTTTTATTTCTTATTTGATAAAATACTATGAAAATTAAATGCGAATTAATATAGTGTAGATAATTTAATTTACACTAACAATTTTCATTGATTTATTAATCATCTCCTCATATATATGTTATTTAAAAGAAAAAAGTTGTTGGAAATGAATAATTCATCAACTTTTAACCAAAACAAAAAAGCATTAACAGTTTTAGAAACGTTACTTTCAAAATATCAATTAGTCATCTAACGTAAAAGAATTTGTATCCTCCTCAATGATAGCGGCCCAAACGCAGGAATATTTAAACATTTTAGTGGAATATTTTGTCCTTTAAAAAATAACTTGTACTATCATTTTTTTGTAATGCTCTCTAAAAGTATCATTACACTTGTACTATGGTTACAACCTTTGTACCATCATTTTCTTTTGTAATGCTGTCTTTTTTTGTAATGCCATATTTGTACTATCATCTTTGTAATATCTCTATGAATGGTTACATTATGCACATTACAGTTTGTAATACTCCATCTTATTGTCACCAATCAAAGCCATCATCTTATTAATGGTTCAAATATTTTGTATCAAATCAAACAGTCAATCGTTTATAAAGTCAATTAAAAAGTTTATATATTGTTATTTATTATTTTTATCCTTTTATAAATTATAAAATAAAATTATCTTTCTACATTGTGAATAAATTTAAATTATATCTTAATGATACTAATTATAATTAATAAATTAATATTAATTAATTTTATTTAAGTTCATACAATAACATTAAAATCAGAAAAACTTGGGTTTTTTATATTTTAAGTTTACTCTATATAATTTTTATGTCTAAATATGTTATTCAAAAGTATAATTAAAGAAAATTTATAAAGTATAATACTCAGTAGTTTATAAAGTCAATTAAAAAGTTTATATATTGTTATTTATTATATTTTTATCTTTTTATAAATTATAAAATAAGATAATCTTTCTACATTGTGAATTAATTTAAATTATCTATTAATGATACTAATTATAATTAATAAATTAATGTTCATACAATAACATTAAAATCAGAAAAGCTTGAGTTTTTTATTTTTTAAGTTTACTCTATATAATTTTATGTTTAAATATGTTATTCAAAAGTATAATTAAAGAAAATTAATTAATTATTTTGTAATATAAATAAATAAATCTAATTAATATAATTAAGTACATTTTAATATGAGCTTTTGATATTTTGAAAGATTAATGAAAGATTTAATAAATAAAGATTAAAATTTTAACACAATAGCATTATATATCAGAAAAAACTGAATTCTCTATTTTAAGTTTACTCTATATAATTTTTATGTTTAATTATGTCATTCAAAAGTATATTTGAAGAACTTCTACTAATTATTTTGTATACAAATAAATATATTTAACTAATATAATTAAGGATATGTATTTTGATATTTTGAAAGATTAATTAAAGATTTTATAATTAAATATCAGAATTTACATAAATATTTCAAATATTAGATAAAAAAAAGAAAACAAATTATTGTTGATAACCTTGTTTAAGAG